ATTCAACTTCACGCAGATTTTTAGTTATAAGTCAAGAACAAATGACGTTTAAAGAGATTAAACCTCGTACAGATACATATCGGGACTGGAGAACTTCGTATAAAAAGTTTCAAGGTCATTTAGGTCATTTCACGATAGACCTATCTAGAGGTCATTTGAAGTCATTTCAGTTTTTTGTAAAGAAGAACAAAAAGTTATCCCATCTTTGAAGTTTTGGTGTCAATTTCTGTTCAAATAACGGAGAGCTATTAATTTGAATGAATTAAACAGCGGTTTTTCAAATTGACATAAATCGTGGTACACCGCTGTAACAAAATTATTGATTAGTTAGTTGTTTTGTCTAGGACGTTACCATGATGATGACCATTAATATCATGGTCATCGTCATGGTGATTGTCACGATATGATATCGATTATTAGAATATTCTAGAAGGTAATCGAGTTAATGGAGATCTTATTACAATTTCTCATTCTAACTTAGATTCATGTTTACGAAAAACTTGTGAGAATTAATTGATTGTAAATTAGCATTAGTAATGTTAAAGTTACCATTTTAAATTACAATTATTGTTATTTATCTAATTATATTAGCTGTTTTCTGCTTTCTAACAGTAATCTAAAGACTTCAGAGGAGTCAAAGGGTGAAAATGATAATTTTGTCAAGGTGGTGTAACAATAATTTGAATTAACTTTAAGAATTTAACTTAATCACAATCAAATTATAATCAACTCTTGTATTTTTAATGTTGTTACAAGGAAAGGGGAATAGGGACTGAATTAAAATGATACAACGTAATACAATAAATGTCGAAGGTGATCATGATCAGAGTATCATGATCACTCTTCGAATATTCTAACAATTAATATTTAAAATTGTCATCATTAGACTGGGATCATAGCCTTGGTCACAGTCTAATTGATTAACATAACCCTAATTAGAATTTCTATTACAGTGGTAGGGATTGCCATTGATCAAATACTGACGTTAAAAAGAACATTGAAACGACCTGCTCCTAAATCGGTCAAGGAAAAGATCGAAGGTAAGATAAAAGGTAATCAATTACTGATGAAATACGCATATTTTCGTTGTTCGGGAATTGAAGACGAAAACAACGGTAAAATTGGTCAACAAGCGAAAATCTTGGAAAAAGCTCGTAAGTGTTTATTAGAATTTGCTGCTTTATTTAATGTAATTAAATTTGATGTACCTGAAGATGTTCTTCAATTTATAATTTAAGAACATAGCCAAATTTACTGTGGTTCTAAATATGTAAAAGTAGATATCAAGTATGAATAATATTGTATTGATGTTTTTGTCGCATTCAATGTGCTTGTTTTATGCAAATATTGTGCTTATTGATTTATCGATTGCTGTTACGAAAGAGAGACCTTTCGTCTGGAGGACAGGGGTAATGTAACAAAATTATTGATAAGTTAGTTGTTTTGTCTAGGACGTTACCATGATGATGACCATTAATATCATGGTCATCATCAATTGTCACGATATGATATCGATTATTAGAATATTCAAGAAGGTGATCATGATGCACTGTTCATGACCACCTTCGTTATACATTGTATCAATGTTATATACATTGTATTATTTCTTCAGTCCCACTTCCCTCTTCCCTTAATCGACATCAAACCTTAGTTAACATTAAAGTTAAAAGTTAATATTTAAAGTTTATATTATATTATATTGTGATAATTGTTAATAATAGTTTAATTCTTAAGGTGAATTAAGAATCTTTCGATTCACCGCCAATGATTTTGAATCATTAATTTAAACTTGGACCATGGAATAACTTTTTGTTCTTCTTTTCAAAAAACCTTCAAATGACCTCTAGATAGGTTTATCGTGAAATGAAGTTGAATAGCCCTGTACAAAATGTTCAAAGTGAATTAGATGTGAGAATGGGTCGAAAGAGGCGAGAAAAGAAAAAAGATGAGAGAGGGAAAAATTTTGAATTAATTTTAATGTTAGAGAGAGAGAGAGCTTTAGAAAAAACTTTGAGGACGAAATTTAAAATTAATAAAAAGTTAATTGTTTCCATCCCCCGACTTGATCTTGATGATCTCCCTACGTTCACCAAGTTCCCCAAGTTAATCTGAATGGGCTCATTGTTGAGCCAATTTCACCACCATCATCACCGCCGATCGTCCCTGACGATTTTGATCATCTTTTCGATGATCGATATTGTGAAGAGGCTCGAAATCTTATGGTTTTCGAGCCTTCGTCCAGTGATTTGGACAAGATTCTCATCCTGTTGGATGAGAGTCAAAATTTTTTAACCTCATCATCATCGTCATCAAAAAACATTTCATCATTATCATCTAAATCATCACCATCATCATTTTCTTCATCATCATCTTCTCCATCTTCATCTCCATCGTTTTCTTCAGCGTCATCTCCATCTAAATCATCTTCTTCTTCTTCATCACAATCATCACCAACAAGACTACAAACAAGATCATAAACAGCAAAATCTTCATCTACATCACCATCAGAATCAGGATCATCTTTTTCTCCATCTTCATCTCCACCTTCAACTCCATCTAAATCATCATCATCACCATCAGAATCATCTTCGTCCTCTTCTTCATCTAAATCATCTTCTTCTTCATCACAATCATCACCATCAATTGATGAGGATGAAATTTTAAATTTAAAAATTCATCTGGCTGAGGACAGAAAGTTTATTAAAAATTTCATTTCTACTTTGTCGAAAAAATTGAAAAAAAGATTATACATTAATAAAGGTTTTTAAAATTAAATTAAATTAAATTGTTCTCACGAACTTTTGTTCGAGTTCGGGTTCTGGTTCTCTTTCTTTTTCTCTCTCTTTTCTCTTTTTTTCTCTTTCTTCTCTTTCTTCTCTTTCAGAGCCTCCATTTTTTAACTACTATTGCAGAACATAATTTAAAAGATATTGTGAAGTTGAAATAATCATTAAATAATCATTGGTAAATAAATGATGCAGGGCATTAGGGAGATGAAGGGAAAAAGAAGAGAAAATTAGATTGTGAAAAAGAGAAAAATAATGAAGACGAAAAAAAGGGGGAAAGAAATTTGGGAAGAAAGAGAAAGAGGAAAAAAGAAGAGTAAAAGGGGGGAAGAGACAAAGGTAAAATGTGCTAGAGTAGTATGCTTTGCCTCTACTTCGATCACCTGAAAAACACGTGATTTTCGATAAAAATTCAAAACTCGAGCAACTGATGAATAAATTTTACTTAAGAAATTAGACAGCGAAAATAGACAGTGTACAAAAGAAAGAGAAATTTTTCAGCCTTTTTCGACAGCGAAATTTGAATTAGAAAATCGAAATTGATCAATTTATTAGCGAAAATTGATCGGATCGATCGATCAACTGAAAATCTGAGATCGGATTATCTCTAATTGTCTAAAAGGTTAACATTAACTGTTCTTAAATTAGGGATTCTCTGAATTATAAATCCATTGTCTAACAAGCAAATCAAAAGTCTAAATTGTCTATTCAAATTGTTCTTATTTAGGCTCGTATTCACCAACCGTATTTAAATTTGAGTTCAGGTTTAAATCAGCTGATCACAGCTTTTGTGTTTCACCACCTATGATCAACTCTTGATCTCGGATCAGATTTAAGTTTAGGTCAATTTAATTATAGGATTAAAAAATCTTGTTTCATTGTTAGATTCTTAAAAAATATTAAACAAAGATATTAAGAAACCTTGATCAGTGTAATCATATAACTTGTTAATTGTTTTGAAATCAATCTTAATTTCAAGTATTTTTTATAAACAATTTATTAATTCATCCACTTCAAATTAACCACTTTTGTCTAAAGAGAAATATTTTTTCATTGTTGTGGCCGTTATTTTGTTTGATGATCGGTTGGTTAAAAAAATTAATTAAAAATTAAAGGTAAAAATGAAAAAATAGGGGGAAAAGACAAATTTATTGTTAGTGATGCTGCATCACAAAGTAACAAAGGTCGAACTTTGTTACTGGGTAATTCAGAAACTACCCCCCAGGCTTCTCAGCCTTCGTGTTACAACAAAATCAGATAATAATAATACAAGTATTTTGAAATTTACAAATTATTAACAAATAATAAATTAATTTAGAAGTTAGTCAAATACATCAAGAAACAATGATTCTGCAAAGATAAATGAGAAAAATGAAAACATTAATTAGAAAAGAAATTCATTGGAAATAAACTTGGTTTGTTATGTTTCATTGGTCATTTTGTTTTCAAACCTCTCAGGAGATTTCAATTGTATTTTTCCCTAAAATCTTCTTCCTTTTTTATTATTATTGCATATCCATCTGATCACTAGTTTAAGATACACACGTTGATAATAAATTCACAATTAAGAACAATAATAGACAATTAATTTGATCACTATTTAGATTTCAAAACAAAAAAACGTTTCAAAAAAACAAGCCTTTTTCGGGACAATTTCCTAATTAAATTAATATATAATTGATTTGAATTCAACTTGATTTGAAACCAAAATCAAAGAATCGGAAATCAACTAATCGGGCTTGGCGAAACAACTTTTTAGTCAATAGTTGATCACAGCTTTTAATTACGGTTGGTGAATATGGGCCTTAGTCTAATTATCATTTCACATTTTAACCCATTAACTTCAATCCAGGAATCAATTTTATCGCCTTCGCAAATTATTAATATCTCTCGATTTCTGATGTTGATTAAGCTTCTGGGATGAACAAAGAGCATTTTGGGTACTAAAAGAAAAAGTTCAACAAGGATTAAAAGGAGATTTGAAGTTTAACCATTGTTGACAACGAGATGCTAAACAAGTGTAAATGAGAAAAGGCTAAAGGATAATAAAGTCTCATTTTTGTTTTATTTCTATTTTCTTTTCTCAATTCTTTTAACACATAAAAACTTATTGGTGCTAAAAGTTTGTTTGGAGACAATTAGCATGATAAAACGCGAGAGAGTATTTTATTTAATAAAATTAGAATAACTGACTGAGATTGGATATGATTGATCTTAGTGAGTCTTATAGTTTATTTATTGGATTGGTTAACAAAAAAATTGATGATAATGAATGAAACTGTAATGAGAATAATTAATGTTAAGTTTGTTTAGCAAATGATAAGAAAATTTGTTCTAATGTTGTTCCAGTTAAAGTAAAATCTTCAATGGGCAATAATCGTTTTGCTTCATCTAAACACCTCAACATTTCACCCCAACGAAGTGAAGTGTCCGTTATATGATAATGAAGAATAGTTTGATGAACATCTCTCAAGATGGACGAAGGGAATTTCTCGACCATCCATCTTTTAATTTTATCCAATTGTTGATTGGATTGTTGATTGGTTTGGACCGATTGATTGGATTGAGTCATTTTAATTATCAATGTAAATCCAAGTCCAAACTTTTCTTTTAAATGTTGAGATGAACCAAGACACTTGAAATTGCCTCGAGCCATTATACCGATTCGTGAACATAAGGCTTCACATTCATCCATAGAGTGACTGGTTAGTACAATTGATGATCCACTTGTATCACGAAGATGAATCAATGTGGACCATATTTTCCGTCTCGATGCTGGATCTACACCTGTGGTTGGTTCATCCAAGAAAATCACCTCTGGTTTAGCAATAGATGCAATGGCCAATGATAATTTCCTCTTATTACCACCACTTAGATTCTGATTACATGTGTTGGCGAATGAAGTTAAATCAGTTGATTCAATTATATAATTTACATTATCCTTTACTTTACTTTCAGGCATTCCCCTGATTCGTGCAAATAACATTAAACTTTCCACTGGAGTTAAATTGTCAAGTAGCGCATCAAATTGTGGACAATAACTTATTGATTGTTGGAAATTGAGTAAATCTTTTCGCAATGAATATCCTCCCACATAACCATCTCCCGAAGTAACCATAATATCTCCAGTTAACATTCGAAATGTTGTCGTTTTACCTGCACCATTAACACCCAACAAACCAAAACACTCTGCTTTATGTACACCGAAAGTAATCCTATCAACAGCTCGAAATGAACCAAAATCTTTAGTTAAACCATCAACAATTAAAGCTTCATTTCGTATTCCATTTGAACCAATCAATTGTTTTACTCGATCTCTTTCTCGTACTACATCTTCATCTTCAACACCATTTTCGGATTTTCCATCTGATGATAATCTTGCACGAATCGATTCGTACCAATATCCAAGTCGATGTAAATTTTTGTCCAGAGATATCAGTAAAATCGTGTATACAAATGCACAGACCATTAATATCGTTATCTCAGTATTTATACCGTTGTCTTCGAAGGTAAATGGATCATACTTTATATATTCTTCATATTCATTGCAACAGGTATCCTTAATTATTGCATTTCCATTCGGACATGCATCGTACTCTTGACACTCTTTGTACAGTTTAACTGCTCCGAAAATCTTTGATAGTCCAAAAGAGGCAGCGAAAGGTGGAAATAGATCACCTACAATCAAGTAAATCGCTTTAACTGTATCAAATGCCAAGAAAACTGATGCTAATCCTGATCCAATTACAGTTCCAACGAGCGAGATAGTTGTTAACAATGAGAATCCTCGATCAGGTGTCAAAGGTAAAAATGAAAGTAAATAAAACAATGGGATGGACGTGAGACCAAAAAGTACCAATAAGATGATGACAGATGCTAATAAAATTATATGATAAAAAAGCACAATTAAGTTTTCAAAATCAATAGAAACTTAAAATATTTGTACTCACCAATAACACTAAAAGCTACAAATGGGAATTGGTCAACTACTATAATGGAAATGAAAATAATAATCGCAACAATTATGTGATAAGTGAAGTCGAAAGCATAATGACTAAACCAGAACATTGGTGCTGTGATTCCGTTCATTTTTTGGATTAAGTTACACTACAAAAGAGACAAATCATTAGTATCTTTTCTTATACGTATTCGATGTAATACTGACCTTGTTTTGAGATTCAATTGAAGGGAAGAGAAAATATGAAACAGCGATCAAACAAAATGCAACAGGAGAAAATAGTGCAAATATAATTCGAGCCACGATTGCCTTATATTTAGGTTCCAATGTTGCGACATTCGGCATCGATTTGTAAGTTACTGAGACTTTGGATTGATTCCGTTTTCCATCACCAAGACTACGTATCAGCGCATTTTGCCAAGCACTGATTGACAACGGTAGAGATAAGGCCGCTTTCGGGTTAAGCCAAGCAGCGAATCCTCTTGGTTTCGATGAATCTTCAATAATACCAAAGATATTTTCCCTCATGAACTGTTCACGATTTTGGGAACTCGTTTTAAAATAATCATCTAATGAAATGGATGATTCAATTTCAATCACTTGGATTCCAGATTCGCTCATAATTTGTCGATAAGAATCAATAAAAGGCGAATGTTCAGCTAACGATGCTCGAATTACTGCCTTAGCGTTAGAACCATAAATTTCTTTCAAGTCCATGGTGATCGGTTCCAAATAATCATTGCCCGCTAATTTTACATTACTCATTGCATTTCTTGCAGCAAGAAAGACCAGGACTGTGACAATTGCTGGTAAAACGATCGTGAACCCGATTGTCTTATAATGACGTTTAGTGTAGTTAAATCTTTTCATCACCAACCCTTTAAATCTTTGCATAACCAAAGACAACCCAGTTAATTTCTGATAATCGAGTATTTTATTTACTTCAAACAATTTTTCTTCCATAGTTATTGTTGTTCGTTTACCAACATCTTCATCTTCAGCTACTTTAAGGAAAACATCTTCGAGTGTTGTTACCGATATCCCATAAGAAGTGATACCAAATGATGTTGGATTATTATCTAGATCATCACAAAGATTAACTAGTGCAGTTGTTGATTCTTGATTCGATTTATTATTCAACTGAAAAACGATCTCTGCATTTGTCTCATTCGTAACTTTTGCTTCCTGGAAATATTTCTGCACTAAAGAACTTAGTTCAGTAGGTTTATACACCCAAGCATCTTTAGCCAGTCGAACTGAATATCCAGCTCCGAACTGTTTCTTGAGAAACATCGATGATCCTGAACATTTTACTTTACCCGAGCCCATGATAATTATACGATCTCCCAATGCATCAGCTTCTTCCATAAAATGAGTTGTCAATAATATTGTCAAGTCTTTTCTCAGTTCTAACAAAAGATCCCACAATTGTCTTCGAGACTCTGGATCTAAACCTGATGTTGGCTCGTCGAGAATCAATATCTCTGATGCTGTCGAAAGAGCCAAGGCCAATTGAAGACGACGTCTCATTCCTCCCGATAAATTACTTGCTAATGAGTTTGCTTTCTCAGTTAGATTCGCTCTTTTAATATTCAATGGAATTATTTCTTTCTTAATTTGGTCACTTAATCCTCGAAGTCCACCGCAAAGCTCTAGATTTTCTCGAACAGTGAGATCTTCGAATAGTAAATCATGTTGAGGACACAAAGCGAGACATCGACGAGCAGCTACCGTATTCTTATGAACATCAATTCCATTGACATAAATGTTACCAGACGAAGGTTTTAATATTCCAGTGATCATGGACATTGTGGTCGTTTTACCAGCACCATTGTGACCCAAAAGAACAGTTATTTGACCTTTGAGAATGTTAATATTCAATCTGTCAACCGCAAACTTTGACCCTGATGAGTTGAAGGATTTGTACAGATTGTCGCATCTAATGCTTTTTTTCAAGTTTTCTGGTTCTGGTTCATTGTGTCTCTCATCATCTTCTTCATAATTAGATTTTGAGTTAGGCTCAATGCCGACAGTAGGTGAATTCAAGAATTGAGATATGGGGAAGTGCCAAGGCTTTGGTGTTCCGGTTTGCCAGGGCCAAACTGCATCAATGTACCAGATTAGAACTACATAAAACAACCAGGAAAAGATCATAACAAAATAAACGGACCAAAGTGTTAACGTTTCTTCATCTCCAATTGAAGCGAAAATGTCAGACCAAAGAACCTTTCCATTTTTCCGACCGAAGTAAAGTAGGTCACTTATTGAATAATGTAACTGACCACTGGGTAAAAGACTAGCCCAAACTTTCGGTGAAATCCAGAGAATTTTAAAAGATGCCGTTTTCGCAGCATAAGGTACATAAGACAAAGCCGCTCGACCAACAGTTACAATAAGTACACCGATGACCGGTCGAGTTAAAATGGTTGTAAAGGCGAAGGAGAAAAGGATCGAAGTCACACTATTCATAACATAATTGAACCAGAATAGACTCGGATTCCAACCATGATAAGGACTCTTTTTAACTATTATCGAGTAAATGATCGTAATTATTGTTCCATGGAAAATGGAAAGAGTAAAATAATTGATGAAATGTGAGAGCCAATAAATTAGATCGGTCAGTCCCATGATCCTCAGCAACTCCTTTGAATTGGTACTTTTTTCTCGGACAACACGACGAACTATTAAAGTGGTCATATAAAGAAACCCGATTTCCAGAATCGTATAAGATTGGTAGAAATCTAAAACTTCAGTTGGAACTGATCGACTTCCACTTCCTTGACCGAATCTTTTATAAGTTTCCTTTTTGTTTGTCAATTGGTCAGTTGAAGGATTTCCCTCAGCGAACAATTTGGTCGTATAAAAATAAGCGAAATCTTTTGAGGTCAATTTTTGTTCATTCGGATGATTAGCCAGTAAAATATTCACAATTGACTGAGTTCTTAGGTAATTATCGAATGTTGAATAAACAGGCTCGCCCCAAGGGTTAGAATAGTCGATCGCTCCACCGCTTACGCTGTAGTTAGAAATACCTTCTTCGAGGTCGAGGAAGTCGAAAAAAAGTCCAGTGTTAGCTGAATACGAGGTCATCGTTAAGGAATCACCCCAAGATCTGATCACTGCCTCTGAGCTATTCAAAGATCTCGTTTGAAGTCCACAAGTACGATAATCGGGTGTCAATAGTTGACTAGCAACTGAATCAGGTGAGTAATAGAAAATTGATTGATTGAAAGAGTAACATTGAAAAGTATTGTTAAAAATCACCATTCAAAGGATAAACTGTTGATTGAAGTTTGTTGGTCACTGAGACTGGTGGTTGTTGGTCACTCTTTTTATAAATTGTCCACACATGAATCAGTACCAATAATATGGGAAGAAACAATTCAAATAGAGTAGCAATATAATGACGTTTCCTAATCAATTGATCTTTAATGAACATTGATTTTAATTGGGACCAAAGTATTGAAACCATTGTGAACAAATGGTTAACGATTTACTCTTAACTAGTCAAATCAATAAACTGAATTTTTATTTATTGTAATTAGTTGAGTTGAGTAAATTTAATTATTCTGAAAACTGAATGACGTTTCAATACGTTGTTAAATCAACATTGTGTTACAATTTAGGAGCAATTAACGTTCACTGATTATACACTAACTGTAATTTGCTATCTTCAAGAGATAATAATTGTAACAATTTAATACAGTTGAGTTTGAAATTGACAATTTCACAGACATTTTAATCAGTAATTGATCAATAATGATCCAAATGACCAAAAGAAATCAATAAAATGGTAAATAAAATGATTAACAATTAATTGTAAACATGTTGAATGATTGATGGAAAATTCAATAAAATTAATCAGATCTAATAGCTTCATTTGTATGTTAAGTTGCATATGCACTTGAAACACCCATTAAAACAATCAATCAGTTAATCCATTAAGATTAATTTATCAGTAAAGATTAACTTAATCAAACCAATTTCCATTGAAAATTAATTGTTTCCAACATGAATGAGTAAACAATTCAGTTCATTTCCAGTTAACAGTGAGTATAATAATCATTGAACTTATTAATAAATAAGACCAATCAATAAGCTAAGGCCAAACAACGGAACACATATGAAGGTAGTATACTGTAAATGGCCTCGAGAATGAGGTCATTACGTTTCATCTTTGACATAACCAACAGGTCGAATGATGATTATATTATGATCGTGATCGAGTTTAAATTCATTGACAATTAAATCCAATAGTTGATTGTGATCACTGATCAATGTTTCTATCAAGATAAACCTAAATGGGGAAATACTGTAGTACCAATGCTCGTAATTAACTTAATCCTTTTTTGGGTTCACGATTTTCAATAAACATAAAATATTATTCATATTCTCGAGTGATTTGGTCCTTTCGAATTTTGAAAACAAAACGAAATTCCCATAAATTTCTCCTTCAAACCGACAGAGGTCACAATTAGAAGGTAAAGAGTCTACAGGGTGTCAAGTGAATCGATTGGGATGCGCATTGATTTACTATCTAAATGATTTCTTTACAGTTACTGTTGTTTTCGTAGTGTAATTTTTTGATTCAATTTGAATTGGAAAAATTAATCAAAGTTTCTAATCAATACCAATAATCATTGAGATAAAAGTGATACAGAAATAATTGTTTTTCTCAATAAAAATTTATCAAAAATCAAATATCAAATCCCTCTAATTATACAACCGATTAGACCCAAATTTAAGGATGACCAACTCATCGAATAGGAAATATGAACAATTCATGGAGAGATGAAACTAAACTGACTCTCTTGATTAGTGGGACAATTTAAGGTTATCTCGACTGTTGATTAAGCCTTTAAATATATTATTTTCCTTCGGCTACGATTACAATGTTTTCCTCTGTTCCTTTAACAATCTCACTCCCAACTCTTCAGTTATCATAATAGATTTTTATATCCCATCAACTTCACTGACAAGAAAAATTTCATCACCTTTGACATTAGAAATTAATCGAAGTGAAATCTCTAATCGAATTCTATTGATCAACCAACATGGATCATGATGATTCTTCAGAAAATGAACTTAACACTCAATCTTCGATAGAGAAACGGCCTCAAACAAGACCGATTCAATCGTAAGTGAATATATATTATTTCATATTCTTTGCTTTGGAATTTCTCTCCCTCTTTATCCTTTTCCCGACTTACTTTGATAATATTTCTACTATTTTATCTCGAATATTACGAAATCAACATATTCTTATTCTAAAATAAACTTAATCGAATATTCAAAAGGTGTATTCATTTGTTCATAATGTTTCTCATGTTTACTCCGCTGGTTACGTCTCCTCTCTTGTTAGTATAACCTCAATCTCTCTCTCTCTCTCACTTCCAGAATTCACCACCTTCCTCCTCATCATTTACCACCCACTCCATTCTCATGATAGCTGGAAGAAAATATCTTAATTCAATGTAGTTAATAGTTAGAAATGATAACTGTCCCTCTCGTGTGAGACTCAATTCTTATGGATTTTTCTGGTCTCCTTTTTTCCCTTCCATAGACTAAAAATATAATATCAACATAGGAAAATGAATTCTAACCAAACTAGTAGACAGAGAAATCGAAAGAAAGAAAGAGTAAAGATTCACTTTGAATGAATGACTAGGAATCTCTTGGAATATTATAGTTTTCCTTTCGTTTTTATTGACCTGAATTTCCCAAATAAATGAACTTTACTATTTTTATCTCTCTTTCTCTCCCTCTGGTGATAATAAAATAACAGAGAAGATGATAACCAACCAGGTGAATTCAAAACAACAGTCGGATCAATAGATGCTCTGTTGAAGAAACTGGAAGAAGATGACAAAATATTGAAAGAATTGGAAGAACTGGAAAAAAAAGATCGATTAACCAACAAGAAATTATCATCATCATCATCAACATCATCAACATCAGCAACAATTAGTAGCACAACAACAGCATCAACATCAACAATAACTCCAACACTGACCAGTAGTAATAAGGGAAGATCATCAACCTCGGTAACATCAATCGCAACAAAAGTTACTCCATCAGTACCTTTAACGGTATCATCATCATCAACCTCATCTTCATCTTCAACGGTCAGCACTGTATCCAAATCAACAACCACCGAAAGGGAAACCCAATATGTTTCACCGTCTCCACCACCATCCTTATTATCCGCTCCGCCGTTGACCCAAACCGCGGGTACGAACACAATATCAACCAAATCCGTTTCAACTTCAACAATATCAACCAATCCCTCATCGGCAATCAGTGAACGAGTGACACAATTAAGTGACCATTTTAACTCACCTTCAAGCCCATTGAGTAGATTTGGTCAATTAGCATTAGCATCCTATGGTATTGGTTTGGCAGCAAGTGGAACCAGTGGAACCAGTGGGGTGGGAAATTCGATTAATTTATCATCATCTATGCCATCGTTGATTGATCATCAACAAGCATTACAATTAATATCTGCACAATTACAAGCCAAAGGACAAGGTAAATATTATTAATATTTAATTTCCCTCCACTTCCTCTCTCCCAGAGACCTTTGTAAATATTAATCTTTTGATCTCCATCTTTATCTAAGGTTCATCTATATCACCTCATGAATTGGATAGATTAATGGAGAAATTGGAACATGATAATCGTATTCTTGCTGAATTAGATCAAAAATCTAAACGTATCTCATCAAATTCAAGTGGCATCTCATCACCGGTGTTATTATCATCCTCACTTCCCACCCTGACAGGAATCAATCATCATCCCGCTTTACTCCAAACTTTATATCCTCAACTTTTTCCTGGTAAATATGATTATATCTTTATCCTTTATAAATTCTGGTTCAATTAATCGAGCATCTAAACAGTTAATTCTACTGGTCATCTCAACTAAATTTTCCCCTCCCTTTTGTGATAATTTAACTCTGATTGCTTGCTTGAGTGACCACCACAACACAATAATCAACCAACTAGCCCATAAATAACTCACATCAATTGACCCAATTCTCAAATTAGTGAAATTTATCATGATGCTTTGATATGGAAGTATATTCATCCTGATGTTAGAATTGCATATCATCCAGAACTTTGATAATATCTCTCTCTCTCTCTCTTTCTCTCGTAAGCTTTACTTGCTGATAGAAATATTTTGATGCGAGATAATAAACGATTGATGCTACAATCGAATAACAATTCACCATTATCAACCTACTATGACGATGACATTGAACAAATTCAGTTACTTCAAGCTCTCATTAAAATCAACAGCAAGAATTAGCCTTTGATGCTGAAGATATAGCGGATTGTATTGAGGTACCAAATCGAGGTCGATGTTGGGTTTATATTGCCCGTTACTCGTATGATCCTTATAAACAATCACCTAATGAGAATCCTGAATCTGAATTACATTTGGCTGCTGGTGATTTTATTCTGGTTTTTGGTGATATGGATGAAGATGGTTTCTATTTTGGTGAACTATTGGATGGACGCCGAGGTCTTGTACCTTCAAATTTCATCGAAAAACTTGTCGGTGAAGATTTATTTGAATTCCAAGCTTCGGTACTTTATGAAGGACGAGATGGTGATGAGTCTACATGCAGTTATCCCCCTGAATTTTATGATGCCCTATTAGATGATGTTATCGGCCATTCCAATTTCCAACACCTTATTGCACCCGGTAAGTTAACGATTAATCAGTTACTCGACCATCACCATTACATCAGATTCATTTGAATATTATTTTCAGCCTCAATTTAAATATAAATATCAAAGGATCATAATGATCATAATAACAACAATTGAATATGTAGATGAAAACAGTTGATATCTTTTGCCATGTTGATAATCAATATTGATGAAACTTTTTTCAAGTTTTCATTCAAATAATCTTATTCATGAATGTTAATTGTGAACAATTTAAATTTCTTGCAGAGGACTTTCATCGGATGAATGATTATATTGAACTTTGTGAATCTTCTGATATCGATGAAGAGGATTTGTCAGATCCAGAACGAGCTCAAGCAAATGCTGCAAAAGATACAGGTAACGACTGAAAATCACGAACAATTATGATTAGTTAATTATCTTTAAATTTTCCTCTTGACCAGTACCTCCACCGAAAAGGTTAATTCTGGAGCGACAATTACACAAGAGTATTTTATTAGGATGGTTGATCCCTGATTGTCCTCGAAGTTATATCGATAATTATCAAATTTATGTCGATGGAGTTCTGAAAGTAACTGTACCAAGCAACGAGCGAACTCGAGCCTTAGTCGAAGGTGTTGACTCTTCAATCGTAAGAAGAAAATATTTATAAAAAGTTCTAAAAATTGTTCTAATAACAAAAACAAAAGATCAATCTTATTACAAGATTAAAATTACTTCAATCGATAATTTAGATTAATCATCTAAAAAAAGAAGAAGAAAAGTTTTATCGATTTTTTCTTTTACCTTTTCAACATGAATACGTTATGAGATTAACTTTACTTCTCGAGAAAAAAAATAACTAATTGATCTTTTGTCTATTAACAATTTACTAATTGGTTTAATTTTCATCCAAGTTAATCAATTCTAATTGTCTTCTCTCCAGCCTCATAGAATCAGTGTCAGAGCTATTACACCTCAAGGAAGAGCTTCTAGAGATGCAGCATGTACCATAGTTGTTGGTAAAAGTATGTTATCATTAACTAAATCAACTAATCACAATTAACTCACCTTTACCTCCTATTGACAAGTCCATAAGATTAACCATTCATCTGAAATTACCTTTACATGATTAGTGAATTACATTTGATTTTTTCCTATTGCCTTAGTGAACCTGTTTTCTTTTGCGCAAATTGTCTATGATTAAGTTTAATTGTTGAAATTTCGTTTATTTGCTATTCTCAAACCAATAGATGTACCTTTCGCTCCGTGTTCTGTAAAGGCGACAAATATCACCGCAACTTCAGCACTGATTAACTGGTTACCTTCAAATAGTAATTTTTATCATGTTGTTGCCGTTAACTCGGTTGAGGTAAAAACGGTCGGTCCAAGTACATATAAACATTTGATCACTGGACTAACACCAAATACAATGTATCGAGTTTCAGTTCGTGCTAAACCCGGTAAACTTTTATGCTCAGAGGAGAAAAATCCGAAAAAATTGGAAATGCTCACAACTTTTGTCGACTTTCGAACTCTACCCAAAAGTAATTACCCTCTAACAATCAAATTGGTTGAACAATCAGTATACTAATTGTTTATTTCTTTTCATTTCTTCAGGTCTCCCTGAACCTCCGGTCGATGTACAAATTGAATCTGGACCTCAGGACGGAACTTTACTTGTTACCTGGCTTCCGGTCACTTTAGACCAGTTCGGTACATCTAATGGTTGCCCAGTAACTGGTTATGCTGTTTTTTCATCACATAAAAAACTTGCTGAAATCGATAGTCCAACAAGTAAGTTATCAACAATTAACTTATATTAATCTAATCGATTAGCGATAAATACATTTAATCACCTAATCTATTGGGGTTAATTTTGTTTCTCTATCGCCTTAGGTGATCATGCACTTCTTGATATCTCACAAGTTGAAAGTTTTCATAAAAAGCCGATCACTGTTCGTACCAAATCGGGTGAAAATTTGTCCCAAGATTCAATTCCATGTCACATCCCAGAGGAGTTGATTAAATTCACTAACCTGGCCAATCAAATTGGCAATAATAACATTAACCAACGAAAGGTAATATCATTATTATCACTTGATCATATTTAAAATTAACCTTTTACTTATTTTCTCATAATAATTAACTGATTATTCAATGGGTAATTTATTTCTTAAAATTGTGTATCTCTCTCATCATAATTAGCAATCAATTAATAGTAATTATTTACCTGGCCAATTCAGAGTAAATCAAACTTATATGATTAAAAATCAATCTGACTCTGAATCTGAAACTGAAATGAATCAATTAATTAACAACGTTGCTCGTCGATCATCAATTTTGTTTGATCCAGTTACAAACCAGGTAGCTCATAATTAATAATTCACTTTTAATCGTCGCATTTAATTGTTGTATTTTGTTGAATTGATTGGTTTCAAATAATTAAGTGTTGTTAATGTTTTTGTAAATTCGTTAATTGTTGTTAAATTCAGTCAGAATTACTCGTTCACATGCTTGTTAAATTGATTGTTCTTAAATATTTTCTTCTGAGCATTAGAATCAAATTAATTTGATTTACTTTTGATTTTAATCTAATTAGACTCAAAACAGCCCCGCTTCAATGAGAGGACCTGGAATGGTTCAAAACCGAGGTCAACCCCGAATGGTAAGTAAATTAAACTATCAAGTTTATCAAACGAGAATCTGATTTGATTTGAAATCGTTTTAGATACAACAATCAAATCAACCTGGTCAATTGCGACAAGCAACACCACAACCACAGCAATTTCATCAACAACAGTCTCGCAATTTATCCCAATCACAACATCCTTATCAGAATCAAGTTGCTAATCAACAAAATCCAGTTAATCGTAATCAACAACATATGCAAGGTCCTAATAATCAATTACAACAATCTAATCAAACAAATATGCACATTCCATCCATTGGTAAGTTAATCTAATACAATCAGATAAAAATTTCTCAATTTTGATTGTGTTAATTGTAACATTACTCAATAGCAATTACCAAGGATATGCATCAAAATGGTAAAAAAACAATGAGCCAACCAGCTAATCGTCTTGGTGGACCATCACCTCAACCACCACAGCGAAATCGCCAATATACTGACCATGAAAGGTCACACTTTGGCCAAGGACGAGGAGCCATAGGTCCAAGTGGACCACAGTCCAAAGTAATGGGACCTAATCGACCACAATCCCAACAACAACAGCAACAACATCAGCCAATTGGACAACGAGATATCCGTTATTTTGTTGCGCTCTATGATTATGATCCACTTACAATGTCTCCGAATCCTGATGCAGCTAATGAAGAGTTACCATTTCGTGAAGGTGATATAATTAAGGTAAACAGATTGTCCAGTAATCAAAATTTAATCTTCAAGCCCATGAATCTGAACAATTACTTTATTTTCATGATTTTTTCCTATTCATTAGATTTATGGTGATAAAGATCCTGATGGTTTCTATCGAGGTGAATTGAATGATCGTATTGGTTTCGTGCCTTGTAATATGGTCTCTGAGGTTCAATATGATCCGGAAACTGGACAACCAGTCCGAATGGGCAGTGGACTAAGTGTTGCAGGAGGAGGAGGGGTAGGACCAAAAGAGAGTGACCCATGGGCACATTTACCTGTAAAGAAAATGATTGCTCTCTATGATTATGATCCACAAGAGCTTTCACCTAATCCCGATACTGAGGTAGGAGAGATTAAGTAAAAGGAAACAAATTGCTGATCCCAAACACTAATTTCCCTCTAATCAATTAATCGAATCTATCGCAATTAGGCTCAACAATTAGCATAACTAACTCAATTCTTTGTTGAGAAATCACTACAATTAAAGTGAAACTTCAATCAACGCTAATCCATACCAAGTTAAATTAAGATTTACATCTAATAGTTTAATTGAACAATTTTCCTTTCGTTTTGATTTGATCTCAGTTTTGCTTGATTGAGACAATTAATTTTAATTTTATTCATTAATTATTAGCTAGTAAAAATCTTAATTAATATGCATGGCAATTAAAACCTAATCTGATAAAAATTAGTAAATCATCAACGCCACTAATCATCACATCGTCAATAAATCATCAACATAATGATTAAAGCTAAACGATCAATTCATTAATTTAATAGTTAACTTAATTAATTTGTTTGATTTTTGTCTTTTAAATTGTTGCCAATTTTTGTTTCAATTGTTTTATTTGTCTTCTTAATTATTATCCTTATTTTTTTTTGGTTGAAAAATTGATTATGATTTAATTATTTACTTGAAATTATCATTTTCTTTTTTTCTGTTGTTTTAATTGTTATTCCGATTAAATTTAGATGGAATTAGCTTTTCATGCCGGTGACACCATCTACGTTTACGGTGACCTGGATGAAGATGGTTTCTATATGGGCGAGTTGAACGGTAATCGAGGTCTAGTTCCGTCAAATTTTATGACCGAGGCATTGACCGAAGGGACAAATCGACATGTGAGTCTACGTCAAGGTGGGGGAGCGGAGGTTAAATCATATTCAATTCACCTTCGTATTTGCTAGTGTATCGTAATTGATTGTCTCTCTCTCTCTCTCTCTCTCTCTCTCTCTTTCTTTCTTTCTTTCTTTCTCTCGTGATTATGTTTACCTTGTGTCTTAGAGCTAATTGTTATTACAATTACTTAATTGTCATTTATGCACTTGAACAAACTTTCATCTTGGTAGATGAAAATGAAAATCTATTAGAAAACCTTTTGTCACAATTTAATCAACAATTTTTGCATGAAATCATCACAATCAAAATCACTATAATTACCATCAAAGTGTTTACACTTTTTCTTACAATAGATTAACTAAATTATAAATACAGCAATTAATGATTAGTGCAATACAATTAGCCGTTATGATTTATCAATCGATTGATAAATTGATTGTATCATCTCAATTGTTTTTTTTATGGTAAATTGTTGTTGATGATGATGAAAAAGTGTTGCTAATTGTCATTAATTGTAAAGATAATCTGATTAATCTAAATCATCAATGTGAATTCTTAACAACTGGAATGGCTAATTAACTAATCGCCATAAGTGTTTGTATTGTTCATCTTAATCTTCCCTCTTTTTAAATCTAAATTACCATTGAAAATGTTACTAATTGTTGTCTTTCTCTCTCTCACACACAATCCGATTAATTATTGATGATAATCCATCAATCAATTTAATCTCTAATTGTTACCTGTTACTTAATCAACTACCTCAAAACCTAAACAATTAACCCGAAAACTCTTGTGTCTTTGTGTCCACATCTCTTAATGTTGTTCAATTAATTAACTGTCTTCAAAAAGTTAATCATACAATTAGATACTAATTATTTTCCATTTTTTCCTTTAAATTTTCAGGGTTTCCAGAATCACCCAATAAACAGAGGATCATCAACCGGAGATCCTCGGCAATCAATGTCACTCCAACAGGTCAACCAACAGCAACAATTTCAGTCTCACCATCAAACTGGACATCAACAACAATCAACAGCCATAAATCAACAACAGCAACAATTGCATCATCATCATCAACAATCAATTCATCCACATCTACAACAGCAACAACAACAACAACAACAACAGGGTTTCCAATCACAACAGAATCCGCAAGGTCAAGGGTACGGTCAGCATCAATTTCGGGGTCAACAGCAAACAATTACTTCCAATCATCATCATCAACAGAAATTGGGACAACAAGCATCGGTCAACAATCTAACTCCCATTGGTCAACAACAGCACCAACAACAAGGTATGAGACCTCAAGGTAATTTCGCCAATGTAAATCAACCGGTTCACAATCAACAACAATTAGGACCACAACAAAGACCTAATAGTCTTGAATTGCGATCAAATCAACAATTAATTGGAAATCAACAGCAATTAATGAATAATCAACAGCAACAACAATTAAACCAGATGGGACAGCAACACACATTTAATCAACAAAATCAACAGCAAAAAGTTTTACAACAACAACATCTTCATCAGAATCCCAATCAAATGAATCAACATTTACCACAACAATCAACTAATCCAATTTCCAATTTACTTAATAGCGGTAAACAAATGATAGCCGAGGCAACGACACCAAGAATTGGTCAACAACCTTCAAACTTTGATTCTCATGGTCAACAATCAATTATGAACCATCATCCAAATCAACAACAACAATCGCAACAATTACATGGACAGAATCAAATTAATCATCTTAATCAACAAGGATCAAATATTCATAATAACAATGGTAGATTTAATTCTGGTCTTAATCAACAGCCCCAACAATTAGGTCAACAACAAAATTATTCTGGTCAACAGCAACAATCAAATCAACAATCAAGACAATTTAGTTACACCGGTAACACAAATACTACTGGTCAAGGGCCAATGATGGGTTTAATGTCCGGTCAACAACAACAAGTTCAAGGTCAAGGTCAAAATCAACAAGGTCCAACATTATCTGGTGCATTAGGAGCAGTTAAAAGTATCTTCAAAATTTAATTACAATTAAACATCAACTGTGAACAATTAACTGTTACTCTATTGGATTGAAACAATTGATTAATTGTTCCCATTTAATATTAATTCAGTTGTGTGTTTCTGTGTGATTTTATGTGTCTATGTTTGGATTTGATTGTTTGCCTTGTGTTTTAATTGTTATTCAGAAAGAAAAGTGTTGATCATTTATGATTAGTTGATTGTAAAGAAATTTAATTGTAAATGAAGCTTTTGTTGTGCCTTAGATTTTAAATTGTTAAGCAAAAAAATAATATAAAATCAAGATCAAATTTATCATTATATTAATTGTTACCAACATGACGATTTGATTAATGATTCAACAATTAACCAAAATATTTCAGATGAAACAATTAAATTGATTGTATAATCTGTTAATTGTTAGGAAATCTTTTTATTTTTCACTCTTTTTCCTCCCTGTCGATGGTTAATTGTTAACCTTTCATTAATTCATCATTTTAATTAATCAATTTTCCGTTTGTTGCCTTTTCTTAATTGTAGTTTAATTAAAAAACAACCATGATACAAACAACAATTCCCAATGCAAACAATTGTAATCATTATGATTAATTAACTTTAATTTTAATGAATTGTCTATAAATATTATAAATATAATGTATTAATTAATCGTCAACAATTTAGGTGTTGATCATTAATTGTTTTTCCTCATCAACATCATTTCCTGAGTCTCTGGTTGTGCTGATCAAGTTGAAAATTATTCACAACAATTAACTAATCACTAAACTCTGTTCCCAAGCGACACAAGCACGAATACAATTTATAAATATATTCAACTGCCTGTTAATCATTTTGATCAATTTAAATGAAAAAAAATACCAAAAATATCAATCGATTAATTAATTTATCCAATAGTTGATGATTTCTGTTAATTGATTAATTGGAATCAAAGTTAACTAACTTTTCAATTGTTAACTTCATAAGAGATGATTAATATTATGTAAAAAAGACAAACAATTAAGAACCTTAAATTTGTGGTTAATTAACAGACACAGAATTATTTTACCTCCTGAAAATCACAATTAGAGAAGATTAAAAAATAAATTGTAATGTAAAAAATTAAGAAAAATAATTGCAATTAACTTTAAATTGTTTCGATTCTTTTTCTTTTTAAATCAACATTCAACTTCTTATTGTAATTATAAATTATAATACCTAAGAACTCATATGATTAATAAACTATTTTTCTCTTTTCCTCCGAAATTGAACAAATTAATTCTTCATTCCAACAATTAAATTTGATTCGATTAAATTTCCAAACATTTTCTTTTCTTTTCTTTTGTCACTCCCCAGATGGCGCAGTTTAGAATTAGCGCTTTTCCATTTTTTCCATTTTTCCTTTTGTTTGGGTTTTCTCATCTTGTCGTATCTTCAAGATGGATGGTAAGTTGTAATTGATTATTTTTCTTTTAATTGTTGTCTCTTAATTTTTTTTCTTAATCAATTCTTCGTGTATGTGTTCGTGTATCTGTGTACCTTAATCGGTGTGTCCTCTTCTTTACCATGGTAGATTCTCGATCACAGCAACTTGCAACTATTGCAAAACCAACGCAAATTTATCGCTACCTAAGGAATCGCCATCTCTTTTCGGTGAGAATTTTTTTCTTTTCTTTTTCTTTTCCTTTCTTTTAATTTAATTCTACCTGATCGGGTTTAATCTGATCATTGAATTGTTAGTTTTCCATAATATTCAACTGATTGATTTATTGTTGATTAATTCGAGTTGTTTTTCTCTGTTTATTTTCTTCTTAATTTGTGCTTCCTTTTGTCTGTGGTTTTTTCTTTGTTTGGATCTTCTGTTGGTGTGACCATGTTGGGGTTGTATTTTTTTCTATTCTTTTTTATTTTTCTTTCTCTTTTTTAGCCCATATTTTTGCATCGAACTTTATCTTATATGAGACATCGGATATCTCGGAGTCATAAAGGAAGAAAAAACTTCAAAGTTGATTCTTTATACGAAAAAGTGGCCACAAAAAATGGAGACTTCAATGATAAGTAAGAATTTTTTTTTGTTCTCTGCTAATTTTTACTCTTAGTTTTACAATAAATTCTATAACTTACATATAATTCTATATTTTTGTTCTTTTCTTTTTCTCCATTTATCTTGTCTATTTTAGAAAATTACAGCATCTTATTATTGCCAGTATTGGTGTTTTTTCGAAAAATTTTGACAACAAAAGCCGAGCAAATTTGGAAGTATCTTTAGTTAAATTTTGCCATAAGAAACGTAAAGATACAATTACTCCTGTCAGCTCTACATCAATTGGTAGCTGTGAAATTCCTATCAATCCAAGTGATCAAGCACCTAATCCTATTACATTGACAGTGCCAAAAGAATGCTTCAATTTGGTACATGGGCATCTAGTCAAATGTTATTCCCTCCAGTTTAAAATCACTACAAGTAAAACTTGTATACAAAATGGTGACACTAAAACAAGTGAAGAAGGTGAAAGTACACCATCATTTAAGAAGAGAAAAATTTCACATACTGAAGAATTCACAAGAGAATTAACCGTTATTGATCGTAATCATCAATGTGTTCTTACCAATGGAGAATATCAGATTGTTCTTGAACAAGATAAATCAGAAGCAAATAATAATAACGGTAACAACAATAATAATAGTGATACTTGTAGTAATAATAATGGAACCTCCACTGCCACCACAACCATAAATGGTAATAGTAATGGTACAAATGGTACAAATGGAAACAGTAACAATAATAACAGCCAAGCCGTTGACAATCAGGTCAATAATCATAAAGTCTCATCATGGGAATCACTTTCTCAGACTCAAAATAATGGAGCCATTGTATTTGAAAAAGGACCTGTTTTAGTTTTCCATTTAATTTGGACTGATAATCCTGGTAATTCAAAATTACTACTACTCAATACACCTTTAAGCTGTCCAAACAATGAGAATAATTCACTACTTTTCAATGGAGGTGGATCATCGAATCAGCTTCTCAAAAGAAATGGTTTTCCCTCATCATCAACTAAATCATGTTCCAGTAGCTCATCGTCAACAGTTTCCAATTCAGCTGATTTTCTTGATAAAAATCCTAAAGCCTGTGGTAAAATAACCTACAGATTTCTCCATGGAGAGGTTATACTTCAACAAACCAAATCAACGCACGACTTGAAGTGCCCATGGTGCTCATTGAAGTGTAAAGTGGTCATGTCACTGATGCATCATTTAAAAAATTGTCACATGAGGTTTAACTTTTCACTTATTCCAGATCCTAAAGGTTATAAAATAAACGTTACCGTTAACGATACTTACGATGGTTCCTATGATGGTAATCCATATGATCTTTCCCATGTTACCACTGGCCATGCATTCAGTAAAAAGGGTCCAGTCCGACGATCATCGGTCACCCAACTTATTTATCTTAAACCAAAAAAACTTCCTCCACCTCAATTCATTCAAACTGATGACCCGGACGGTATTGTCTCTATTAGACCTTTTGTCCGTGGTCATAATCGACAATATTATCAATCGACTGATTGTTTCCCCATAAAACCTCAAGAGATTGATGAAGACAGTGAGGCAGAAATTGACCCTGAATGGATGAGAATTAAAACACAATTAGTAAGTAGATACACTTTAGATTTTTCCCTTGTGATTAATTTTAATTGTTCTCATTTAACATTTGATTGCTATTCTTTTTCCATTATATTAGATGATCGATGAATTTACAGATGTAAATGAAGGAGAAAAGGAAGTAATGAAATTATGGAATCTCCATGGAATGAAACATGGGTTAGTAATCAATCAATTTCTATTAATTAATTTAGTAACAATATTTTCTAATAAGTATTTCATTTTTTTTTTCGACAGGTATGTTGGTGATTGTCAAATACCCGCTGCATGCGATAAATTTGTTGATCAATATTGGCAAGAGATTTTCACTCGTGGTTTATACAAGAATTTTATTCTCCATTTAAACAATTTGTTTGACTTTGGAATTTTACCTGCTACTCATATGAGATCAGTGATTAAAAGACTTAATCAGTATAGAAAACAAATTATTAAGAAACAAGAATCCAAATAACAATTGAAATTGGAGAGAACCATCATCTTAATCATTCAACAATCAGAGAAAAACAAACAATTGTAATCATCTTTTTTTATATTCTTTCTTTTTTTCATCATAATGGTCTTTTTATAATTATTCACATTGTGTATTATCCACAACAATCAACACATCATCATAATTACCTCTTAACAAAATAAACTTATCGATAATATAAATTGTCTCTCATTTATATTCCTTTTGGTATTTTATTTTATTTATTAATTTTTTGCAACTTTACGATTATAAAAATAGGTAATAAATGCCTGAGGTAAGGGAAAAGACAGAGAGAAAGAAAAACTTTTGAATATTTACATGTGAAGGTGAAAATGGAGGGAAAATTGTTAAGTTAATTAGATGCAATTTGAGAAAACGATTGATTGTAATTAGTTATAGCTGTCGAATAGAGATTCAATTTGATGGACGGAATCGTTAATTGTAAGATCTGCTTCTTGAAGGTGATGATTTTGGTCACAATTGATTTTAAAGTTTCTGATGTTTTAAATAATTTTTTATGCGCAGAGAAAAAAAATTCAATATTTAACTTGGCAAACGAGGGGAAAAAGAAACAGAAAACTTTAGACAATTGATTTTGATTGAAGTTGATTGAACACCATTTATCTTGATTATTTGTTAACCATAGCTTTAGGAATTAATTGATTTCTATTTTCTTTAAGGCAGGATAACAAATGGATGAAGGCGTCTGTAGATGGGATTGTGTGTTTGCGTGTGTGGTGTATGTGTTGTAGTTATTGTAGTGGTGAAGATGAATTGATAATTCTTGCTTTATAATAACTTTGATCAACAAGTTGATTGTTGGAATAGAGGTGATGATGAAAATGAATTTGATGATGATGTATGTGTTAATGATGAATTTGATGACGAACATTATGATAATTCTATGAATAAACAATTAGATCAAATTGGCGCTGTTGATGGAGTTGATCCTCTTCCAGCTGAAAGTGACCCACCGCCAATGGATCCTTGGGCAGACCTCGCTGCTGAGAATGTACCGTTTGGATTGAGATTCAAGCTGAAAGCAGCTAAAGGTATAGAGCTCGCTGATGGTGGGTTACCAAGACGCGGCGAGGGTTGTGGATAGTAATGATTATAGCTGTCTGATGATGCATGAGATCCTCTTAGTGCCGTTGGGGTACCTTGAATAGAGGTGTTCGGTGAAGGATTGGTTGTTAAATGAGGTCCCCTGTATGAGTCAAGTGAGTGATGGGATAAAGTTCTTGAGGCATTGAGAGAGCTGATTGTGCTCATTTTAAGTTTGGCCATGTCTTCCAGTCGAGTGATGGTGTTTAACTCTTGATAATTGGAAACAACAACAAGGAAGGCGAATACATTGGCAATGGATGCTAAAAACCAAAGGAGCAACATCAGCTGATGATAAGTGAAAAACAGATCATTGGCAATCGATTGGAATAAGGTTGCACAGGTACGGACAATAATGAACGTGGACATTGCTCTTAGCCAATTTTTGAATCTTATTTCCTGCTCCTTTTTCAAAGCTGGAATCAATATGATGGAAGATATCAACAGGTAAATTGATATCAAAATTAATATTAACGAGCATGCTATCAATGAGCGTCGAACTGAGTTTGACAGAAACGATAAAGTTGATGATGAAAAGACCATGATGATGATGATGATAAATATCCATAGTTATTAATTGTGATGGGAAAAAATTTGTTTTTTTTCATATTTTTCAATCGATAATTTCAAGGTGTTCCAATAAAGAAGAAACAAGGAAATGGAGTAAAGTAATAGAAAAGGAAGAGAAAAAATTCGATTAGTTTATACAAAAAAAAAGCTACAGGTTTATTTAGATCAAAACAAATAAAAAAGATATACTAACTGTGTTCATTTCCACTGTAAACGAATAGAAAACTGATACCAACGCTTCTGAAATGCTTTGAACCGGGAGCAGCTTCAAACAGGCAGTAAGTATCAAATACTGCTAAAATTATTTGCATTAAACTTTCAATCTAGAGAAAAAAGTAATTAGAAGGAATAGAGAAAAAAAATTCAGAGAAAAAGATAAGATTAAATTGCATGTAACAGGTAAGCAGCATAGGGCAAGGGGGCGACGTTAGTAAAGGTGAGACAACTAACCAGAGTATATATTGCAGCAATATAAGAACCCTTTTGTAGATCAATGAATAGAGCATTTTCAATGATTGGTCTTCTTTGCCACCATTTGAGCTCCAATTTTCTCGATCCAGGTAAACTGTGGGTGATTGTGCATCTTGACCGAGCTGAGGCCAATGAGGTGGTCGATCGACTGCCATAAATACTTTGAGGAGCCATCAATGTAACTAACAGACTTAGTTACACTAGTTAATAAGAGAACAGCACAAAATAAAATGGACCAGAGGAAGAGAAAAGGAAGAAAAAAAAATGGAAAGAGAATGAATAAAAGAACAAAACCAAATAATAAAATAAAAGAGGAAAAGAAAAAAATAAAGAAAGAAAAGAATATTTTATAACAGGTAGAGGAGAAGAAGAAAAAAAGATGAAAATGATTTACAGTTGTTGTTGTTGGTGGAAAATCAAAATTGGGAAAGTTAAATTCTGTTAGGAACTTACCTTAGAGGGACAACCAAAATCAAAACAATTAGATTTAAGGGTTAAAGATGAATAGAAAATAATGTTTAATTTAATTAGAAGAAAAATAATTAACTAAAAAAATAAATGATTAAATTAGAAAAACAAAAATCAAATTCTGAAAATGACAAACCCAGAAGTTCGGATCGGATACTTGGAGTATCGGATACTTGCGAAGATCCGAATTTCTTTTTCGTCAAAACAGTTTTTTCTTGTTGATTGTGTCAATTTGATCTCGTTTGATTTGGCTGTTAATTTTGCTTATTTCTCGTGATGACTGAACTTTTTGACTACATTAAAAAGTTGAAAGAGTTGGATTCTTTGAAGGATGAGCTGAGGTCGCTAAAGAGTCGCCAAGATGAAGAGATTCCTGTTTCAATTGAAAGACCAACCAAAGAGCTTCAAGATCTTGTTGATCTTTTGTTCAGTTTCAATGGTGAGATTGATTTGATTTCCTTGATACTTGGAGACTCCGTCAATGATTGTGTTAAAATCAAAACAGTTAATCGCAATGAGCTGATTAAAATGGTTTCAAATTTACGTCGACTACCTGATCTAACTCCAGATAAACTGATGGACATCAATATCTTGAGACAAAAGTTACAAGATGCTAACATATCAAGAAAAGATTTATTTTCTTTAATCAATTAACTCATTTTGAAGAAGCTGATTGACCAATTTACTTAATAAATTGACGCAAAACAAAAACCATTACCTTTTTCTTTTGTTCTGGTTAATTGTTAGCTGAAATTTGATGAGACTTTTTATTCAACAATTAAACCAGTTGACTTAATTTCTTATGTTAATTTGATTAATACGATTTGTTCCAATTCCATGTTGATTGTTGTCTGAATCTTTTTCTCTCTAATCAAAGTTGATTTGTGTTTCTCTTTTGACAGTTACCCTTTTACTACAAAATTTTCTCTTTTCTCTCTGTTGACAATTTATTTGATCTTTTAAATGGAAAACTCAATTAAATTTTTAAATGTTCTATTTAAATTGATTAGCGGATTAGCGATTGAGAATTCGGTAAAGCGGTTGAATTGTTTGTCAGCCCAACATTTCTAAAGATTTAGCTTACTTTTTTTGTCGAAAAGTTTGAATTTCTATTTAAATTTGTGACATTTCACCCCTTTGAATCTCCGATTTTAATGTTTCGCTGGAAGAATCATTAACTCTTATTGTTATTGTTCGTGAAAACTTTTTCTCTCTCTTTTGCCATTATTTGATCAAACGACAACTTGGACTTCATCATCGACATCAAATTATTTTCGATCCTTTTCTTTTCTCTCGAATTGACTCGCCATCAAAAGGATTCACGTAAAATTGTTCCATACCCGAAGATCATTGCCGTTCCTCGTCCAGTTCATATTCCTGTAAATGTAATAGTCTACAAGTTATCGTCAACAAGTTGAAATGATAGTTCCCTGAGTAGACATATGACGTATGACTAGGTCTTCATGTTTCAACCGATTTCCATGATTATTCATATTAATCTTACCTCAAGTGAACAGAAATTTTTAATCAATGGTGCGATTTTGTTTGAATAAAGCGGTTTAACTTTGGATCCATTTCTGATTAGAAAACTACAAGATACTTTTGGATCCAAATTCTCAATTTGTTTTGATGTAACCTTAAGATTTGATTGTGCTTGAGAAAATCAAAGTTAGAGTTTAAAGTGTTGAACAATTAGTTTTCTAACTATTCTTTATTGTAATTTAGATGTTTGCCTCTCTGTTAATGTTTAATTATGGACGCCTTGGACGGCTCATAGTCTCTTCCAGAAATTGTGCCACCTTTAAGGTACTAACAGCTCGTAAAAGTCTTCTCAATGGTGTAAACAGTGAACTTGATCGAGCCTTAATCGAAGCTCAAGAACTTGTACATTATTCAATGTTGGTGTTAAATCGCACAAGGAACGAAGTGATTGACACATTACGACAAGTATATGGTAATAAGAATCATCATCTATTGGAGGCAACCGAGTAAGTTGATGAGCGAAAACAAATTGATTTATTTTGTTATTGTCTCTTTATCATTTCTATTCATTGAACCATCTTATTTGATAGGAACCTTTTTGTTTATCTCTCATCCATTCATTTGTATATTCTTTTGATTGAATATATAATGGAAGAATTAATTGTTATCCTTTCTTTTCATTTCTTCCAGTGCTGCATTTTACAATAATGTCAACATCCAAATGCGAGAATTGATACTTCTCCTGATGTCAAGAATAACTCACCATCAAAATGATAAGTTGGACTCAAAATCTTTTGATGCTTCAAATGAGATTGTGAAGAAACAATTAACATTAACAGAGATTATTGAATTAATTTACAAAACCAATTTACTTCATCAAACAATTGCTAATCATCGTGTTGGCGAATCAAGTAGACTTAAAGCTGAAGATTGGAATATTCATTATAATAATAAATTAGCGATTTTATTTGGTGATTTTTACGTTGCCCGAGCTTGGGCTTCTCTGGGAAGACTTCGTTCAATTGATGTTAATCTTTTGATGTCCCAAGGAATTACGGACTTCACCGAAGGACAATTTATCATGCAAAGTGATGCCCAATTACCATCTTCATCCTCACCAACACCAACACCAACACCGTCCCATTTACCTTCATCCTCTCCATCTTCATCATCTTTACCAATCAAAGAAAGGCAAAAGGATGATAACTGTGATCCAGTGTCTGTTTGGGAAAAACGTCATTACCTGATGAATGCAAGTCTACCTGGTCATGCTTGTCAATCCATCAGTTCGGTGGCCAATTTAAATTTATTTCTTCAAGAAGCTGCTTTCAAATTTGGTAAAAATTTTAGTCTCTGTTGGCAAATATTAACCGAAATGGAACCATTTCTATCAAATAATAGTACTAATGTTGTTAATTCACATTCGGAACATTCAAAATCAACAAATAATCTAAACACAAATATAACTCCAACAACCTCATCATCAACAACCCCAGAACTAGTCATAGATCTTATGTCACTTCCAGTGTTACTTCAAATAGCTGATAGTGAATCAATAATTAATTCTAATCGAAATCACAAAGAGATATTAATTGCTCCGGACTCTACAACAAACTCAATCAACAACAATCAAGCAACTCAAATTGATATCGATAAATTGTACAGCTCCATAACTGGAGGACCGATAATTGAAAGGATTCGTTCAATTAGGAATCGATATGCTGATGAGGCATTAAACGCAATCAATTGTTTCTCAAAGTGTGATGCTTCATGTGCCTTAATTAATATTATAAACGCAATCAAGGAAACATAATTAATCACAATTTACGAAACAAATGAAAACAATTTTCGTTGACTGTGTCACCTCTTTGTAACTTATTCATATTAATAGATATACAGAATGTATCAATTGTAATAATTAAGCAGAGAAAAAACAAAAATTATTAACAGTTATTCAATCTTTATTAGAAGCAGTCTTAATTGTTTTCATTATTATAATTTAGAATAGGAAAAAGATGAGAAGAAATTGGGAGAGAGAGAGAGAGATAAGAGGTATGAAGAGAAGAGAACAGTCTATTGAAAGAAGATTGAAAAGATGAACATTTTCGCAATTTTAGTGTGAAATGATGGTTCTGATGAATTGCAATTAGTGAGAAAACGGTTAATTCAATTAAATTGTACATCCTAAATGGTCAGAGATGTTAATTCTGTTCTGTGGACCTAATTCTGTGATTCTCTTCTGTTTTGTTGTTTTTTCTGTTGTTGTGTTGGCTTTGTGATGTTGTTGTTGTTTTTGTTGTTGATGGTTAAAAATGCAGTTTATCCTCAATGTAATCCAATTATTAATCAATTATCATAATATTTTTATAATAATATTAAGTATTAGTTGTAGTAATTAGTGGTAATAGTTGTAGTAGTAGTTAGATGTAGACAGAATTGTTGGTGTTGCTGTTGGTGGTTGTGGTGGTTGGTGTTTGTGAAAATTGGTCGAAGGTAAAAGTTAATTGTTTAACCGATTGTTACATTACATTGCATTTTCCTTTCTCAGCCCATGGATTGTTTTTCTTATCCGGTGCATGTATCAATGGATCAATTGGCTCATTCTCTTCGATATAATCTCGCAATCTAAATGATAATTAACAAAAAAAAAGGAAATAACAGAATACAAGTTATTAGTTAATTGCATTTATCAAATAAAATGAAAGGTCTTTTCAATCATCACATAATCATTGAAAATTTAATAAACAAACTGTCAAGAAATTGATGGGAAACTAATAAACCGGTAGCCGGGAAATTAATGAATAATTTAGATTGATGTTCACAGGGAAAAGTACTGAGTAGTTCATTGTGAACATATAAATTTTCAACTGAATAGATTTAAATTGAGAGAAAAACAAATTACTATTTATATAAAATTAATATCAATCAATGTAACTAAACAATTGATAATAAGGGAAAAGGTTAAGGGATTGAAAGGAGATAAAAAATCAAGTGAAACCTTAGACAAACAATGGGATGAGATGAAGAAAAGCTGATTGTGTTTGTTTAAATTGTATTCATGTTAATCCAATTGAAGGTTAATATGAAAGATACAAAATGAATCTCAAAAATATGTAATCAATCATGTAATCAAAATCAATGAATAAGAAAACAGAGAAGTGGAAAGTTAAAATGTCAAAGTGATTGAGATTTGGGAAAAGTTGTCATCAGCTAATTGTTGGTAATGAATGTGATTAGTTTTACTTTAAATGAGAAGCCATTTTTTTTCATCAACTAATTGGATAAATAATAATTTCAAATTCTGCGGGAATTTTACCACCGCCATGTTATCACCTCAACTCTGGATCATTAATTAGACAGGAAAAAAAGATGTCATCAAACAACAAGATAAAAAGTTGTTAAGATAATCAATTGAATGGATTAATCTAAATCTATTGTGATCGTAATTAGCTTTTCAATTGTTTCAATTAACAAAAGAGAGAACCAGGTCAACAATTAATCTAGAGAAAGAGGACAAAACAATAACAATGGAAAACATGATTCCATTGGAGAGAGATTTTTGTGATGAGAGAAATTCATATTTGAACCACTCCTTTGTATTCACGGTGGATCTTGCTCTCTAACAAGGCTTTCTCTCCTATCTCTCTGTCTAAATCTCTTTCTATCTTTCTTTTGATAATTCTAATTTCTTCCTAATGTTATATGCGCCTGTGAGAGAGAAGGAATAAAACAAGAATCTTCGAAAGTAAAATGGTAGAAAGAGAAATAGAGAGAGAGAAAATCAAACCAAGACACAGAACCATGAGCCTTTTTTGGTGGATTTTGTTCATCAACCATTGACAACAACAAAGGAACAATTAAAATGTTGTGATTGTTTGACAGAATTTGATTATAATCAAAGGCAATTGACGATAGTTTAAAAGGAATATTTGGTTGATAAGGAAGGTGAGAAATTTAGGTTAGAGGGTGAGAAGATGAAGCTGCACAAATTGAACTAAAACCTGAATCCAGCGGAGTAAACATGAGATATCATAGAGAGAATAAAGGTTATTATATATCAACACATTGCTTTTTTTTCTTGCAAAGAGAGAATCGAACAGAAAGAGAGAGAAAACATCTCTGATTAACTGATTATGAATGAAATTGTGGATTGCATAAGATTGAAGATGTGATGGAATAAGTCAATTATTGAATATTAGACTTACGCTTGAATTGATTTAGAGAGAGGCCATCTTTCCATATGTGCTTGTATCCTCATGTTTTCAATTTGTTTCTGAAGTGTATCTTTATCCATTTCTAATTGTTATATTGTTGAGAGACACTTTTTTTGTTAATTGACAGAGACAAAGGAAAGAGAAAAGGTTGAGATATAGTGTGACAAAGATGATGGCGAGATGGTGGATGCGATGTGTATACTTATTGATGGTTGTGTGTGTAAAGAGAGAGAAAGAAAGAAAAAAAAACAAGTTGATGTGAAATGATGGCAAGGGAATAGACAAGATAAACCGAATATAAGAGATAGAGAGAAAACACCGAAATTCAGGGAATACAATACGATATAAAATTGAGAAGAAAACAACAAGGCGATAGAATGTTAGGATTTTTTTCTTATATTAGTATTTATCAACAATGTAGAGATGTTGTTTATGTCAAAGATGATGGTGGTGATGGTGGTTAAAGAGATAATCAGGAAAAGGGGGAGAATTGTGTTGGTATATGAGAAGATGAAAAGGAGACACCAAAAGGTAGATATTTATAAAACAAAAACAAAATGTACGAATGAGATTTGAATTGACTTAGGTTATAATTGACTAAACACAAGGGTTTAAATTATCAAGCAAATGAGAGAGAGAGAGAGAAAGAGACAGAGAGAGAAACAAGAGGATAGGAAAAGGGTGGTGGTGGAGATGATAGAATGGTAATGATGTTATATTGATGATGGTGAATAAGATGATGTGAGTGGTATCAACAGGGCTCCTTACAATCAGATAGACACACAGAAAGAAATATATTCATTCAATACGTGCAGCATATAACACTTTAGGCTTCACACTGGTTGTTGGTTGGTTACCTTTTCCTTGAGTCTCAATTGTTGATGATTTTTCTGGATAAACAGAGAAGGAGAAACAGAAAGAAAAAAGAAATTGGAAATTTTTTTTCTTTTCTTGGTTTTTGATGAGAGAAGGTGATGAAGATGATGATGATATTTATGTGTGGAAAAACAAAATATAAAAAAGGTAAATCAGGTAATAATGTAATGACAGATGAAGATGAAAAAGAAGAAAGAAAGATGATGGAGGAAAAAGAAGAGAGGAAAAATAGACTCTTTGGAAAATAGAGAAAGAGAAAATGAGAGGAACGAAAGAGAGAGAAAGAGAAACCAGAAAATGGCTCGTTTTTTTTTCTCTTCTAGACAGACTCAAAGAGACTCTCGGTTTCTTTCTCTTTCTTTTCTACGCCCTAGTATATTTTACTTTCTTTTTCTCTTTCTTTTTTCATTTTCATTACACACTCTCTCTCTCTCTTTCTCACCTTTCTTTCTCCATCATCTCTCTCATCTGGTAGATTTTGGGTCCAATTTGAAACTTTGATTGGTAGTGATGATGGAGATGAAGTAGAAGTAACTTTTGTTTCTACAATTGTTGTTGTTGTTGTTGGTGAAGATGAAGATGAAGATGGAGATGAAATTGTTGACGATGATGATGATTTAGATGATAATTTAATCCATTGATAATTACCTTCTAAAGGTAGTTCATTTTTAAAATCAAAATTGTATCTTGCACAATGTTCATTTTCAATTTTGTCCAGTTCGGCTTTTAAAAATTCACTAGTTTCTCGGTGATGATCAATTAAATTACTATCAACAAACAGAGCTCTTTTAACGGTAAGTAATTGATCAAAATTTCGTTGTAAATTAGCGGGTTCTTGTTGTTGTTGTCTTCGTCTTCGTCGCCGGGAATTACGATGATGATGATGATGGAGAGAATCAACATTTCTTTTAAGAATATGTTTCATCTTAAAATTAACTTCTACCTTCATGATTTCCAATATAATAATCCAATAGAATTGAAAGTAGAATAGAATAAAATAGAAAATATAAACAAAAAAGAATAGAATAAAAAGGAACAGAAAATAGTAAAACTTCCAAACACAAACAATTAGAAAACAATCAAATCAACTAAAAATCAATCGATGATTTAAGATGAGGAGGGAATGAGAGAAAGAGAAAGAGAAAAAAAATAAGAATAAACTGAAAGTTGACAAGAATTCATGTCAACATTTAGAATAAAATTTTCTTTTCCAACAAAAAAGAGAACAAAACAAAATTAAAATTTTCCATTAAATTACTTTGAGAAGGTAAACACTTTGAATTTAATCCACACAGTTAAAGGTAAGAATTAATTGTTCTCGTTAATATGAGAATTGATTTAAAATATTGACAAGAAAGAAAAAGAAGGCACATTAATTGCGAAAAGAAAAAAAGTAAATTAAAATTGGGAATTAAATCTCATTACTCTTGGTTACCAATTCCATTTAAAGACTATGACGTATCCAAATCCACGCCCTTTCGGTCTGGTGATATGGAAGAAGGAAAAAAGCATGTTACTTGTTTCTCTTTATTTGCTTCTCTTTCTTTTCTAATTGTTACTTTTAATTACAATTCCAAGTGAAAATTATCCTTTCCAATACACTTCCCGATCATCTTTATATCTATTCTCCTTCTGTCTCTCGGTTTTTACTGTTCTTTTCTTAAAAACATGTAAATAAATTAATTGGGTTCATCTATGGTTACAAATATGAAGAATTTTTCTCCTTCGAAGAGAAGAAATTTTCGACAATCTCCAATTCGATCAACAATATATTAATTGTCATCATCTTTGTCTTCTTCTCCTTCCTTCCTTTTCCATGGTGGAATGATTATAAGGCCTCTGGGCTATTAGGTGAAGAGCCAATGGATTATGTGAGCCGGTTGATCTCTTGGCTTGTTTATTTTGGATCCAAATATTAATCTGAGATTCATTTAGTTTAAGATCTCGCGCCAATGCTTTACGATGTTTATCATTTAAATATCTGGTTCAATTGTCATACAAGATGAAAAGAGTCAAAGACAATTATTGACAATTAGTTTTCCATCATCAACATTAATATTATAAGCAAAAAGAAAATGGTCTTATTGTTACTTACTTGTTATCATTTTGAATTCTTGCTGCAATCATGTTAATTGCTCGGCTGAGAATCCAGTTCGAAGCCTTTCTTGATCTTGGACCTTTACGAGAAAATAAGACAAAAAGATTAGTTTTAACCGATAGATTGAAGGTACAGGTAATTATCGGTTAAAAATATCTCCAATTCACTAAATAATAACACCGAATGAGATGATAACCTAACAATAATTGTAATACTAAATTCAATTATCATAACTATTACCTGATGAAGGTCTATTTGAATATCTTGGACAATCAACTCATGTAAGAGAATAGAGTTTGATGAGGTGAGTGAAGTTACCTGACGATGGCTCGATGATCCATCACATGTTAAGAATCGTCATCCCGCTCATTATAACTGAACGAGGTTCGACTTTTTTAAATGTTGGTCACTTTCACTGCATTATGACAGTTGAAGTTTTCAATATTAACTTTAATATTTAATTGATCAAAAGGGTAATTAGTTGTTAAATTAACTGTTATATTGTTACGAAATCGAAAATGATGATTTAATTGATAAAGGTGATGAGCTTGCTTTGGTTAAGCAAATGCTGGTGGTGAAAATGATATTGACTATGATGACGAGAATTCACAATATTTCCCCTCGATTCCGGTGAATGGATTGGAGAAGTTTTTGTTGTTGTTTTGGTAGGTAGCGGTGATGTTGATTTAATTGATTTTGACGATGAATTGACTTAGGTTATAATTGACTAAACACAAGGGTTTAAATTATCAAGCAAATGAGAGAGAGACAGAGAGAGAAAGAGAGAGAAACAAGAGGATAGGAAAAGGGTGGTGGTGGAGATGATAGAATGGTAATGATGTTATATTGATGATGGTGAATAAGATGATGAGAATAAGAAATTAGTTATTTCTGTAAGGCTATTTGTCTATAACTATTCATTATTCTAACGACACTTTAACATATGTTCCGAGCATTTTCCTCTTCTCTTGAATTTCTGCCCACATGAAGGACACAAGAAGGTAAGGTGAAAGTGTTGTTCGAGTAAATGTCTTCGCCAATTATCACGATAACGGAAGATTTCACCACATACAAAGCACTCTAAATTACCATCCTCAACTAGGAAGCATGCAGGATGTGGGAGGAAGCTTTTTATCACAGAAGTGATTCTCTGAATATCTCGGTCTTCTTGAGAAATTGCATTGGGCTCATCATTGTCATCATTTGATGGAGACATAAGTTTAGAGCTTCGTCTTGATGCGCTGATGGGCGTTGCGAAAGTTGCTTGTGATTCAGTTAATTTGATGGATGTTGAAGAGGTTTGTGTGGTTGGAGTTGCAGTTGTGGTGGTTTTAGATGGATTTGGAGTTTTTGTTGGATTGGGTTTCACTGTGATTGGAGTTGGGCTCGGATCTGATTCATCAGCTGACGAGGAAGTAAAAATTTTTCGCTTACGAATCCGTAAACGGTTTGACCATGAAGAATCCGTTGAATCGGTAGATGAAGGCGGCTTTGGAGAGTAGTTATCACTATTTACGTTGTTATGAGCATCATTGGGAATATCATTCCGTCCATCATTATGAACATTAGATTGGTGTTGATGTTTTCTTTGAGCATCATTTCGAGATGAATTCTTTCCAACAAGATGACCACCATTGTCATCGTTAGTTTCTACATCAATGGAACCATTTTTTCCCTGATTGGCCAATGGAATATCCAAATTATTTAATCGGGTAATAACGTCATCAGCTCTACTTGGACCAGTAAGATGAAAACCTTTGTACAATAGATCGTATAAGCATTTTAACCCATATTCATCCAAACCAGGCATTTTAATGGCTCCAAGACACTCGGACACCAAGATTTTTTCTTATATTAGTATTTATCAACAATGTAGAGATGTTGTTTATGTCAAAGATGATGGTGGTGATGGTGGTTAAAGAGATAATCAGGAAAAGGGGGAGAATTGTGTTGGTATAAGAGAAGAAGATGAAAAGGAGACACCAAAAGGTAGATATTTATAAAACAAAACAAAATGTACGAATGAGATAGGCTTCACACTGGTTGTTGGTTGGTTACCTTTTCTTTGAGTCTCAATTGTTGATGATTTTTCTGGATAAACAGAGAAAAGAAATTAGAGTTTTGTAAAACATAAACACAAACTCACTCTCGCTTTCTCACCTTTCTTTCTCCATCATCTCTCTCATCTGGTAGATTTTGGGTCCAATTTGAAACTTTGATTGGTAGTGATGATGGAGATGAAGTAGAAGTAACTTTTGTTTCAACTACTGTTGTTGTTGTTGGTGAAGATGAAGATGGGGATATAATTGTTGATGATGATGATGATTTGGATGATAATTTAATCCATTGATAATTACCATCTAAAGGTAGTTCATTTTTAAAATCAAAATTGTATCTTGCACAATGTTCATTTTCAATTTTGTCCAGTTCGGCTTTTAAAAATTCACTAGTTTCTCGGTGATGATCAATTAAATTACTATCAACAAACAGAGCTCTTTTAACGGTAAGTAATTGATCAAAATTTCGTTGTAAATTAGCGGGTTCTTGTTGTTGTTGTCTTCGTCTTCGTCGCCGGGAATTACGATGATGATGATGATGGAGAGAATCAACATTTCTTTTAAGAATATGTTTCATCTTAAAATTAACTTCTACCTTCATGATTTCCAATATAATAATCCAATAGAATTGAAAGTAGAATAGAATAAAATAGAAAATATAAACAAAAAAGAATAGAATAAAAAGGAACAGAAAATAGTAAAACTTCCAAACACAAACAATTAGAAAACAATCAAATCAACTAAAAATCAATTGATGATTTAAGATGAGGAGGGAATGAGAGAAAGAGAAAGAGAAAAAAAAATAAGAATAAACTGAAAGTTGACAAGAATTCATGTCAACATTTAGAATAAAATTTTCTTTTCCAACAAAAAGAGAACAAAACAAAATTAAAATTTTCCATTAAATTACTTTGAGAAGGTAAACACTTTGAATTTAATCCACACAGTTAAAGGTAAGAATTAATTGTTCTCGTTAATATGAGAATTGATTTAAAATATTGACAAGAAAGAAAAAGAAGGCACATTAATTGCGAAAAGAAAAAAAGTAAATTAAAATTGGGAATTAAATCTCATTACTCTTGGTTACCAATTCCATTTAAAGACTATGACGTATCCAAATCCACGCCCTTTCGGTCTGGTGATATGGAAGAAGGAAAAAAGCATGTTACTTGTTTCTCTTTATTTGCTTCTCTTTCTTTTCTAATTGTTACTTTTAATTACAATTCCAAGTGAAAATTATCCTTTCCAATACACATTCTAATCATTTAGAAATGATATCCAACAATTAGAGTGAACAATTAAAATCCATTTGGTTGGGCCTCCCTTTTGGTTTATTATTAAGTCTCATCATCAGTTGGAGTGGATCTTGGTATGTATCCTCTTCCTCTCTCTCTCTCTCTCGTGTATCTTTTTTGTATCTCATCCTATTACATTTTTGGATAATTAATTTGACTAATTAATGGTATCTAATTGTTGACGTGTGTCCTTGTCTCTCTATGGAGTTTACCTTAGAAAAGGATATTGTGTTGACCTTTTTTGTTGTTTTTCTATAAATTGGCTAATGTTTGGTTTCTTTTCTCATTTCTAGGATCCACTTTGAATCATCTGCTCTTCTTAACTTGTTGGTAATTTTCTTTGATTTCTATTGTTTTTGAGGTCATTTCATTATCAATTTGGTGGATTTTTCGTTTCTCCTTCAATCTAATCAGTGATGCCAATCCATTCTCGTGCAAAAGGCTGCAATCGGCATAAGTCTCGTATCCAAAAGACCAGGAAACGCAAGCGAGATATTGATCAAATTCAAGAGGAAGCGACATTCATTGGTGATGAAATTATCTTCGATAATTCCAATAAAATCATTGAGCCTGATGACGATTTACCAGGACAAGGATTATTTCCTTGTCAAGCTTGTGCGTAAGTGACTTATTGTATCTCTTACACACTCTTAATTCCTGAGTTTTTCCATTGATTGATTTTAATTGTTTATCTCTTTTTGATTGTTAAGTGAGAGTTTAAATATGTATCTTTGTGAATATCTTTGCCAATTTATCAAAAGTGTTACTCTATTTCAACAACAATCATCAACTTAATCTAAAGATTGATGAACTTGTAGTTTTACCGCCAAGTTTTTTTCTTTCCTTGTTTAATCTGATTACTTGATTGGATTGATTTAAGAGTTTTCACTTCAAAGGCTTAATTATTTTCCGCGTAAACACTTTCACGATAAATTTTGCAAAGATAACATGAGATTCTTAATCATCTAGAAGGGTTATTAATATTTTCCTTTCAATTTCCATTTAATTTAGGCGGCACTTTATCGACCAGAAGACATTAGATGAACACACTCGAAGTAAAGTTCACAAAAAACGTTTACGAGAATTAAAAGAGCCGATGTACACTCACGCCGAGGCGGAAGCGGCCGGTGGATTAGGAAATTTCACTCCACCCAAGAAAAGGAAAACATCTCATATGGAAGTAGAAGTTGTTACCAATCAATGAAAACATTCTGATGAAAATGACTTCCGAATTTCGTTGCTTAATTGTTACAAAATGTTCTCAAATCAATTTGAATCCAATGAGTATCAGGACAATTTGCGCTTTTCTGTGATAATCAAAACTCTGCTCGACTAAATTAATTTCTAAATTGATTAAAAGTATAATCAAACATGAGCGATTTGTGGTGAGTAAAATGTAACCACAGTAAACTCAAGTCTCATCATAATTTCATCGGGTCAATTGATTAAACTCTTGATTAGGTAATTATCCATTAAGCTTACGCATTGGATTAAGAATACATTTTAATCAATCTAAATTCTAGTTTTGAAATTGTATTTTCACAAATAAAAAACTCTTACATGTTAGTCTTGACTTTCATTCAAAGATTGAAAAACAATTAACGAGTAGACCGAAAAAGCGTTTAATTGACAATTTTTGCTCTTTACCGAGTTGAGCCAATGCTCAGTCGATCAACTGTCGATTGATTCAATCAACTTCGGTATCTAAACTTGAAGATTATCTTCAAGTGAATTATTAATAGAAAAATAACCGAGATTAGTAAATGTAAACACAAATTGATTTAGAAATTAACATTTACTTGTAACATGATTTTTTTGGACGAAAAGATGATTAACTGATTGTAAACAGAGATTAATCTCTTTTTTAACTTGGTCGATTTTAAATTGATTGATTTTAAGATGATTTGTTTAAAGGCCTTTATGGTGAATTTTGATTAGAATTGTTGTATGGTAGAGAAGCGCAATGATCAACAATTTACTTGGAATTGGTATTAAATTGTTGAACGTTTTTCCAATTTGTAAATAACAATCAACATCATTTCCATTTCCATTTCCATTTGATCCAAAATTGTAGTGATTTCGCCTTCTTATGACACTAATTGACAGTTGATAGGAAAAGATTATCAATACGAATCAATTGGTAGAATTGTTAGAGAAAATTGAGATTCCATTCCAAATATTATTACATCAATGGAAAGAAAAAAATAATCGAGGGAGAAAGGAAGATGTTCCATGAAAGAATTGGTGTCTACAACTTGTTGGCTTGTTGATTCAGAATTTACAACTGTAATCAATTTACTGACTAAAAGCAATTGCAATTGATTGGGATCATCTTTTCAATCGTCATCTTCCTCTTGAAACATAAATAGACCAATTTTATCAAGAAACCAAGCACCCAAATGAGCAGCATAAGCACCAGCAAAAACACCAGCAACAACCGTGATTAAAGTTAACCCATAGATTTTCACTTGACTGTTTTTCCCATTTGATTCCATGAACTGATCAATTTGCTCAATTTGTCGATCCATTTGCTCGTATAATTTATCCAATATTTGCTCATCGATAGTCACCTTATTATCGTCATCATCTTTTCCTTTGTTATCCTTGGTCATTTCTTGGTGACTCTTTGAAGTGACAGATGAATCAGCTGTTGATGAATATAAATTTTTAGGTAATAAACTGATTACACGTTCATTTGTTAATATTTTGATCAATTGTTGACTATCACGCTTTTTAATTGCACTTTGATAATGTAGATATCTTTTCATGAGAAGACGATGATTGGTGAAAATTGGGCGAGACTTGAGAGCCAATTGATTCCACATATTGAAAGTAATTTCAAGTTTTCCTTTTTTCTTATAGAATTAAACATAAAACAGAATCAACAGGTAACACTTATTAACATGGAAAACCAATCAAGGTGAACAATATGGGAACATCAGATAAAAATATTGAGGAAATAAAGGTTTCGTTAACTCATTAGTTAGAAATTTTGTTTTGATCAATATGAGAGTTGCTTGCAAAGAGCAGCGAGAGAGAGAGAGAGAGACAGAGCGATGTGTCAACACCAACAAAAACTGTTTGGGGAAGAATCTCAAGGTAGTCGCCACAGTCGCTTTTCTCTTTCTTTTCGTCAACAAAATTGATTAAAGTTCTTCAATGATTTTTAGGCCATTTTTCGGTGAGAATTCAATTGAAATATTGATTTTCAACTTCAAATTGGTCAACTCAGTTTCTTCTTTTATTATTCTTTGTTTGGTAGTTGAAACTTATCAACAAGATGAGCTGATTAAATGCGAGAAAGATGAAACCAGTTGTTGCTCCGGAGAAGATTTTAATTGTAGTTATCCTTCCGATGTTGGTGATTAGCCTTGAGGTGGAAAATATCATGTTAACACCTTTCAGTGGCACATTTGAACAATCGTAGGAACAGAAAATTCATAAAATCAACTGTTGCTAGAAATGAACAACAACGATGATGATCAGCGAAATTGTAATAAGATCAAGGAAGAAGAAACGAGAATAAATCAAATTGTATTACTAAGTTTTACTCGTTGGTTTATTAATAAATATAAATTCAAATGATCGCCAAGAAAAAGAAAGTAAAATAAAATTAATGAAAATTGGTAATTAAATCTCATTACTCTTGGTTTCCAATTCCATTTAAAGCTTGAGAGTAAAGAGAGTTTTTTACATTGGTGAGCGAGAAAAACGATTAAACCACTCGAAGATTTGTAAAAGAGAGAATCTTTTACTTTCGAAGTTCGAACCATCGGTGTTTATTGGATTCTGTGTTTTTATGGTCACATTTGGTAATTTTTTGCTTCTATATTGTTGACTCATTCAATGCTCGTTATTATCGTTCTCTTGTTTGTTGTAGAATATTTGATTGATCTGTTGAGGTTTCAGATGCCTGAGAATAAGAGTACATCTTATGATTCTGTTAATATAAACATTAGATTATTTCTCTGTTAAATATTGAGATGGTAATGGAATTGCCCCGAGGATTGTCTTTGGATTAAAATATCATCGAAAATGAAATGGTGATGAGGATAAGCCGAGTTAATTTCATCAAAATTAATCTATGGATTAAAATCCATCCTGTCCAATCAATGTTTCTCCATCTTTATCCTTGTCCTCTCCTCCTCTTCCTACCCCTGTCCTTCTCTCTCTTTCTCTCTGTCGCTATTTCCGTATAAAAGTCAAGCAATTTGACCTGAAGAAATTCAGTTCTGGTCATCAGTCAATATCGAATTGTGAATAATTTCCAATCTTCAAATCTACTCTATTTTTCTCCTTCTTCAATCTCAGTTTATATTCCAACTCTAACCAAGTGAAAATGTCTTATTCTAATGTTCATCTGACTCTTTTTACTTTAGTTGTATTCTCTTCCCTTTATTTGTCTTCCTGTAAATCTCATGTTGTGGTCAAAGATTCAACGGGAGTGATCGATGGATTCAAGAAAAAGGCCGAAATGGCTGGAATGGTTTCTGGAGCTTCGGTTGGTTTTGGCAAAGCGATTCTAAAGAGTAAAATCCAAGAACCTGTGGTGAAAGAGATCTACACCCAAGTGAAGCCAAAAAAGCCCGTTCTTAAGGTGAAATGGGTCGAGGAAGTGAGACCAGTACTGGTTCGAGTGAACGAAGAGCCAAAAACTGTTTACAAGAAGAAAATCATTAAATCGACCAAGAAAACGAGCATTTTCAAGGCTGGTGTTTTGCCTTATGTCAAAGGCTTTTTCAAAGGAAAATGGGCTGCGAAAAGTGTATCTAAAGTATTGAAACATTAAATTAACAGCGACAAAAATTAACTGATTGTTTCTCTGTCCAACCAATTCCAATTCCAATTCCAATTCCAATGCTCAATATGTTTTTATAAGAATAATTTTCTTTTCTTCATAAATCTCTAGAAATCGATCCTTTTATAACTTGTATTAAATCATTCGATCATTTTGAAAATAAAATTTCCCTTTTATTTATATTAACAACTTTCACTTCTTTCTTAATCAGTAATTGAATTATCGATAATCAACTTGATTCAATTTAGAATTTGAAATAAAACTGAATTACCGCCAACGTTTATTTCCTTGGAAACGATTCTGATTGTTTACTTTTTATTTTGTTCTTGTTGATGATTGACAATGAACTGATTTTTTGATTTCTCTCCAAATCATAATTAGTTTTTTTACAATTTTCCATTTTTAATCATTCATAATCAATTTCATCATGGAATCTGGATTGATTGAAGTTTCCAAAGAAGTGTAAGTTACTATTGAATTATCTCGATTCTTATTTGTTTGTCTTATTCAATTTCTCATTTCAATGATTAATTTTTTTTTCTAATTCTTTTACCAATTCAAATTCAGTTTATCCAAACCAAAGGTTAAAGGTTACATGGCGATCGACGAGAAAGGTTTATGTTTACATTCTGAAGGAATCAATGAAAATCTTTCAGGAATATTTTCTTCCATAGCAAATTCAGCTAAACTTTTGGATTCTCAAGATGAACCTGTCATTGAATTGGAAACTGACAAAGGGTGTGTAGTTAATTTAACTCTTTCTATCTAATTGATGATCAATTTAATTGTATTCTAATCAATTTATCTCTCTTTTCATTGTCTTTTTTATTCTTCTCTGTTGTAGAAAAATTTTGATCCAAGGAAAAGGAAATATTGTCACAACCATTTACAAGACTAAATAGTGAATATATTTTTGTCTTCGTCGTTTTTTACTACCATTTAAAAGCTCATATTGTTACTCTTTTCATGTTGATTACTAAATTAAATTGGTGATCGACATATTCAGTGTTTTGGATGAATAATTTAACTTGTGTGAGGGAAACATATTCCATTTTCGCAGAGAAATATATGGATTTCTTTATTATTTCATCGATTCTCATTCGTCATTGTTGATGTAATATTTACGGGAATGACAATTATGTTGAGTATCATCTAAGTAAATAGGACATTGAATCTATTTATAAATATATTAGAGGTCAAGTTGGGTGTAAAATTGTTCTTAAAAATATCACAGAAATGTCACAATTAGTAATCCAAAAGAGACAGGACACTTAAAGAAAAAAAAACTAAAAGAAAAAGGGATAAAAGCTCCTCAAGCTTTTCTTTTTCATATGCACAGGTATAGAGAATGGTTTTAAAATGATGAATTAAAGTAAAGGATGAGAAGAAATATGATATGATAGATAGAACTCCAAAAGGTAAAAGCTATTAAAGCGCTAAAATGAATTGATAATGTGCGAGATTAATGAGGCCAAGAAGAGAAAAAAAAGAGTAGAATAGGAAATGTACTAATAGAAGAGGAAGAAGCAAATAATTATCCTAGACAAGTGAAAAGATAGAGATAGAGAGAGAGAGAGATAGTCCATGAACAGTTAGACAATCATGATGATCAAGTTATTCTTGGTAAAACAGGTAGAATTAAATTTCCAAAGGCTGAATCTTGTGTAATAAAATAACCAAAGCTGTTCTGATGTGCATGATGTAAAGCGGTTCTTTCTCGTTGACTATTATTACTGCCACTACTAACTGGATTCATATTATTACTGTTAATTGTATTAATTGAATAATTTGTATCGATGAAAGCTTGATTAGTTCCAGGATTATTGGTTACCGATGAGGTTCCAGACAATTGATTTTGTTTCAATAATTGTTGCTTTTTTTGAACATCTTCCAGTAGTCTAACTCGGTCGACAGCTAAATGGAAGAGAGAAAAAAAAATTGAAAAAAGAACAAAACAAAACAGAAAAAAAGATAAATTGAAATGAAAAGAGAATAGAATTATTTTATTAATTCTCTTACCTTGGCGTGGATTAGGAGCTTGAAAAGACATTTAATTGTAAATTGATTAAAATTACTAAAATTAAATAATACACACAAAGTGTTCAACAAACAATTAGATTCATTTAAAATCAACAATCAAAAAATGAATTTCAACTCAACCTCTTTCCCCATTTTGCTCGAGGTTTAGCCGAACCAAGACTATTTTCACTAATTCTTCGTGTAAATAAACACATGTTTCGATTTAAATTGTTAACTTTGATTGGAACAAAATTAAATCAAATTGTTTGTTTAAAAGTTACTTTTGGCTGTTGAATATTAAATCAATCCAATTGTTTAACCTTCTAAACGAGTGTTAGTTTTGACTAAATTATCCCTTTGTTGATTCATTGGTTTCTTTTGTTAGTAAATTGTGTTGACAGTTACTAATTGTATCTATTAAATTGTTTATCCAGCTAATTAAATAAATCTGAGGATTAGAGGAGAATCCAAGTTTATAGTATGGCCAAATTAACCAACAATCAATTGAATGATTTCAAAATATTCACTAATCATCTTCGTTTTGTTGAACCATCTGAATGTGATTGATTGCCAATGAATTATTTAATAACAATGTAATTGTTTATCATTGAGAGACAATCAAATGTTTTAATCGTGGTGACAGATTAGAAATGATTAGTTTTATTCAATTTTATTGAATCAACTCTCAATGACAATCAATCAGTCTGTTGAATCTTAATTCGAATCATCAATTGCCTGGAAAAACATTAACAGACCCACTTGAATATCCGATAATCATCATTGATTAATTTAATCTAATCAACGGTCTTACATTAAAAATAAAGACTAAATCAAAATTATCTCAACTAATCAAGCTAATTAATCAGTTAACCGATATGAGAGTATAAAAAATAGTCATTAAGAAACCATTCACATTGAACATTTAATTGTTTTTTCTGGAAAATTGATTCTGTAAATATGGTTTTAATTGCGACAACAAGACGATTGTTAAAATACAATTTCAACAAATCATTTCGAAGGTGAGAAAAAAACTTAATTGTTCTAAAAATGATTCACTTTTACTAATCAATCTAATTGTTTTCCATTAGTCTTTCATACCTGATATCCGACCCAAAGTACAGTTTTCTGAAAAATCTTGGATTAGATGAGCAAAATTTAGGTGTTTATAATGGTGAATGGTTTGGACATGGAAAGGTAACAATTAGTTAATTGTGTGTCAATATTTTGTGTCCTACTTTTGTCTTGTTTTGTTAATTCAGATTATCAACTCAATTTGTCCTGCCAATGGTCAACCAATCGCCTCTGTGGTAACGGGAGATGTTGATGATTACGAGAAAACCGTTAGGACAACTTATGATTCTTGGAGTCAATGGGCTGAGATTCCAGCGCCTAAACGAGGTGAAATCGTCCGTTTGATTGGAAATGCATTGAGAGAGAAAAAAAGTGACCTTGGTCAGTTGGTTTCTCTCGAAATGGGAAAAATTTCCGCCGAAGGTGAAGGCGAAGTCCAGGAATACATCGATATCTGTGATTATGCCGTTGGTTTATCTCGAATGTTTGAAGGTAAAATAATCCCGTCAGAGCGACCTGGTCACATGTTACTCGAAACTTGGAATCCATTGGGAGCCATTGGCATAATAACGGCCTTTAACTTTCCCGTTGCTGTCTACGGTTGGAACAACGCACTTTCCCTGGTCTGTGGTAATTCAATGGTCTGGAAATCGGCACCGACAACACCTTTGTCATCGATTGCAGTCATTAAAATCGTTTCTTCGGTTCTTAAGAAAAATAATTTACCAGGTGAGATGAAAATATGACCTGAGTTGGACTCGAACTCATTATTTTTTCTGTCAAATCTCAGGTTCCATTTGTTCATTAATTTGTGGCGATTGGCAAATAGGCGATGCGATGGCTCGGGACAAACGTTTACCTCTGGTTTCGTTCACTGGAAGTACTTCTGTTGGAATGGAAGTTGCAACGAATGTACAAAAGCGATTCGGTCGATCACTTCTCGAACTTGGTGGTAACAACGCAATAATCGCATGTGAAGATGCTGATGTTGAAATGTTGGTTCGATCTGCGGTGTTTGCCTGCGTTGGTACCGCTGGACAAAGATGTACAACAACCCGACGATTGATTGTTCACTCGTCAATTGTTAATCGAGTTGTTGATCGATTAGTTAAAGCCTATTCTCAGGTTCGCATTGGGTCACCTTTAGATTCGGGTACATTGTGTGGACCACTTCATTCGGAATCGGCGGTAAACACTTTCCTCGATACAATCGCAGAAATCAAACGTTTAGGTGGAAACATTATCACCGGTGGCAAGAAAATTGACCTTGATGGTGGATTCTTTGTTGAACCAACAATCGTAACCGATATTGACCATAAATCACCAATTGTCCAGCGGGAAACTTTCGCACCAATAGTCTACATTTTACCTTTTGATTCTTTCGAGGAAGCGGTTACAATTAACAACGAAGTTGATCAAGGACTATCTAGTTCATTGTTCACCCAAACTCTTAACAACATCTTCCGTTGGATTGGACCTAAAGGATCAGATTGTGGCATCGTTAACGTTAATATACCGACAAGTGGAGCGGAAATTGGAGGTGCTTTTGGCGGAGAAAAGGTAATAGAATATTCAATTCAATTCGAGTGAAAGAAAAACTTTCTCGAAAAAGAATAATTTTGTTTTTTTCTTTTCTAAAATAATCTTTTTCTACCCTCAGGCAACCGGCGGTGGACGAGAATCCGGAAGTGACTCATGGAAACAATATATGCGTCGATCGACCTGTACAATCAATTATAGCCGAGAATTACCTTTATCACAAGGAATTAAGTTTGAATAAAAAGATGAATCAAATTAAATTAACTGAAAATCATCTCGATCATTTTCATCTTTAAGTTAATCAACTTAAATCGTGATTACAATTGTAAATATCGATAATAAGAAAAAGCAATAAGGTTAATCATGTTATTAACTTTGCTAATTACTTCAAAAACGAGTTAGATTTTTAAAAAATTAACCAAAATCTTAAACCAATCAGAGAGATTTGAATGACTGTTATTAACTTTTGGACTTTTGGTCAGTTGAGTGGACATTTGCTCTCATTATATTTCAACTGCTTTACTACCCACGTGTTTAGTTTGACTTTCATTATCTACAAATCAGTTAATTGTGTATTTTTTATTAATTGTTAATTAATCAATGGATAAATTTGTTGAATTGGTTGAGAATTGGGTCAAGTTATCAAAGGATTTTGACCATTTAATTTCACCCACATTGATTGAAAACTTTACCGAAACAGTTAAAACTTTCAAGGTAATTTCAGTTGTTAAATGTTAATTGTGTGTCTTTTTGTTTAATTTATTGTTCTAATTTATTGTTGATCATCATTATTTTCAGGAGAAATCAATTGATTGTGATTCAAAGAGGAAAATTATCCAAGTTTTATTACAATTCATGTATCAAAGTCTTCAGGTTCTAGTGGAAAATGGTGCAATTAAAAATGGTTCGTTACTCGAACAATTTGAAAAATCAGTCAATGATTATATGAATTGTGAACTAGAGTACGAGCATCGTCAGGCCATTGTGGCCTTAAACACGGAAAACCAATTGGAGTGTCACATTTGCGGTGCAGTTTCAACTAAATACGCCAAATTGAAGCGACATTATCTTAAAGTACATAAGCTGAGTGGCGATGTTTTAAATTGTAAGAAAATGAAATTATCTTGAAGAGACAATTAAGCAAATCCACTGATTGTCTACAATCAATTCATTGAGATTTCCTTAAATTGTCAACTTTTTGTCTCGTAAGTAGCGATGAAAATAAACTGGAAATCGGATTGGCCACAAAAAGATGAAAAATAAATCCACCAATAAATGAGAGAAAAATCAATTCGAATACAAAAAATATCTAAATCAAATGATGGAAAATACAACAATCAGTCAACATCAACAATAAACTACCAACAATTAAAACTTACATATACTTTAGTTGATAAAATTGTAGTTCGTTGGTAATTATAATACAACATAATTACACAAATATGAGCATAATATGATGACCGTAATAAAGTTGAGACAAAATGAAGGAATCGATGATTATTTGTATCTAAATTATTGGCTGATTGATTGTCGACAATTTGATCCGATGGATGTGAAAAAAAGTCTCTTAATTGTTCACAATTAGCAAGAACAATCGAAGAGTAAAAAGATAAATTAACAAGACGATAGAAAACCCAATAGATTGAATTTAAAACTGGTCCATCGTAATCACTCAATCCAACCCAAACAATTGGTAATAAATGGAGACTTAAAACAATCAGAATAAATTGTTTACCCAATTTAATTGATTGTTGTCTCTTAGTTAGAATCAAATAAGCCCATAAAGGTGAACTCAGGTAAATCCATATATGTGGAGGTGATTGTAAGAGTGCCTCATGCATCGTAATGATTTCCCTGGAAAACAACAACAAAAGGTAAACAATTAACTAATTGTTCCAACTACAATTGTAATCAAATTCACCTTGGATCAAAGACTCGAGATAGATCATGAGGTTGAGGGTTGTTAATGAAAACATAGATTCCAATGTATAAAAAACCAGCGAAAACAATTGCGATGTTAATTGTTACCGCGATTTTGGGTGATCGTTTATAAAGGTGAATTAAGATTATAATCAAAGGTAACAATTGATATTCAACGGCAATTGACCAGGTATGTGGGTGACACTAAAGGAATTAGAGTTAATTGTTTGGAGCAATTTAAATTGTCTCTTAATTGTACTTACAATTTCACTGATTGGTCTTATATTATTTTGCCAGAAAAATAAATTGCTAAGAAAATTTTTGCTACAAATTTTTGAAACATGTTCACTTAGATTGTAATTTAAAGGACCAGTGACAATTAGTGGCATAATTATCATGAAACAAGTTACCGGGATTAAGTTAATTGTGATTCTATTGAGAAAATTAGGTGACAATTGGTTAATTGTTGATTGTTTGCTCAGTGTTTCAATACCTACGAAATCATCCTAATGATCATATGTTTAAACGATGAAATTAATGAAGTTGAAGGTCCAGTTACTTTCCATAGTGAAAATGAATGAGTTATTCCACTGATTCGTATGAATTGATGATTGAGAACAATTAGTTTCAACAATTAAGTTAATTTTCTGCGAGAAAAATTAATATTCTTACCCATAGAAATATAATATTTCGGCAAAGTAATCGGGTGAACTTCTCACCCACCATTCGTGGCGATGCTTCAAAGTAAAGGCTGAATTAGCTGTTGATGGAATTAAATTGTTAACAATTTAGATGATCATCTAAACGGGTTGATTGTAATTACTAACCAAATAGTCCCCAACCTAATCCAGTCATGAACCAAATTAAGGCATGAATACCAATTGAATACAAATGAACAGTTATTGAGAGTCGAGTTAGAAATGTATTCCTTGGAATTGGATTAGGAACAATTAGTGAATTGTAACTTCTAATTAGTGAAAAATGTTCAATCCAATTGGATGAATTAACAGCTGACCCAATGAAATACCAATGGTACCAAGTACAATAAAGGTTGACCAAAACAATGGACAATAGTAAAGCCCTTTAACACCAAGAAAAGTATCAATGGTCAATTGGTTGTAATTTGATTCTCTCTAACAATTAACTTACAATGAAATCCTTTGAATTAAATTTGATTTGACCACTTCCTCAACTAGACTTGTCTTGATTGTACATTGATTGATCATCAAATGTTTCCAATCAATTGAATCCATGGCTAAATCAATAAACAGAAATGAAAACAAATGATCAATGATAATCGACTATCACTGAACTGGTCAGTGTCCCACCTTTGGTCAGTATATTATCAAGGTCAATTTGTGAGCACAATGAAGGTAGACAAACTCCTAATTGTAAAACTAAACCTAAATCATCACTAATCACTTTATTACGAGTAAATGGATTAACTTGCCAATGTGATTGATTTAATGTTGGTAACAATGAGATTGTACAATGTTGACCGATTATCCTTAATGAGGAATCATAATTAACGTGATTAATTTGTAAACACTGATCAAAATTACCGTAATCAGCATAACCAGTACCAAGTGAGTCAAACGGGAATCGACCTGATGAATCCAACACTTAACCAACAATTAGAAATCACAATTAGATTGGTCAATCTATTCAAATGAGAAGTTAAATTGTTAGCAACTTACTAATCAATGGCCATTCTCGTCCTTCAATTAAATCTTGATGAAACTTATTCAAACTTAATTTACAATCAGATGAGACATTGATTGAATTTAATTGATTTGTGTTGACAAAATCCCAGAAGAAATTAGTAAATCCTTTCAATGCAAGAGTTGATTGTTTATGATTTAATTGGTATGTTGATTGTGAATTTAAACAATTAACCACTGAAAATATTGATAAAATTAAAACATGGAAGTTGATTGTTACCATTATAATTTAAGATTGAGTAAATTATTGCAATTAGATGAAGATTTTAGTTGATAACTAATAATCAAAAGGAGTTATTGATTGTCCACTAATTGTAAACACAACATAATTTGCAATTTTCGAGATGATTAAAAAATAGAAATCAATCTAATTTAAACCACTGGGATAATTAACACACTTGATGATTAGTTATAAATTAACTTTACTGTGTCAAAATCAAATTACAGAATGAAAATTTTGAGGAAACGAAATTGATATCACTTGATTGTGATTAGAATTTAGGTTTTCATTCATCTGATTAATCGGGAGAATAATCAAAATTTTGATTGTTTCATTGTCCTTTTGTTTCATTGATAACAATTAACAGGAATTGACAATCAAAGTGTCTCTTTTTTCATCATTAAGATGAATCTAATTAGTTGACAATCAGCGAAAACAATTGGCAGCAATTAATAACCAAAAATAGTTACATTTTTAAGCAGATTAGTTAATTGTTGGCGAATCTTTTCAAATTTGCTTCGGATAATCAACAGATCAATTCCATTCGACTGAATTTCCAATTGACAACATGATGGAATCTTCGTGAAAATGAAGTTTCATCTCTCGAATGAAAGATTTAAAGATGAGACTAATCCGAGTTGAAGATTAACGGGAGAGTAGAGATTATCATTAATTGCTTGAGAGTTTAATGTGTCTTTCGAATTACCTTAAGACCTTTAACCTCGCGTTTGATTTATATAAGAATCGGAGTTGAGAGTTTCAATGAACAATTGTGGATTCGAATATGAATTAAGAAAGAAATGAAAGTTATTGTTATAAATAAAAGGGAAATTTTATTATCAAATTTCGATCGAATGATTTAATACAAATTATAAAAGGATCGATTTCTAGTGATTTATGAAGAAAATATTCTTATAAAAACATTAAGCATTGGAATTGGAATTGGATTTGGTTGGATGGAAAAACAATCAGTTAATTTTTGTCGCTGTTAATTTAATGTTTCAATACTTTAGATACACTTTTCGCAGCCCATTTTCCTTTGAAAAAGCCTTTGACATAAGGCAAAACACCAGCCTTGAAAATGCTCGTTTTCTTGGTCGATTTAATGATTTTCTTCTTGTAAACAGTTTTTGGCTCTTCGTTCACTCGAACCAGTACTGGTCTCACTTCCTCGACCCATTTCACCTTAAGAACGGGCTTTTTTGGCTTCACTTGGGTGTAGATCTCTTTCACCACAGGTTCTTGGATTTTACTCTTTAGAATCGCTTTGCCAAAACCAACCGAAGCTCCAGAAACCATTCCAGCCATTTCGGCCTTTTTCTTGAATCCATCGATCACTCCCGTTGAATCTTTGACCACAATATGAGATTTACAGGAAGACAAATAAAGGGAAGAGAAGACAACTAAAGTAAAAAGAGTCAGATGAACATTAGAATAAGACATTTTCACTTGGTTAGAGTTGGAATATAAACTGAGATTGAAGAAGGAGAAAAATAGAGTAGATTTGAAGATTGGAAATTATTCACAATTCGATATTGACTGATGACCAGAACTGAATTTCTTCAGGTCAAATTGCTTGACTTTTATACGGAAATAACGACAGAGAGAAAGAGAGAGAAGGACAGGGTGTAGGAAGAGGAGGAGAGGACAAGGATAAAGATGGAGAAACATTGATTGGACAGGATGGATTTTAATCCATAGATTAATTTTGATGAAATTAACTCGGCTTATCCTCATCACCATTTCATTTTCGATGATATTTTAATCCAAAGACAATCCTCGGGGCAATTCCATTACCATCTCAATATTTAACAGAGAAATAATCTAATGTTTATATTAACAGAATCATAAGATGTACTCTTATTCTCAGGCATCTGAAACCTCAACAGATCAATCAAATATTCTACAACAAACAAACAAAGGAACGATAATAACGAGCATTGAATGAGTCAACAATATAGAAGCAAAAATTACCAAATGTGACCATAAAAACACAGAATCCAATAAACACCGATGGAGCCTCAACCTGCCCCATAATCAAAAGGTAAACAGGAGACAATTCAACCAATCATAGAACCAACGAAAAATGGCAAAAACCGGACCCAAATCTAAACAGAATCAAAGTAAATTAAATAATTGTCAATACATAAATTAAACAAAGACAAATAGGACAACAAAAATTGAAAATTCAAACCTTTAAAATATTAACACATTTGTAAATGTTTCTTTTGGTCATCTTAATCTTCAATTGTTTAAATTGATTCTAACAAAAAGTTGATTAGCAAATTGACACCAAGATAATCAAGGAAGAGAAAATATACTATTTCAAACAAGTGAATAAACAATTAATTGTTAATTATCAGCAATTAATTATTGGCAATGAGAAGCTTCCAGTTAACAGTTAATCAAGTAAAGAATAAGATTAGTAAGAGAAAAGAAAGAGAAAAAAACTAACCAATCCCGAGGCGTCAATTCAATTTCTATCTTGTTATTGTTTTGGTGGAGAAATTGAATCCAATTGTCTAATCAACTCTTCGCAATCATCTCTGTTTATAATTTAATTATAAGGAAATAATTAAAGTTGAGCATTTAATTATCATCTGCAACATACTTACAATAGTAAAGAAAATTCATCTCTAACATTTTTCTTCGATATCTATTGGAATATCTTTTTTTTTCTTCTCTGTGTTTAATTGTCACCATTTAGATTCAATTTCTTGTTATTATGGTTTTCGGATTAAATTAGTATCCAATTTTTTTTTAATTGTGTTTTCTTTATTCTCTTTAATCTTTTTTCTCCTTCTTCTAATGTGATTAAACATGTCCACGTATGGACATTATTTTATTTTCTTTCATCATCGTCTACCTTGTGGATTTTATAGCTTTCGTGTTTATCTAACCTGTTGGATTACCTTTTTCACTCTTCTTTTACAACCCTGGTCAGTTTCTTCTGATGGTGTTGACCATTCACCTTGTGATGGAGATAAACAATTTGATTCTATTACTTGCTCTTTTAAAGATATTCTTATCCTTACTATGAAGAATCAATACTACTTGGGAGACTGTTCCATGTATCCGTTTTATGTTGATCCAGATCCTCATTCAATCATCAGCAGAGAAACTTCAATTATTGCAACTTTGGTGGACACAGAAAATGTCATCTACTTTTTTGAGGTAATTCTTTGATTCTTCTTACTATCATTTCATTCAACTAAATTCGTTTCCTATCTTCTCTCTCTCTCTCTCTCTCTCTCTTTAAAGTCTAAAAAGGTGATCATCATTGATGGTGGACGTAGTAAAGAACGAAGTATCGATCAAGTATTTGAAAAATTTGAAGGTCCTATTGTCCATGCAGTGACCATTCCTAAACCCGGAATTATTCAGAATCAAGCAGTTCCATATCTAGTTACACTTTACACCAAAAAACGTATATTTTATTATGGTGAGAAAAAAAGATTCCAAGGAATACCTTTCTGGACTGAAATCGATCCTTGGAATGCTGATCCCATATTCGCCACGTTGAACAGAACTCTACCACCGATCACTCGTATTCTCGGCGTTGATCATGCTAATATGGCGAAAACTCTTGTAGTGGACAGTGAAGAAAAAGAAATTTTCTTTCAAGCAGATATTTCCGTTTGTGGTGACATAATCTATGTAAGAAATTAATCCAATTCCTATAATAGCATTAGAATTATTAGAAAACTAATTGGTCACTCGAATCTAATTGAATTGTTCCCGATCCTTTCCTATCGAAATCTATTTTTCTGTTGACATCAAATGAATATCAGATTTCATCAACAATCAATTTGCGAAAATCCAATCATACATTAAGCTTTTTTGTAAATTCGTCTCGCCAGTTAGTTAACCATCTTCTCTGTTTATTTAACCTTTTGACTAAATTAATTTAGATTATTTTTCTCTTCTCACGCAATTTAATCCAAATCTAATTTTCTTTTCAACAGCGATTCAATCTGATTGATTGTCTTGAGGAAAACAAATCTTTACCGCCAGTACCAATTAGAGGTCAATTAGTTAGATGTACATCGAAAAATTTCCCTGGTAAGAGACAATTTAATCTATTGCCTTTTAAACTCTTACAATTAACTGATTTTTCATCTTGTCCCATAGGACCAAATCTTTTGACTTTGATGTTGTGGGGAAGTTTTTTTCTAATCGTTCTGGCGATTTTGGGTCTAATCAAATGCGGATGCGTTTGGATGGTCAAAAAGTGCCGACGTACTCGACACAAAGTAGTTCGATTCAAAGAGGACAATCACAAGGGAAATTCCATCATATTTAGTTATGGTATCGAACATGCGTCTCGAATTCAAACCTTTGGTTTCGATTCTGTTGGTCAATCTGCCGTTTCTATTAACGATGATTACAAAGACATTAATTACTCAAGTGATGTCGCCGAAGATGAAATTGTGAGTAAATTTAACTTGAATTAATTTCTTTTCATTTAATTGACCAATTTAATGATAATTTTCCACTCCCTTGTGTGAATCTTCAATCTTACTGTGAGAACAATTAATTTGATCTTTTATTTTCGTAATCTTATAATTTCTATTGTTTTAATTATCTGTGAACAGACCAGATCAGTTGATTATTCATTTTGTTTAATTTCCTTTCTCAATTTCTCTCTTAATAGGAAAATGATTCAAAATTACCCTTGGAATCAATCCAATCTTCCAATGTAATCTGAGACAATCTTAATTATTATAAATCAACCCTACAATTTACCCAAGTGATTAACAATAGACTCTGCTCACCAGTGGCTTCAATCCAAAGTTTTAAATTAACAATTAACGATCTTCACAAACAAACAATCTAATTACTTAATAACTCAGATGACTTTCAAACTTAATCGTCTCATGTTAACCTTAGTTAATCATCTTAATCTTTTACAATTTCCGACTTAACAACAATCGTCATCAACTCACTAACAAAGTGAAACATAAACACAGAAACTGAGAAGAAGAGAAAACAAAATAATCTTTTCATCTTTCATTGCCTATTAACCGGCAAAAGTGATTCCAGTTAGTTTTGTTACTTTGTTTAATCAACTAATAACTGCAACTAATCAACAGCCAATTTGATTGTAACGGATTCCCAATTTAGTGCTGGTAAAATGGTGCCTACATTTTTCAAGTGCAACTTTGTCATTTCCATTTTTCTTTTGGTCTCTCCAACATCGTCCAGTTCAATTGTGCCAAATTCATGTCAACAACTGACCAGTTCCGTTTCGAGACACTGTACTGCTCAATCATTTGCATCAAAATCCCTCGATCGTCATACCTACACTTGTTGTATTATCATCAAAAGGTATAAGTGTTTAGTTGATAATCACAATGCTACCTGTCCACCACCTCCAGGTATTACTGCTCGACTATTGACAAGTAATTATAATTGTTCACAATTTACTGATTTATCAAAGTGTCACACTTTACTTGACCAAATTAGTCCAGCGAGTGTTACATTTGTCACAATCACAGTCCTTTTTATTATCTGCTGTTTATGTGGTTGTGTTTCCTGTCGTCTATTTTGTAAAAATGATAATCGTGACTTGATCTCTTCCTGCCAATTATCTGATTTCAAAATTCCATCTAAAAGTGACCTTAAAGATCAATCTTGTTTATCTTCAGTCAAAACTGAGGATACTTCTTGTCCAAATGAACTTCTTGTGACCCTTTCCGATGAACCAATCGAAAAGGTTAATCCAACAACCTCTCTACCTGAACCTATTCATCCATCTCTCCTCGATTCACCTGTTGACACTTCTACTTCATCTTCATCTTCATCTAATCAATGATAACCCTTTGATTGTAACTTCCGCTCAATCTGTATATTCATTGAATATAATTAATTTTGTACTTATTACATTCGTTTCACTTTGCAATTTTAAAAAACATTCTGTAATCTTTATAAAAAAATTATCGATTCTAAAATTTTCTTACACTTAACTGTCCATCTAATTTATTTCTCGTTCTATTTGGACGTGAACTTTTCTCACTAGAATTTGATATTATATCTGCAATAGATCAATAGCATTCGGTTGATTGTTTTCTATTTAATTCCTTCTTATGGATTCACGTTTCTCTAAAATCGCCTGAATAGCGATTTTAGCATCTTCAGCTGTGGGAATAATTTGCTCAGGAGGAAGTAGGAATCCATATTGACCATTATCTCGCGATTCAAAGGTTATTGAAATCTCAGCTAATCCTCGGTTATAAATCCAATCATCACTTCCACCGCTTGATGCATCTGTTAATTGTTTACAATTTAGAGCAAGATTGTTATTAGTAATTAGTATCAACACTTAATTTGCAACTTTTTTTTCAAGAATTGAAACATTCATATATTGAGTTACACTTCCGGTCTAATTGATTTTCATCAAGATTTCTTTAGTTAATTAGAAAGAGGTAATTAATTAAATGATTGACTCAAATTGATTCTGTTAATTTAATTAGATCATCTAAACAACTTATTCTGTCAACATGAATGAGCAAAAGGTTAATTTCAAAAGTTTTGTAAACAAGTAAAAGTTTTTCTAAATTCATCTAGATGTCACCACTTCCTACATTAACTTTAAAGTCTAAAGTTTTAGATGATTAATTATATCGATTAGTTAAATTGCCGTTTAATGAAATGATCTTTGTTGATTACGTAAATTTAATCGATCGCTTAACATTTGAAATGTAAAGCTATTAATCAGCATCAATTATCAAAAGTCAGGAAAAGTTAGAAAAGCAATGAGACTAATTGTAGACTCTTAGGATTTGAATTTAAATTGGATTATAATTATCAATAAACTTCTCGAATTTCAATTAAAAAAATTTAATTTGATTTAAAGAGTTACCAAGAAAGCACTAACTTCTATTATTCTATTGGAAGTAAAAATTTCCCTGTAATGTTTACTTTAGTTAAATTTCAAATTCTCTTATTGATTTTCCTCAATTAATTAATGATAGTGTCTCGTAATTAGCTGATTATTTGAAGAGGATACGTAACATGAAATAGTTTATAAAGAGTTGTGACTTACATTTGTAGGCTTGAGCCGTTTGTCCACCTCGATAAGCCCGTCGACCAATGTGTCTATTTAATCTGTTAATAGCTTCGTGGCCAACGGCCTCTAAGAATTCAGAGTTTTTGGGTGGAGTTCGAGAGAAACCATTAGGCCACAATATCCACTGACCATAAGAGTGAATAGTAAAATAGAGAGCTATACATTCATCGGCTCCTTCACCAAGTCGTCGATAGTAATTGACTAGGGCTCGAGTTTCGGGTTCAGAGGCTGGTTTAGGTCCACAATAGTTTTCCTTGCAAGGATTTCGTGAAGATCCCGTTTGACACCAATCAATATTAAAATTACGATTAAGATCAACACCGATACAATTTGATCCAGTTCGACGTGAGCGATTTTTCCGCCAAAGTCGAGCCCCTCTAACTCTTGACCAGGTGAAAACATAACCATCAGGATTAGCAATCGGTATAATATGATATTCGTAACGACGGAAAATTGGAATCTCAGTAGTGGCCAGAAAATAGATCAAGTAGAGACACGAAGCAGGTGAAGCCCATTCTCGAGCATGTAAACCACACTCGATGATAACCGTTTTACAAGATTCTCCAGACCGATCTCGACCATCACAATTACTACAATCGCCGTAATTATCCCTATTTGATGGGCGTCTAGTTGATGACCGATAACCATTTTCCCTGGTGCGCTCAAAACCGTTAACATCGTCCGGTTGATTATTCCAATTATTGGGCCTACCATTATTATTATTATTATTACTGTCAGAATCATCTTCAAAACCATCGTCCTGATTATCATCAAATCCATCGAGTCTGGTTGATCGGTTAATAACAATAACAGGAATCGATCGACCCTCAAAACTTTTACCAATTGAACTGATATACATTGAGTCAAACTCTTCAGCCCAATTTTTAATTATAGCCAAATATTCATTAAAACGATAATACCGTTTAAAGAAAGTAGGCCTAACCTGTCTCGAGGTTCCAGAAGCTTCTGAGTTGAGGTCATATCGAGGTTGAGTGAAATTAACCAATGCCAAATAAGAGGCCATGTTTTCAAAGGCAACATCAAACGGAATCCCAGCAGAACCCAAAGCATCCAGAAAATCATCATCGTCCTCATGAATGGCCGCCCAAATGGCCTGATTTCCATCGGCAGGACGATTCCAAACATCAACCTAAAAGAAAACGGACCAAAAACAAGATGACCAAAGGTAAACAAACTATAGAAATAAAAAGAAAAAAATTCTGACCTGAAATTTGGATGTCAAATCCATGACCTCTTCATATTCAAGAGCTGATTTCGGATTAATTTTAACAATCTTAGCATCACTTGAAACCTCTTGAGAGATAACAACAGTTAACAGAAAGTAATTAACAATCGTAAATCCGAAAAAATAATAACATATTAGAAGAAAACAATTAATTGGATTGGTCATTTGTCACCGGAAAAAGAAAAACAAGTCAACATAAGATCAATGGAACATTTGAAATAAAAAGCAAAAGAGAAAAAGAGAAAAGAACAAAAAAAAGATTAACCAACATGGAGAATCAATTGACAATTGTTGTTGTTTCTTTTTCGCTTCTCTTACTAATTATGAAAAATTCTTTTTCTTTTTGTTCATTATTATTAATTTAAATTCATTCTTTTTTTATTAATATTCTTTTACCTTTAATGTAACAATCATCTCTTTTTACTCTTGTTGTGTCAACATTAATCCAACATCATTCGGTAAGTTGTATTATGTTGTGTATCTAATACAAGGACAACAAGCTACTACTTTATAACTGTTTATTTAGTCGTTCATCTCTCATTATTTACATTAATTTACCTTTTTCTAATTTCATGTCATCATCACCATCATCATCATCATTATCATTGTCATTAGTCTAATCACCATCAAGGTATCTAACTCTTTCAATTTGTCATCTTTTTCCATATTCTATCCTTTTCCTCTCTCTCTTATCTGTTTTGTTTTCTATTCAATTACTGATTTGGTTTTTTTTTCTTTGTTGATTATTAGAGTTATTGTGCAATTGATTTACTCGACTATCATCATCATCATTACCATTAACATCAGTTTTTTATGGACTTTGGTGGGAAGATGTCTTGATGTGGGTGTTGGTTTTATCTACATGATAACATATCCTCCAGGTATCATTTTCTATTCTCTCATTTTCATCAAGTCATCTTGACTCTTTTTCTATTTTCTATTTTCTTTTTTATTCTCTTCTCTTTTTTGTTTCTCTATCATTTTATTCATCTCTCTCTCTTTTTTTTTCTAACACCTATGCTGTTGATGAAGATGAACAACATGATCAGCTTTAGCTAAATCTCATTAGTATTCAAGATTGACTAATAAATTCAATTTTTGTTTATATCTTTCGACAGGTAACAAGGCCAAGGACTTTATCCCAATCTCTATGTTACATATTATTCATCGGTTTTTGTTTTTCTTTCTCAGCTTATCCAATGCAGTAACATTGGATCTTCAAGATTTTCAAATCATCCTTCAGATAACTAATAGTTATTAACTCTTACTCTCTCATACTCTCTCTCTCTAAAGATGAAGAAAAACTAGTTGGCAACGAAAGTGAGAAAGAAGAAAAACTCACCCTGTAATTTTACATCATCTTTTTGTTTCTCTGATGCCAAAGTATTTTTCCTTGTTATCGTTATTTCTGAGTTTCCTTTTCTCAATCCTTGAATCAAAATTACTATTTAAACGAGTCAACCTTTTCTTTATTCAGGATTCATTTTAAATTTTTACAGGTAAATTACTTCATCATCTTCTTCATCTTCATCGTCATTCCTTATTCTCACCCTCGTATTACTATTATTCTTCCTCCATCTTATTTCTTGCTTCTTTTCCTCTATATTACCTCTTGATTATTTTCCTCTGTTTTTTTTTACTTTCTTTTCTCTTGACTTCCCTTTTTTTCACTCTCATTCTCAGCTCTTTATTTCTTCCTCTTCCTCATCTCCTCTTGCCACTGAAGCAAAATAATATCTTCCAAAGTCAAATCTGTCATCATTCTTTTCCCGTTTCCACTTTCTTCACATGATTGTTATCATCATCATCATCATCATCATTTCTCCCACATTCACTTGACAAACATTTAACTCTTTTCTATTTTGTTTTGATTCCTCATTCTCTTCCAGGTTTACCTCTCAATGAACTAACATGCTAACTTGATTTAACCAGTGGAAAATATTCATCATGCCAATGTTTACTCAGAAAAGAAAGAGACAAAATGGTTGATTCATCTTCTTCAATCCCTGTTAAGAATTTTAATAGACGATGACAATGAAAATCAAGACACATAGAAAGGGAAAAGAGGTAACGACATGGAAGAAGGTGAAAGTAGAAAAAAGAGAAAAGGTAAAAACAACAGAATTTAGCCTTATCAAGGTGCTTCAGGAAGATTGATTATTCTGTTTATTGTTACACTTAAATCAACCTTTTTTTTCTGTTACCCTGTTTATCGGTGTTGTATCAACTGCTGATTACATGGAGGAAATCAACTAATTTCTATGAAAAGAAGACAACAAACTAGCTCAAATTGAAAGAAGAAGGTGAATGTTCAAATCTATTATTTTCTCTATTGGCGTTTCTCTGGTCATAAAGAAACAGTTTCCATCGAAATTCAAATGATTTTAGTAATTCTCTTAATAATAGTCTCTCAATTCTTAACTGTTCCAGATCACTCACTTATCCTTCTTCCTCTTATCTTCATTCTTCATCATTTTTCTCATCCATCTTTTTCCAATTTCACTTTGTGTCTCTTATTCTTGACTTTTTTCTCTCCATCTTTTGTTGTTTGTCACCTACTCTTTGATATCTCATAACATTCTGAAGAACGACTTATATATTTGCATAGACTAATCGATCAGTCTTTTCTCCTTTTTTTCTCTCTTTTTTCAAGGTTTTCTCTATTTCGAACAAATTGACACAACCATCTTTCACCTTTTCTACGGATATGAATGGAAATTCTCATCACTTATAAAGTTACTGATCAAATCAAATCAAAGATGATGATCATCTCTCCAGTTATTACACTGAACAGGTTGTTGTCTTTTTCAACTCACCTTCTCACCTCTCACACCACCACTATTATCTATAACATGAATTCATGATATCTCTCGAGATATTCATATATCATCTTCAATCTTGTAATATCAAAATCTACATAAATTACCTTTAATCTCTGGTGAAATGAACATGGAACCAAAGAATCGAGTTAAATAATGATTTGGACATTTGGAAAGAGAATAAAAAAAATGAGAAACTTGATTCTTGAAAAGGTAAAGTGAATGTGGTGGTAGTTGTGGTGGTGATAATGGTGGTGTTACATTATAATGATCAGACAATAATAGTAATAACAACAGGTTAGTTGAATTTTCTCTCTTATTATTACATGTTGTATTCAGAATTCATTGGTGAAAAGAAGGTAAAAAACATCATTTCACTTTTTTTCTATTCTTTTATTCATTAATGACTTATAAGCATCTCATCTATTTTTCTTTCTTTCTCAGGGTTATATTCTTGATTGTAAAGATTTTGTTGGAAAAGTTTTTTCTTTCTTTCTGATGATCAAATAATAGTAATGATGATGATGATAAAATGGCGAGAAAACAACATGCTGAGATATCATGTAAGATTATGGAAGATGAGACAAGGTTCGATCAATGTTTTTCTCTATTCTTCTACTTTTGGTGCTCATGTTGCTGAATTTTGTTTCTCTCTCTCTCTCTCTCTCTCTCTCTCATTATTATTATTCTTTATTCCTATTCATGGTTTATTATCATTTATCAGTAAATGAATTTTATTACAACAGCAAAAAGAAATTCAAAGCAAAAGAATGTTTATCTTCATCATCATCGCATTTGAATCTTAAACATTGAGAACTCTCATATCTCATCAGCATTAAGATCATTTTCTGGTTTTGTATCTGTCATACAATTGAATCTTTTCATCGGCGTTTTCAAATTTTATCTATTCAATTCATCTTGGTACACGACGATGCGGTGTTTTTGCTTAATCATTTCTTGTCTTTCCACCATCTTATTTAACTCCATGATAGTACGATTAACATGATGATCATCAACATTTTGGTCCTGATATCAGAATCACAAATCACATACACAAAAATACATTCACCAGCAAATCAAGATATACAAATTTGATGAGAAAGGTACATAATCATTATCATTAATATTATTTAAAGAACAAAAATCATTCTCTCTCACTCTCTTTTTCCATGAAGGAGACAAAAGAAAAAGGAACCTTATGGATTTGCAAATGATCTGATTATCTTTCCGAAGTAAAAAAAAAAGTTTCCAAGAGATTCCAGGGCGTTCAGGAACACGCTTTTTGGGTTGGGCTTTTGATTGCCACAATTTTCAATGTGTCCACTAGATGATGATGATAAAACTGATGAATCTCTCATCAAGATGATAAAAAAAAAGTTCTAAATGAGAAAGTGAGGTGGGTTAACCACGACAAACCGATCCTCCGGTCTGATTACCTGATTCTTACAATATAATGTACTGTTTTCCGTTTATTACTCTAATACAGATGAATCGTTGTGAATAAAACCGTGACCACAGGGCGAGTCACGATCATTTGCTGTGATGGGTCAACTCTAAGAGGAAACAACAAGCTCGTGCAAAGGAAAGTGAAAAAAAGGTCAATTATGACAACCTTTTTCCATATATATGTATTCATCATATCGGATGAAATATAAGATGGATGCAGGAATATCCATGAAATAACATTGCCTTGATTGAATCGCAAGCCAAGCAAAGGAAATAGCGAGATGATGTCGATCTCATTTATGATGAAAAGATGAACATAATGGTGTTGATGATGATAAGGAGAAAGTTAAATGATGACGAGAAATTATTTCTCTCTGTAAGCATCACGAATATCAGATTGAATTTGATAAAAAGAAAACAATATCAAAGGAAAGGGAGTGGAGTCTCAATTTAGAAAGTGAAATTATTAATATAACGAGGATCCATTTAAACGAGGAAAACAAGAGAAAAAAATTAACTAATAGCTTATTAAATCTTCTCAGTGTTTAATTTAATTCTCATCATCATCAACTGATAATTTACCTTTACCTGGATCAAATTAACTAACAAATATTTACCTTTGCAAATATCAACAAACTAATATTAATGATAACAATTATCTATTGAATCATTTGGTTTTCAATAACAATTTAACCATTAATATTGTCAACAGTTAATCAAAAGTATGATCATCACCAACTAATTAATTTGTTACCACCAAATCAAATTAATAAGATAATGAAACTTTTCTGTCATTGGATTTAATTAATTAGTCCATTTTTCATATTAAATTAGATCCTCTCTCCCTCCTCATCATCAACATCTTATACTTGGGATGAAAAAAAAAAGTTGATTACATTTAATTTTCCACAGTTAATTTAATCAACATTAAATCATCAATTGCAAGTAACGTCTTGCCAAAGGAATCGCTTGGGTTAATTGTGATCATTTTAATATTAAGTTATCCTTAAATTAAACCTTTTTTTCATACTTGATTAATGTAAACATTGGTTAACCTTAATCATATCCGCATCATCCAAGGGTAATTACAGTTAACTGTTAACTAATTACGAGCAAATTGTTAAAGACAAGGAGATGAAAAAAATTCCGCATCCTAATAACACTTAAAGTTAATGTATAAAATTTGATGAATGATTTAATTTCTCAGTGTAACAATATAACAGCTTCTTATGATTAAAGTAAATTGTAAGATTAATGATTGTTGAACAATTTATTCAACTGCAAACTAAATCAGTTGAGTGATTAAATTACAAAGAACGAGGAGAATATAATATAAAAGTGATTAATTTGATTCCTTTCGATGATTTGATTATTTTGTTTTCCATATTCTCGAGCAATTTATTAATTCCAATGATTAACAATCCATGTAATCAACATTTTCAAGTCTCTAATCAACAGAAAACAAAAATGATGATTAACTGTAACTATTAAATTAGAGAGACAATTGATTAACATGATTCGTACGTGATTAGATTAAAATCTTAATTGAAACAATTTGATGGATTCACTTTTTTTGTTTTGTTTACTGATCCATTTATTGTATAGTAAGTTAATCATCACAATCAATGAAGATGATTAATATAATTGTTGGGTTAATTTGGTTTTGTGATGATGTTGATTGTCCGATCAGTTGATTGCAGATTGATTAATCATTTATAATTAGTTAAATGATGAATACTCCTTTTGGTTGTTTGTTTATTTAAATGGTTGGTTAATCATAGATGTTAATTGTTACCTCTTGATTGTAGATCAATTTGATTAACACTTTTAATTGTATTAATGATTAGATGATGATGATTATTGTAATTAGAAAATATTTTCCCTCATCTTCATTAATAAATTGCTTATGATCTTGAAGAAATGGTTAAGTTATCATTTATCTAATCGTTTACAATCAAATTAAAATACAAAGACAATTAAGGATTTTGTTTTATTATCATTGTTAAATATTATTATTAATTCATATCATGTTCAAAGTGATCAACTAATGATAATATATCATGATGATTATGTTAATTTAATTGTGTAACATGTTACCAATTGATCAGAATTAAAGTAAAAGTAAAAGTAAATAAATTTGATTGTTTGATTATCATTGAGAAATTTACAAGTCAAGTTTAATAATAAACTTTTCAAATGATCAAATGGCCTTTCAAACAATTTAACTTTAATTGTTGATTGAAATTTTCTAGTTTAGTTTTTCAAGTGAAAAACATTAACAACCAAATATGATTATCGTTAGTTAATTATGATCATGATTGTAATTATAATTGTTTGACCATTGGCTAGTTTATTGGTCCGTGTAAGTGACTTGATGGTTTAATGACCAACATGTTGAGGTAATTACTTTTTTTTCAGTTAATTTATCAAAGAGCTGAAAAGGTCTTGGCTTCAAGTTAATTGTTGTAGTTAATTAGATGAATAATAAAATAGTTTAATCATTATTTGCTATTGTTGTTCAATCCTGAGTCTATTTTTTGTCTACTCTTTAATTGTAAGTTAATTGTTACGATAACATTATCGATCTATTGATTGAAATTCACTTGCTAGATGATTAAAATTTTATATAAATTCAATTAAATTGTGACCATTAACTTTAATCAGTGAGAATCAAATTGTTTGATTGTCCTTTCATCTTAATTGTATTGGATAAATATTTTAATTCAACAATTTAAATCAATAATTAAATCCTATTTAGGTAAAGTTTTTCTTGTTTATTCAATTGTATTGATCAACTGATTAATTATTAAATAAAACTCAATTCAGTTAATCAACAACATCAATAATCAATTCATGGTGATTTATTGATTGTTATTCTTGTCTAATTCAATTATTTTTGATTGTTGTTAGTTTAATATTGTCATCGAGTGTTGATTATTAGGCTCATGGGGAACAATCAATTTTTCAATGTAAATTAAATTCCGCCGAGAACAATTTAATCAATTTTATTTTATTTTACTCGCCACTTTCAAGGATATGAATTAAATTAACTTTTGATTAAGTGTTAAGAGCAATCAACAACAATCAAGCAAAAAGGTAAAATCTTAACAGGTTATTAAGATTAATATAATTTATTAATCATAATCCAATTGCTATTATCATCATTTGATTATGTTGAATTAAATCCTGGTTCAATTGTTTATATAAAACATTGATTGTTGATCATAATAATATCATAATTATCACTGACAATTAAGAAAAATTTACTTCTAGAATGTGTGATTGCAATTGATTGTTGATCATGATTGACTAATAACCACTTAACTGTTCAATTGGATTGAATTTAAATCGTGATCAACGAATTGAAATCAAAATCATTTCCAATCAAAAGTTTTAAATCAAAAATTCACTTAATTGTATATTTTTATAAAGACAATTAACTTTTGAAAATGTTTTAATTCACTAAATTGTTACCAATAGATAAGTAACAATTTATATACATGTATTAATATGAAATCGTAATTGTGATTAGCAAATATTTCATTTGATGAAAAAAGGAAAAGTAGATAATCCAAACAATTAAAAAATTGCTTTTAGAAAGTTAATCAAATAGTTGATGATGGTGATGATGATTGACTTATTTTAATCATGAAAATTGATTATCGTAGTTGATTAGTTAACATTCACACATACAAGTTGATTAGGTTAACACGTTTGACGCTTCTAGGCAATTAAATTAAACTATCATGATTAAAATGCTCAAGCTTATTTATTGTAAACAAACAACAATCATCATCATCATCACCAAATCATTTGAATCATAATCATGAATCCGAGGGAATGATGAAAATAAGTGAACACCAATTTGAATGGAGAAAATGATTACAATTAATTGTATGGTTAGTTAATCGTGTAACCATGATTTTCACTTGTTATTCCCTTTGGATAATCGTTAAATAACTTTCTAACCATTTGATTGGCATTTGATTGCATCCAACTAATCATAATCACCAACGTCACCTTAACTATGGATTCTCATCATGTAGTAATATTAGTTTTCTGTTTATGGTTTAAATCAGCAAATATCCTGATCTTTGGATAAGTTTACAAGCTAATCCATCAAAATCAGTCAATTTTTTTTCCTCATCTTGATTTTCATCATTTTCTGTTTTCAATTTTCTTTTTCATCATCATCATCATCATCATCTTATTCTGCTTAATTATTCATATCTGGCAATGATTTTCTGTGATTCAATCATATTGCCTTCTACTGAGATTACACAAATTTACATAATAATAACGATGATTATGAGTCTGTATGATTTCACTAATCACTCATATTTGCTTGAATTAATGAAATAATGATCAGATAATTGTTTCAATTTGATTGTTTGAATATGTTTGTCTTCTTCATTGGTCATAATCCTATCTGATTGTTGTGTCCAAATTGTGATTGCCATGATTTGTTTTGCATTATCTATAAAGGAAAAAGCAAGAAATTAGAATTTAATATTTTATCAAAACAATCAAAATCTATTAAATTATCTGGTTGTCATCATGTTAATTAAGTTCAACTACAATCTGATTGAAAACATCATTTTCAATCTAATAATTGATTGTATAGGAAAATCAATTACCAAGGATAATTATCAAGGAATCAGACCAAATACATCTGAAAATAGAGAAGAAAATTTCGTTCCTGATTAACTTTAATGATAATTGCGTTGAAGGTTAATGGCCAAGGCGTTAAAAGATTTTTAATTTTCACCATTCAGGCTTTTAATTGGTGAAAAGCAAAGGTAATGACAAGAAAATGCTGACATTTTAAATAGTTAATGTTAACAGTTAAAAGGTTAAATTAATTTCTAATGGTGATAAGTTTATAAAATTATCATGATTATTATTAGTTAACACGATACTTACATTTAAATAACGTTGAATCAGTTAAATTGTTCAGGGTGATCAAGATAGAAATGTTTAGTCTTCAGTGATTTAATTCTTGTTGATGGAGATTTTTGATTAACAAGTCATGGACAACACGAAATGACCATTAAATTGACCAGTACCAGAGTTATAGAGATTCCATCACAATTGACATTGGGCTCTTATTGTTCAATAATTTGATTACTTGTGTTGTTGTTGCTCTCGTTTACATTATATGTCTCAACTTTTCTTGGTTATAACGCCATTGACCAGCGGTCAATATATAGATGAACATGTCTATCAATAGATGAGATCACATTTCCAATGACAATTCATTCATTCTGATCACGATTTGGTCATACACTTTTTTTGTCATCATGGAGTATCCATTGGAATGGAGGGGGAAGAGCTTCTTAAATTGTCCATTAAATTGTGTAATATATGTAATGTAAAGAAGAAATTGGAGAAAGAAAATCAAAGGGATATTAATTCCTCTTTCTTTTTCTCTTTCTTTGATTTAATTCTCTTTCCTTTTCTCTTTCATTTCTTTCTTTTGCTTAATTTTTCTTTCTGCCTCCTACTTTTCCCTACATTTAATTTTCTTAATTAATTAATTGTTGTAAATTTTGGATGGCGCTTATTGTTGTGGTTGTTTTTGTAAACAACATTTGATTTAATTGTTGATTGTTGATCAACAACAATGATCATTTTATTAATTGATTTCATTGTTGATGATGGTAAACAACAACAACAACAACAACAAGGTCAATCAATCATTAGCTTTTGATGGTGAAGGTTCAACTAATTAATATGTTTGATTCTAATTTAATTTAATAAAGTTAATTTGTTTTAATTTTAAATCAAGTTGATTTAGTTAATTAATTTAATTTTCAGGAATCGATTTGGTTTATTTCCAAGGAAGTGAATTAATTGGAATTCATATTTTGTGAAATCAAACTAATCGTTTCCATTGCTGAATTTCTGGCTGTTACTGTTACTGCTGCTGTCCCACCTTATAAGTCGACAGGATTATCATCTGTCGGTGATAATCTTTTGCTGTTACGTTACTTTTGTTCATTCCTGTTTACTGGATTTTCTCTACTGGTTACTTTTTATTACTAAAGGAATCAGTAGATTAATTGAAGGTAAACGGGTTGAATCATTAGTTAACCATGGCTGATGATCAATTTGATCAAGATGAATCCATCTCATCTCCCGCTGAACAATACTACAGTAGTTACTCATTTAAGTTGATATTACTTTATTAGTCGCCATCTATTGACAAATGGGTTTTTAGATGGTCTTTAATCTTATGAGTCATTAGCTCCTAACTTAATTACAGTCGTCATTACACTTATCGCAATTACACTTATCGCAAGATCAGTGTGTTAATTAGACAAAGCTTGATGTTAACCTCACTCATCTCTAATAGCACACCAACTTAAGTGATTTATCCAAATAACTAAGAACACTAGGTGGCGCATTTCAAAAAAAATTGCGATAAGTGTAATGACGACTGTATAAATTTTAGGACCGTTAAAAATTTATCAACTTATTTGAGAGTAACTTATGAGTAACCACTGTACTACCGGAAACCAATTTATCGACCTCGATTAAAGATCTACTGGCTTGAAACCCAATGTTTCAATTGAAAATTGGATTAAACTGAGTCTGCTGGAACCGATACAATTGGTCCGAAGACGAAATTGGATCTACTAAGTGAGTACCTTGATGAAGACCTCTGACTTTACCTTTGTGAGAGAGATTTCATCATGGTCTGAAATGAAATGAAGCTGATCAATCGTTTTGGTATCAAGACCGTTGAGCCAATACTGAATTTCACCAAAGTTCGATCAATGTAAGGATGTCGTTGACTACTGGAACCGAAACGACGATTGGCCAATAAAGTTGTGTCTCGAAGATCACGCTGTCACCATCATGATTGATAATCTAACAGGTAGATTACATGATTGTTTTCTTGGACACCGTGTTAAAACTTATGACCAGTTTTTCACAATCGCTAAAACTGCTGAGAGTCAACTCGCCAGAGGTAATCGTGGCTACTCCAACCAACAAGGTAGTGGTCATGTGAACACTCATCGTCCCAATCACCAAGGTAAACCTCGAGGAAATGATAAGAGATCATTTAACCACAATCAACGAGGTCAAGGCCAAAACACTGATAAACCTTTCGTCAAACGTCCACCGAAAAGCTCTTGTTGGACTTGCATTAATAATGGTAAACCTGATCAGTACCATTGGTCCGAAGATTGTCCAATAAAGAAAGGGAAACAAACCAAGGTCAACTTCGTTCGAGCTGATGATTCGAATGCCAATTCCGTTGATTCCTCCCAACACCAAAGGATTGGACTTAATTTGGAAGTTCAATCTTAAGTGTGACGCTGATTACCAAATCAAACAAACTCTTGCTGCTCCTGTTGAACCAACAACCGTCAAACTGATTCCTCTACCGCTGAAGCTGAATGATAACTTTTATTTGGACCTAAAAACCAAACCTATCGTAAACTCAACGATAAGATGCTCGCTGATAAATATCCGATGCCGAGAATCGAGGACATTATTGATTCTACGGGAGGAGTAAGTTCTTTAGTGTCTTCGATATTAGGTCCGGATTTTGGCACATTAAAGTCAGAGAGAAGGACATTCATAAGACCGCCTTTGTCACTCAACATGGTCATTATGAATGGCTGGTTATGCCGTTTGGATTGAAAAATGCTCCTGCCATCTTTCAAAGGTCAATCCGTAATATCCTGGAGAAACATCAATTGACTAAATTTTGTCACAATTATATTGATGACATTATTGTTTTCTCTTCATCTCTTCTAATTCATCTTGACCATCTCTCTCAACTTTTCTCTGCTGTTGCTGCTGAAAACATAAAATTGAACTTTGAAAAATCAAAATTGTTCCAGACTAATGAATTATCTATCTTATAATTTATCTCAAGATTCGATCAAGCCTCTCCATTCGAACATTGATTCAATTCTGAATCTCAAACCACCCAAAAATGTATCAGAGGTTCGACGATTCTTGGGTAAGGTAAATTATAATCGGAAATTCATCAAAAACATTACAAAGATTCTGGACCCAATTCATCATCTGCTGAAAAAGGATACAAAGTTTAATTGGACTGCTGATTGTCAAGGATCATTTGATCAAATTAAAACCTTGTTCACCTCTGATCCAGTGCTAAGAATGTTTAACCCAAACGCTGTGCTGATCCTAGAAACTGATGCTAGTCGTATTGGTCTAGGTGCTGTTCTGAAACAACCGGATGAGAACAACAAGCTTCACCCGATTGGATACTTTTCCAAAAAGTTAACAGTTCATCAAGTTAACTATCCTGTTACTCATCTCGAATGTCTCGCTATTGTTGAAGCTGTTAAGTTCTGGCACCACTATTTGTATGATCGCAAGTTCATCACTGATCATATCGCTCTTAAGGCCATTCACAAGATCAAAGAGCCAAATAGTCGGTTATTTACCTGGTCATTCTTCCTCTCTCAATATGACTTTGAGGTCAAGTATCGTCCTGGTAAAGAGAACGTGGAAGCTGATTATCTCTCAAGAGATCCTGTTGCTGCTGATCCGGTGGATTATCCATTTAAATTGGTGAATTTCATCACTGCTGAAGAAATAAAAGCTGAACAATCTAAAATCAATGATATTGATTTACAACTTGCTGATGAAACCGAATCCATTACAAGACTGATAAAAATGAAACAGGAAGATAATTTTACCTTTATCTTTAAGGTATAAACTGATGGAAGCTGTTCACCAACAATTTGGTCATGTTGGTATTAGGAAAATGATAACCATCATTAGCTGGAAATACACATGGACGAAATTAACCGAGGATGTAATTAATTTCGTTAAAAACTGTAATCCATGTCAATTGGGTAAAACAAGAAGGTCGAAACAAATTGCTGAAATGGGACACTTTGGTCCTGCTGAACGACCATTCCAAATAATTGCTATCGATACTATCTGTGGGCTGGATCGATATGGATCCAAGAAACGCTACATCCATTTTGCTGTTGACCATTTTACTAGATTTGTCTGGGCTATTGCCTCGAATCACCAAACTGCTGCTGAATTTATATCACTGATTAATAAAGTGATTGCTGATGGTAAACCTGATACCTTGCTAGCTGATAAATACACTGCTATAACATCAAATGAATTCGCTGAATATCTGGACCGGATGAAGATTAATATCACTTTCATTCCCAAATCATCACCCCAAAGTAATGGACTTTGTGAGCGTGTTGGAAACACAATAATCGATAGGATCAGAATCAAGATGATCTCCAACAACTATCGATATGGCTGGGTCAAGTACTTGCAACGTACAATCTTCGAGTACAATCATACTCCTCATGCTGTCACCAAATTTACTCCATTTTATCTGTTTAATGGAAGTAAACCCGAAAACTGTGATGATATTGAATTCTGAATTAGATGAAGCTCGAACTCAAGCTTTCAGAAATTCATTGGATAATCATCAAGCTAATGCTGACCTTTTCAACCATAAACACGATGACTATAAATTTGCTGATAACGAAATTGTTTACGTTAAAAATCTTGCTGGGATCAATAAGAGGAAATTAGATCCAAATAGCTGTGGACCATACAGAGTCGCTGGAAAAATTGCTGATAACATTTACAACATTGCTATCTCGGAATCACCTCTCAGAATTGAACAGGTTCATTCCAAGCACCTTATTCGATCACCAAGCTGAAGAGAAACCCTGAGCCACCATGAATCATCTCCATCTCCCTTTGTTTGATCATAAGGGTGGGGTGTGTAAAGAAGAAATTGAGAAAGAAATCAAAGGATATTAATTCCTCTTTCTTTTCTCTTTCTTTTGATTTGATTCTCTTTCTTTTTCTCTTTCATTTCTCTTTCTTTTGCTTAATTTTTCTCTTTCTCTGCCTCCTACTTTTCCCCTACATTTAATTTTCTTAATTAATTAATTGTTGTAAATTTTGGATGGCGCTTATTGTTGTGGTTGTTTTTGTAAACAACATTTGATTTAATTGTTGATTGTTGATTAACAACAATGATCATTTTTATTAATTGATTTCATTGTTGATGATGATGGTAAACAACAACAACAACAACAACAAGGTCAATCAATCATTAGCTTTTGATGGTGAAGGTTCAACTAATTAATATGTTTGATTCTAATTTAATTTAATAAAGTTAATTTGTTTTAATTTTAAATCAAGTTGATTTAGTTAATTAATTTAATTTTCAGGAATCGATTTGGTTTATTTCCAAGGAAGTGAATTAATTGGAATTCATATTTTGTGAAATCAAACTAATCGTTTCCATTGCTGAATTTCTGGCTGTTACTGTTACTGCTGCTGTCCCACCTTATATATATATGTTAAAAAAAGAGTACAAATATTATTCAGCAAAATAGATTAATCTTTCAATTGGTCATTTTTGTTTTCTCCATCAAGTTAATGTAACGATGATGATTTTGTCCTCTTTTATGGCGATACTTAAATGGTACTAATTGTCCATTAAACTGTTGTGCTGTTGTTGTTGTCCATCGAATGTTAATTAATCTTTAAACTTGTAAAAGTTGTTGCGATTACAATGAATAATATAATCAATCTGGATTAAATTTTCCAATCGAGAGTGAAGAAAGAAAATCACCAATCTTAACCATGAACAATTACCAAACAATGTGAGCTAATTAATTCTTCATGAAATGATTTCAAGTGTTTTCTTGCTTCCTGAGAGATGAGAGTTTTAGAGGAAAACAATCCGTTAATCAGCTAATAAAATTCAACAATCAATTGTTAATGGGAAAACAACAAGCTCCAAATCAACTGACGACATCAAATTAAATCACCATGAAGAGAAGGGAAAAAAAGTTAAGAGAGGTGATAATCATAAACAACATGTTTCATGTTTTCTCCATAAATCCAACAAGTACAGAACCGATTACCTTTAATTAGATAATACACATAGTTATGTGTGTATTTTCCAACTAAAGAGAAAGAAAAAAAAAGAAGAAATTAATTCATTACGAGTTAGCAATTAAAAAGTAAAATGACAAAGTACATATCCCATAAGGAAGTTACTTACCAAGAATAATCTTAGAAACTATTAACAGCCAAGAAGAAGAAAAAGAAAAGAAAAAAGATTCCATTAACGACAGAGAAGTTTGAGAATAAGACAATTAAAGGAAATTAACAGCTTAAAGTGAATTAAAACTCATGTAATTTAATTAGAAATTTAATTGATTGTCCACAAACAAATTAATCTTCAATTAGAAATTCTAATCTTAGAAAATTAATCAGCTGAAAAACGATCGGTTGTCATGGTGATTATCGCGTTTAAAGAGAAGCGGGAAAAAAGTGGAATGAGAAAAAAGTGAAACTCTTTTGGTTTCTCTTGATTAATTTTCTTTTTTCTTTTCAAATTCTAATTAAACCATTAATTTTTAGTGAATTAATTTCCATGTGTCGATAAATTATCATCTGAATTACCTGGTGCACCATTTATAACATTGGAAAATGAATAAAAGGTTGACTGATGATTAAAAAGGTAAAAGGTAAGATAATCAAATCTCAGGTTTCACTTTTGTTTCCTATGTTAAAAAATGGCTACTTTATTTTTCACTTGGTTGTAATTACTTTTTTATTTCGTTTTATTTTTCTTCTTCTCGTGTTCTTACCATGTATTTACAGATGTATTCCCAGGTTACCATTGGAAATTTCAATGACTATAAATCTAAGTGATGATGATAATGGTAAAAATGGTGATAATGAAAAAAACACAGAGAGGGAAAGGTTGTCTCTTTTTTTAGATTGGATAAAAATGGCGACACTAAATCACTTTCTCTCTTTCTCTCCCTCTCTCTCTCTCAGTACGAGGTATAAATAACATGGATGGTTGAATATAATCTATTGAGATAAAGGAACAAGTAAAAGAAAAAGAATAAACCAAAAAGATGTATCCAAGGTGTAGAAAAAGGTTAATCAATGGTATCGGTTATTTTCTCTGTGTGTCTCTTTGAGTCTTCCTCTTATGATCTATCTTTGTTTCTCGATTAACCATCTTAACTAACTACTGACTTAACCTTTTATTTTTTTATCACCATCTTCTTTCTATTCTTACCTTATTTCTATAGAAGTTCGAACAAAGGAAAAAAAATGAGGAGATAAAGTCAAAGACAGTGGAACAAGAAAGAGAGACCCCTCAGTGGTCATTCTAAGTTTTTTAACAAAGTGGCCCAAAGGGAATTTAAGGGCAACACAACAACAACAACAACAACATCAGATACAAATCTACAAGGAGCAAGTTACTAAATCCAGAAGATAATCTACATTAACCGATAATGGAAAGTCCAATACAAAAGAAAAGGGAAATATGGACATGGTGGAACAAGATTTATGGATCTGGTTCATTATTATCATCATTATTAACATGATGTTGTGTTGTTGATAATGTTTTTCTGATAATTATGATGATAAACTGACTCAGTTTTACTGTTGAACACATTGGAAATCAACCTTAAAATCTCTTGACATCTCAATCTAACTCTCTAAAGGTCATAAAAATTAGGTAGGTAAAAATACCACTTCGAGTCCAGTACTTGGTCATCATTTTCTCTCTCTCCTTCTCTCTTTCCTTTTAGAAATAATGAAAAATTAGTAAACCTTAACAACAGGATCAACCTAATGGAACTTACACGAATTTAATACTTTTTCCAAGAGCTAATTAACTCCTCTATTCTAACGGACACGACTGACCTGAGGAGAGAAGTAAAGAAAATAATCTAACAACATGAAAATGGTGAAGATTAAGTATCAAGGAAAAAAGATTCAGAGATTAAAGGTCACTTTGCAATGTTGGTCATTTTTTATTCTGATTATCATCACAAGAGTTAAAAATCAGATGAATTTGATGATTGTTACAAACCTGGACCAATGGTCAATTGAAGACTCTACATTGACCAATCGAAAGTGACCTCATTGATACACTATTTATATATGTACATGGACCAATAATTTGCCGAGTACTTGTTCATTAAAAGTGACCCAAAGAAAGTGACCACAAGGAAGGATAAAACTAAAGCATAATAATTACATGTAACATTTCAACATGATTACCATTGTAGTGAACATTAATTTTTGACATTGAATTGGATTAACTTTGCAAGAGCTAAAAAATGATGGTGATTTAATCATGAAAAGTAAAGGTAATTGCAAGAAAAAAAAATTTTGACGGAGAAACTAATTGAAGGTTGGGATTACCATTGTAACAATTTACCTGGAAACTTAATAGCTGACTGTTTGTCAACAATTGTATTAATAATAATATGTATATTGTACCATCCACAAGATTGTATATATTAACTTACATACGATTGACCAGTTAACCAAGTTGATTAATATTGTGGAAGAAAAAAAATTTAATGATCAACCAATCGTTCCAATAATACTAATCATCATATAAATGATTAGATCTGTCATATTATCGTCATCTCATAATCATTGGTTATATTATCAATATTTTCTGATCTTAATCTACTCATTTTGATCTGACAATCAAAAATATGATTTAGCCAACCAAGCTACTGGATTTTATAATCATCACCATCAAAATTAAATACTACTCTTGATTGTTAACCACCCATGGGTGCAACCTTAATTGTTGAGGTTTCAATATCCAAGGAGGGTCTCAGTGTGTGGAGTAAACAATTTGATGGACATTGGATCACCCATTTAATTATCATAATAATGATACAATTGATTTAGTTTTCTTATCCTTAATTATTGTATTGAAATTAATTCTTGGTTGGTGGTTTATTTTGATTGATTTAAAAATGTAAACAATCAGGAAAATCTTAATCAATCCAATTGAATAGATGTCAAAATATTTGATTTTGTTTAAGGAAATCAGATCAACCATTTCAACTTGTCTACAATTTTGATTCTTAATCAAATTATTTAAATTGTGATACAATTTATTTTTCAAATTTAGATTGGCAACAATTTAGAAATGGTTGACATATTATTCAAATTACAATCAACCTTGAAAATGGATTAACGATTTGATTGTGTGTTTGTGTTGTGGTTTACCAACAATTTAAATTAACGTCAAGTTTGCGGATTGAAAAGGTTAATCATTGATTAATTACTTAGCAATTAAACAACAATTAAAAGTCAGATAACCATAACGATTGGGAACATACTGAAATCATCACATCATTAACCCTCAACATTTAACTAATTGTTCCAGTTAATTGTTACCTAATCAAACTCCATTAACAATAAGGTGGATCAACAATATTAATGACAATCAAACAACAACAGAGTAACAATTAACTAAATTTATATCGTAACATTTTTCATCTTAATTACAAAATAAATTTTCCAATGAAATTTACAATTACAATTGTTAAAATTGTAATTCCCTTATGATAAATAATCACTTTAATCAACAATTAAAAATACAAAACAGGTATTGAAATTAAATTGTTCAAATGCACAGTTAAGCTTATGGTTGAAAACTAATTTCTAACAATCAGTTGATTTATTACCACAGTTAATTGTAGTATTTAATGAACTAATATTGCAACAATTAAATAATCACTAGGAAAAAAAAGTTAATTGTGAAAAACTTTTTTCTTTCCAGTTAATTATTGATATTCAAGGAAACAAAAAAACGAGGATTAAATTGATTGTTTACTAGAAAAGTGATGATTAGTTGATGTAAATTGAATTGATCATGTTAATTGTTACCCAATCATTTGAATGATAATCATCTCGATGTCTGAGTGTCATGGTGATGATCATGATTACAATTTAAGTAGAAATCAACAATCTAATGGTTACTTTAGATTCGTTAATCATCCATGGTCAAGTGATTTGACTTTAATTCACCCATTTGATTCAGTTTTGAATTTTAAATTCATCTCATGGTGATCATCAGAATCATCAGAACTTTATCTCTAACCTTCAACCTCCTTTTTGCCACTTTGATAACTTAATGATTGAACATTAGCTCGTACACTTAACTGTCCTTCCGCCTCCGACAACATCTCCTTATCCTCATCCTCCTCCATTGAACAAACCATTAACCCTTCATAACCTTTAACAACAATTTATTAACTGCTGTCTCTCTCACAGAGGATCATCAGAAGTCATTAATAGTTGCCTCTCAATCGTTATTGATTCAATAATCATCATCATCTGATCATCATCATGATGCATTTTTGTATATCAACTGAGTTTCCAAGTCTAATCTTATCCTGGTTGAAGAAAAACGTTTATACACCAAAGTTACACGAAGAGGAAAGATGAAGATGAAGATAAAGATGGATGAATAGTAAGGTGGAAGAAGAGGATAAAAAGGCGGTGGGTGAATGGGAGAGGGTGGAAGAGGAAAATGTAATTTCAATTGAAGGAAATGAAATGAATGAAGTAAAATATCAAACTATTTTACAGATCATTTTTCAGCATCAACGGTGGAACAACTTTCCACCGAGGATAAAAAAGCTAAAGAAAACTACAATTTAAACCATTAACCTACTCTTCCTGATCCCACCAACCACCAACCACCACCTCCACCTCTACATCGTCATCTACTCTCTCTCTCTCTCTCTCTCTCTCTCTCTCTCTCTCTCTCTCTCTCTCTCTCTCTCTCTCTCTCTCTTTCCATAGGAAAAGTTATGAAAAAAAGTTCCCGATAAAAAGGTAAAAGGTATTAAAGTATTTTCTTAGGCTTGAGTAATGTAAATGATGAGGAAGAGGAAGAGGTTAAGAAGGTGGAAGAGTAGATGAAGATGGTGATGGTGGGGTGGAAATTGAAATTGATAACATTGAAATGTAAAATTGATCAACTCGTAAATGGTCAAAGTAAGAAAGTTATATTTTCATTGATATCAAATAAAAAGGATACATTTTGTTTACATTTTCTGTTAGTTAATAAATTGTTGATAAAATTAATATCGTATTTGTCTTTACATAAATAAATTGTTCATCTTGATCCTTATATTTGTTTATTTATTGTCTATTCGAAGACAATTAATCTTCATCATTCATGATAATTGATCCATTTTATTAACCTAATAAAACTCGTTTCATCTTATTTTCGGGAACATTTAATTCCAATCGTTCTGAACCATTGTCGTTAATTGGACGCGATTTTGAACATTTGGGTGAACACAGATATTGAAGTAATGGTAAACGATACGATCCACAAAAGTCAACAAACTTTATCTGTTCAACTCGAGAATCAAAGTAAACACCTAAGAGAAATGAGGAAGAAAACAAGTTCGAGATGAGAAAAAAAAGTTCTAAAAAGTTTCGAAAAAGAGTTTCTTTTCCAATTACCTTGACATTGAGGGTTGACACAGTGTTGAGCAGTTTCGAGGTAGCGGTTTAAAGGTCGAGGTATCATGTAGGGTGGATAATTAATCCGATGAATTTTGATACATCGACCTGCGAGTTCAAGTAAACTCGGTGGGTTGTAAAGGTAATCATTGATGAATCGAACCACCAATGGATTATTACGAAGACTTAACTGTGATTAGTTAATCATGTAAAAGAAGAGAAAGAAAATCTCATTAATGTTAATTTCACTACGATATATTGTTCAGATTGAATATTCGAGAAGAAAAGTTAAATTCAGTTACTCAGTTTCAAAATCATTCCAATCAACTCAATGGTCAAAATATGTATCAAAATGACCACAATTAAAGGTTCATTTTTTACCAATGACCATTAATAGTGATACAAAAATGTTAAGAATGTTAATTTTCATTGATTTGTAAGCAATACAATTAAATAACAAAAAGGAAACCATTAAGGAAATAATCATGAAAAGGATTAGATTGATTCTGATTGAGGTTCAAGTTAATTGAAAATTTTGCTTTTCAATATCAAACCAAAATCATTTTCAAAACATAATCAACTATTAGATGTTGATTATTATCATCATCATTTAGGATTCTGATGGTCATCATAATGGTTCTGATATTGACCATCAACAACGACAACAATAAATTCATTCAAGTGTTCAGGAAACCATATTGGTCACTGATTGTCCAGTTTTTTTTTCAATTTGGTCAACATTTTTTTTTTTCATGTTCATCCCTCTGACTATCAGTTTTTGATAATTTTTTTTTTCACTTTTCAAACTCAAATCAATTGAAAATTTAATCAATTTCATCATACTATTGATCATTACTGGTCAATGAAGCTTGACCAATACATAGGAATCAGTTTGATTTCATTCATGATTATAATCAATCAAAAAATATTCCCAATGGTTTAAAAGTTAGTCTGTTGACCAACTGAATCAACTGTTTAAAATTTAAAATGGTCAACAAAATAATTAACAATCAAAATGTTTTCATCTATTAAATTTGAATCTTATTTGTTAGTAAGAAGAAAAAAATTAGCACAATCAAATTAAATGATGATGTTGATTACTATTAATACCACGTTGGGTTAACCAACAATCTAATTTGATTGTTACGGCTAGTTGAATGGCTGGAAAATTTAATAATAACATAATAGTTACAATCAATTACAGTGGAAATCAATTGATTGTTGAGAAAGAGAAGTAAATTCTAACCCTGACAATCAAGGAGTAAGATGATTAAGAAGATGATGAAATCTAATGAACCATTTCAATATTGTATCATCAAGAAAATAACTAAATATGATAATCAACTATAATAATGATTAACTTGATGATGACAATCAAGAAAAAAAAAGGTGAAATTAAGGTTGAAGGTAAATCATATTACAAGTGACAAGTAAATTGTTAGCAATTTAAACTCTCTACCTGTTAATCAACATCAAAAATCACATACACAAAGTCATCATATGATAGACACTAATTAATTGTTATTCAATATCCACTGATTAAAAAAATATCCAATAAATATAGTTAAATACCTAATTGATATATTTCACTAATCAAAGACAACAATCAATAAATTAGCTAACAGTGAAATGTAAAAGCTAAACACTTGAGGAAAAAAGTTAATCAACTTAATTGTCAACGATTAAGTTGAGAAAACAAAATGCTGATAAATTATGAACTTAATTTGTATATGAAAGTACTTAATTGTAGCATAATTAAATCCAGAGGTTTTTTTTTATTTATAAGTGATTAACGAGAAAGAGTTGATAATAATCAGTATACAAGGTGATCTGGGGTATCCCATAAATCACATATATAAGGTGATTATAATATTTGATGGACCATTTCAATTGGTTACTCTTTGCCCCGGGCAAATCTAATTGACCCTCTCAACTGACCACCGGGTTAAGAGGTGGGTTAACTTTGACCCAACCTCATCTCCTCCTCTTCTTAACACTGACAATCAAATGTAAATACTAAATCAGAGCAATTAAATTCAAACAAACCACTGATTCTTATATTATTACTTTAACTGAGCGTGAAAAAGTTTCAACTTTTTCAAACTTTCAAGTTACTTTAGTTTACCTTTTTTTTTTGATTAACTACAATTTACAACAATTTATAAATCGGTCCATTTGATTTAGTTTTCATTTCATCGTTTATTTTCCCGATCATCATCATCACTAATTGTATTGTTATCCATTGATAGTTGTTATTATTATTTAATATAAATTGTTACTATTAAATTGGTAAATACGAGCAGATTAGTTAACAAAAAAGTCTATCACTATTATTATTATCGTCACAATTGATAATGATGTTTACTAACAATTTAAAACAATCTAATCCCTTTTCTTAGATCAAACGATTAATTAAATCAGTAAATTGTCGAGTAATTAAAGATTAAGTATCAGATTTTGGGTCTTACCTCTGTTAGACTTTGCAATTTAACAATCTCGGTGGGTAAAGTTGTTAATTGATTCATATGAAGTGCCAATGATTTAAGACTCGTAAGGTGGGCAATCGAGGGTGGCAGGGAGGTGATACTGTTTTCACAGAGGGAAAGAGCTTCCAATTTGGATAAAAGTCCAACCTCTTCTGGGATAGTGGTCAGTTTATTACCTCCAAGGTAAAGGTAACGTAGTTTGGTCAATTTTGCAATTGTTGTTGGTATTTGTTCAATACAATTTGCTCCAAGATAGAGTGACCTTAATTGACCACAGTCCAATATGGATTCAGGTATTGAACGAAATTGATTACCTGATAGGGAAAGAACCTTAATATTGGGTATATACTTTGAGGGATTTGCTTTGGTCAAGGCGACATCGGTCAGTTTATTGTTACAGGCAATCAAAACTGTTAAACAAGGTAAGTAAGACATTGGCTCAAGGGAGTCCAAACCATTTTCACTGATGTCCAAGGTGGTCAAACTAATGAAACATGAAAGACTTGAGGGTAAATTGGTTAGTTGATTGTTGGATAAATTTATACTTGTAATTGATCGTTTGGTTAATTCTTGTTCACATATGATAGTGTAATTGTCATCATGGTGATGATTAAGATTATGATGTTCATCACTTGATTTATCCGCATCATCACAGGAAGAGGTGGAGGTTTTTTCATCATTAGTATTATCAATACCACTGTTTGAATTATTTTTACCATTGTCAACATTTTTGTCCTCGTTAAATCCTGAAGTTATTAGATAATCAAGATTCTGATTAATTGTTTCACGAGTTAAATTCATTGATGATAAATCAATTGAGGTTCGTAAGGGTCTTGATTTACTTCCTGGTTCAACCAGGGTAACAGGTAGGCCGAGTAAAATTGAATCATTTGAACCAATTGACGATTCACTTGAGCTTCGATCACGAAAAGTTTCATCTAAATACGAGGGAGATGAAGATAAGGATAAAGTTGGAGATGAAGAAGATGATGAAGAAGATGATGATGATGATGATGACGATGAACTAGTTCCAGAAGAATCCATTGTAATGTAAACTTATCTGAACAAAGTTGTTATCCTTGTAAATAAAATCACCAACAATCAGTGCAACTAATCAATATTGACAAATAGTAAACCTTAATTGTGATTAGCAAAAAGTAAAATGTAAAAATAGAAAATTAAAAAAGTTATTCGGTTAATATTGGAATAGGAAATAAACAACAATATCAACAAGGTTAATGGTCGATTATGATTAGTTTGAATAGAAAAAAAAGTTAATTGTCAAGGAATCAAATCAGATCATTAAATTGATTCACATGAGACCAATTAGTTTGATATAATAATAATAATCATCATCTTGTTGATGGTCAAACTATATCAAAATATTTACTATTTAGATGAATAAACTAGACACTACTGATTTAACCCAGTGGTTTGTTGATTTGGTTAATTGCTAACACTTAGAGATGAATGTAAACCAACTAATTAGATGGAAAAATAAACTAACAATTTAGTGTATATAAAAGTATTCACAGTTAATGATAATGTTTCCTAGTAATTATCTTGAGGGGAAAAGTTTATCATGAAAACCAAGATATTGTTTCTGATCAGGGACAGAAAAGTAAATCATCAACAATTAATTGTGATTGCAATCAAATGAAAATAGATGATTTTTGCTACAATTATCAATACTCAAGTGATTAACAAACTTACAGGTTGATTTTTTAGCTATCAGTCAATTCAATTTGTATTATTATTAATTGAATAACGATTTGTAAATCCTTCCTGGTTGTTGTTGTTGTTATTCAATGGTAATTAGGTTGACCAGGTTAATTGGCTTGATTGATTAACTGTAATTGTTGTTTCTGTTGTTGAAAAGAAAAGGGAAAAAATGAAATGATAAAATCGTGATTAAGTGATTTGATTTAAATTGCCAATGATTAGCAAACAAAGTGTCAGATTTAATATGAAACATATCAAATTGTCAACCCAATATATTAAAACTTTCAAGATTTAAGTGACTTAGGTTAATCTAAATCACGTTACCATGTTGATACCTTTTTGATTTTCTTAATCACTTGTAATCATCATTAAAATCCATCACTAAATGATACGATTCGCAATTATTTGGCTTGATTGTTATTGTACTTTTTTTCATAGGAATCAAAAGCAAATAATTTAATCATTTAGATTCCATTAAGAAGCAAAGTAAAATTTTCTCTCCATGTAAATCAATTAATAACATGCAACAATTAAAGCTTGATTAAAGGCGAGGAAAAAGGTTAACCAGTTAATGATTATCTTAAATTGTGTTGATTATCCAACCAGAAAATAATTAATAACAATTAAAGAAAAGCCAAAACAAAAGAGGATCATCAGTGTTTCCAATTGATTAAGTTAAACATTTATTGTACTTCACAAACTTAACCACAATTAACACGTTCATTTAAATCATGAGCGTTATTAAGATGATGATTAAATTGTTGTTAAATTATGTAAATTATAATGTCCAGTAATCAGAGTTTGGTGTTAATGATGATAATCAAGATTAAGAAGCAAAAAAAAAAAATATCAACACAAAAGCATAAAAATTGAACCAACATCAAGAAGTAAATTGTTCCCAAAGTATAACAATTAAAGAGATGATTTAACTTACACAATAGATTGTCCAGAGTCACTAATTGAATTAACAACTAAATTGTGAAGAAAATTTAATCTAACAGAGTAAAGAGAATGAAATTACAATGTAAACAATTAGACGAATCAATGTTTTTCTACTCGCTATCAGCTGATTGACGAACACGTGGTTTTGTTTTCTTTTTTTGTCTCATCAAATTGTCGCCAAGTTTGTAATTTAATTGCAAGTGATTAAGAACCAATTTCCAATCAATTAAACTTTGAAAGGAAGAAACAATTGATTAATAATCTCCCAATTAAAGAAAAGGGTAAAATTTATAATCCAAGAAAAAGGGAAAATAAAGTTAATCGAATTGATTAAAATCCTTGAATATTATCAATTCACTTAATCAGTTGTAGATTCTAATAAAGTTTGATCATCCAATGGATTAGATTATTAATCACAACTTTAAATTCTAACCTTAAAACTGAATCAAATCAATTAACTGGATCAGGGATTTTAACAGTTTGTTTAATATGTAAAAACACAATGAAAATGTTCAACAATTACCATTAAATTGTCAATAGAAAACAAAACAAAATCAACAAACCAAATTGATTAAAACCCAAAAAAAATGATTCCAATTGAAATTGACCAAGTCCAAAGATACAGCGAAAAATATTATCAATAGTTAATCAATTCACTATTGTGACGGTGATTAAGTTAATCACCATAATCATAATCCATCCTGTTAAATGTGATTAAAAAAATGATCATCATCAAAAAGTAATGTTAACAAAATGTATTCATATTGAGGAAAGGAAAACAAGTGATTAACAATTAATAGTTAATCAGTTGGATTTAAAAAAAAATAAAGAGCCACAAAATTATTGATTTAAATGCAACAATTTAACTTATACAATTTAAATTAAAATCGCCTTAAAAAACTAATACATTAAATCATAAGAAATTCCCAAAAGTCTTTCAGCTTTTCCATCCTCATCCCAAATTGTGATGGCAACATATTAGCATTTAGTTAATCCACTTGGTAAACAATCAAATCCATTGGATAAGTTTAAATAATTTCAACTAATTCCAATTGAAATGCTCACATCGGATTAAGGATTAAAGTATCGGCATTGTGATTAAATCAGTAATATATGTTTCCATTGGTAAAGATTATATTACAATAATTAACCTGAAGGTTTCACTTTTTTTTTTCCCAAAGTTAATTGTTGTGTCAACCCAACATCTTACAATAAGGATAATCAGTTAAATCTTATTTATTATTATCATCTTCTTTTAATTTAATCACAATTAATCTTGAATCCATTTGAGCAGAAAAAAATCCTGATACATGATTAGAGTTTAATTGCAATTGCAATTAAGTTACTTAGTAATTGTTACATTCAGTAAATCAGCAAACATTTGATGAAAGGAAACAATAATTGTCACGTTGATTACGATTGTGATTAATATTAACCAATAATTTATTAATCTCTCCAGAGACAATACTGGACATGGTTAATTAAATTTTTTATTAGGTTAATGGTTTACGATCGTTTTTCATGATAATCATAATCATGATAATCATTTACAATTAGTTAATCATCTCTTGACCCAATTTTTTGTTTCTCTCTTCTTTCTGATCATAATTAAGTATTTTCTTTATATATTTAATACAATTTTAGTTAATTGTATCAATCAACATATTCATCATTCACTGAAATTACACTTATTGATTATAACCAAATTAAGATCAATCGATTAACTAATTCAATTGGTGAAGAAGAAGAGCAAAAAAAAGTGAAGTTGATTACGTTAATTTCATCATAATTACTTTTAATCATCTCAATTCAACTGATTTAAAAGGTGCAAAACTAAATTATCTTCAACAATCAAGTAAATCAAGACAACAATTGATTAATTTTCATTTGAATCTCATTGTCTTTGTTAATTTGTATTAGTTGATTGTGATTTTGGAAAACTTTTTCTCTTCTTCATTTAATTTAGTTAGTTGATCAACAATTTGTGTTGTTTTTTTTTTGATTGTTTGTCAAGATTGATTGAACAATCAAATAGATAATTGTGATTGGGAAAAACAAAAGTAAATTATTATCATCATTGGTTAACATTTAATCAAATGGTTAACCCAATCAACATTAATTGTGAACAATTTAAAAGCTTTTTCCTTATGAGTATTAACAGTTACCAATATAAAAGTAACTGTTAGTTTAATAGTCTATCCAGTTGAACAATCATAATCAACAATCAAATGAGATGATTACTTTTTGGAAAGTAAATTATGTTACCCAATTTAGGCCAGGAAGCCAATTGCCTCTCATTACAATCAACAACAATCAACTGTATTCCTCAAGATCATTACAAAAATCAAATACTAAATTGATGCACTTGATAAATCATGTTGATCAAGTTCAATGCAGCAAAAATTAATGACAATTAATTTTACTATTAAAAAAAATTATCATTTCTCCAATGATAATAAATATTAACATCATCAAGAATCATCAAAATTTTAATCATTCATATTGAATTGGAGCTTGAGATTTATGATTATCTAAGCAATTTAAAGTTCAGTAAATATAACAATCAAAATGATTAAAATGATTCTGTTCTCGCCTCATTATCACCTTCACTTTGTTTACACACATATAAGTCCAATTGTTTGACCTTCTCAATGCAAAAAAAACAACAGTAAACTTAGACAAACAGATTGACCGTTGACCTGAGTTGAAATTTTGAAAATCTAAATCAACCTTAAGCAATTTACAATAATCTAAATTGTTGAAGATAAATCTAACTGCCAATAATCCAACAGCAATCAACTGCGAAAAGTACATAACAATATTGTTGAAGGTGTTTGAGTTTCAATCAACTTTTACTTGTTAGTTTCTTTCAATAGTTACTGGTGGTTCCTATCAAATTAGATCAACACATTGTCATGGATATTTTTGTCCTCTCTGTAGGTTAACATTCGGGTAAAAGGTCAGTGTATAGTGTCACTCAACGATGACCTCTAATACTGTTGAGTCCACAAAGAAATAAGAAAAGAAACAGATTAAATCCTTTGGAAGCATATGTTAGTTTTTGAGTCTTTTTCTCCTTGAAAAGGATAACCATAGCGTCGATGATGATGACGATAAAAGAGAAGCATAAACGGCCATATGTCAATTCGAAGACGCAAAGACCTTGAGTGGAGAGAAAGAAAGAGAAGAGACTAAAGGTCAGGTCAAATAACTAGACCTTTAGAAAAAGAAACACTGACTTTCTTTGTGACCTGTTGAGAAGAGTAACCAACAAAGAGACTTTAACAAGTTCGAACGAAAGAAGAGAAAAAAATGAGACCCAAATAACTTTTCTCTTCATCATCATCATCATCTTCTTCTTCTTCTCATCTTCCTTTGTTCTCCTGTAAAATATTAATCGCAATCTAATCCCAACTGTAGACCTAAATTGTCGTAATCGTCACCATTATCATCAGTGTCGCAAAGGTCACAAATTCCAGAGGATAAAATATTGATAATATTTAAAGATGAGAACACAAATGATGATACTGATTATGTTCATCTCTTTTTTCAATGTTGACTCCGCCATCCTCATCTCTTTGGTATACAAGATCCTTTTAAAAGTAAACTTAAGCTTCAATAAGTCTTTAAATTCAATTCATTATAACTGTAAACAAGAAGAAGAAGAAGATAAAATAAATGCATTAAAACACTCGAAGAAAAGTAAATTTTAGCTAAAAAAGAAAACGGTAACAACTTTTTACTTATCATCATTATCACCGAGAAAAGAAAACCATAACCATTATCATCCGCATCTCCATCTCCATCTTCATCTTCATCTTCATCTTCATCTTTATTATCAACATGAAAACCATAATCTTCATCTTCATCAGTGAGGAGGAAAAAAGTTATTGTCACTTTGAGCATTAATGGTAATTATGGTTAACTAGATTGAGAATAATTTTCAAATTCAATTCCATAATGTAAATTATCAGCTCAATTCATTGAACCTGAAAGAAAAATAAACATAAATCAACAGAGGAATTAAACTAAAATCCTATTAGCAGGTTAATTACAAACAATGATCAAGGCACAATCAAATATTACAATAAGCAAATGAGATGATAATTTAACAAAATAATAAAATATCAACTGAATAACCTGTAAGGATAAATGTTCAAATATTGGTCAGTTCATGATCCTTGTAGATTTACCTGTATACTTAGTGACCTCTTGGTATAATGAAAGGTTATGATAACTTGTTAGGTCACTTTGCATCAACACGAAGTGAAAAAAAAAATCTTGTCCATTTTGCTTTGCCTGTAACAATGAGATACAACAAACATCATCATCATCATCATTATCATCCTCTCCCTTTCTTGTAGATTTACCTCCTCCTCCACCTCCAAAAGCATCTTCATCATCTTTATTTATCATTTTATCCTCTTTTCTTTTAGTAATCATATAATTTTCTAACGCCTGACAAATAACATGATATATGTACATGAGTATAACTTTTAAACATATACTACAATTTGAATGAAAAGAGATGATGATGATAACAATCAAATAAACACTATTCCATTTAAATGAGGGAGGGAGAGAGAACCATAGTTACATTACAACGAACTGTAACTTCCCATGTCAATAGAGGTAAAGGTATTTTCCCACCATTTTGGAAAATATTATATAAAAGAAATAGAAAGATGAATGAGATGATGAAGAAAAAAAAACATCCATATATACAAATACATCGTTCAATAGATTTGTTTGTATGGATTTTAATTCAACAAAAAGAGTGAGTGAGAGAGAGATGATTGAAACAGAAAGTGGTAAGAAAAACTATGTTATTACATTTAAAAGTCCTACAGATGATAAAAAGACCTTATCATCCCCATATATTACATAATAACATAATCATCTCTTTCTTTTCTTCTTCTTCTTCTTCTTCTTCATTCTAATCACTCCCTTATAATAATAAGAAAATACCCTGGAAGATGAGAGAGGCAGAGAAAACATCATCATCCTGGTGGATACTCAAATAAGATTCATGATTTTCCCACAATAATCCAGGTAAACGTTAACTCTGTTTGCTTTACCATAACATACACACAATATTCAAGTGACCTGTAGAGAGAGAGAGAGAGAGAGAGAGAGAGAGAGAGAGTATAGCACGTTAGAAAAGGATGAACTTGATAATGATGATGAAGATGAAGCTATTATTATATCATCATTTTTCGTCTTCATCTTCTTGTTTTTTTATCTCTCTAACTCATCTTATTCTGAGCCCGTTTACATGATTGGACATATGAGAGATCATTAATTTTCTCACGCAATAGTAGCCTATTACTATCAGAAGAAGAAGAAGAGAAAAAAAATTGATATTGAACAAGAATCAGAAAAAGATCTTGTCTTAAATAATATTATATTCTTCATTTTTTTCCCTTATAAATTGTTCGATATTTTTCTCCCTCATTATTTTCTAATAAACAGAAGATGAAATTGAAAAGTGAAAATTATATTCTCTTGCCAGAGAGATGATGATGATGATGAGAAAACTAATCAAAAGTAATCAAAGTACAATTGATGTACATCTTATCCTCTAAATACGCGTTCACATGTATTACATAAGTAGGTATATGAACCAAGTTGATTTAAGATTTTTTTTCTCCATCCATTTTGTTTTGTTTGTAAGAAGATGATGAGGATAAGATGAAGATAAGAAAGAGAAAGTTAATGAATATAAAAAGGTGAGATAATGATAAAGAAAAATAAACCAAACATTCATAATGATAACAATCAAAGATGATGATGAAAGTTAAAGGAAAACAATGTTAACGATGCTAAATATCATGGATAATGTTAATAATGATAATGATGATGAAGATAATACTTGATTGGTAAAAATGATGATGAAGATAATGATGAGGATGAAGAAACCAACAAAAAAATGACAGTTACAATGAATGATCCTCATGAGATTAATTCTGATGAGGTTAAACTTATTATTTTTTTCTCTCTTTCAATTCCTATGATTTTTCCTCTTTGAATCATCTAAATGATTAAAGACTTTCAGGAGAGAGAGAGAGAGAGAGAGAGAGAGAGTATGAAAAGCTATGTGATTTAGTGAAGATGCTTTGATTTCTTTTCTTGTTGTTGCTTTTTTTGTGTTTCTTTTTCATCTTCATCACTTTTTCTGTGTTGATTTTCACCATGTAATACGTTACCTCATCTTCACCGTAATCAGGATGAGAATTAGAATCAAACATTTCAATAGATTCATCTTATGGTTTATAACAAATTATCACACTGAATAACATGTATACTCTTACACAGGGAAGGTAAGAGATATGTTGTTAATGAATGATGATGATGATGTTGATGAAAATGATGCTATGTTGAGAGTTGAATACCCAAGAGATATCAATTTCATTTTTGCATTTTTCAATCAACCAAAATTTAACTAATAAATAGATTGCATGGGTTATATAATAGTATGTAGATAAAACCATGGAACCAATGAATGAATATGAATAAGTTTTTCCGGTGTATCAAGTGAGAAGAAAAGAGAAGAGAGAGAAAAAAAAATTCTACAAAAAGAAAAACAAAAAAAGAGAAAATGAATAACATGAAAATTAGAAAATAAAATGAAGGGTAAATCTAAATGAAAGGAAGTTAACTGAATGATGATGAAGATGAAGATGATTATTATTACCATGATGATGAAAAATCCGGAATCAAAATTAATAGAATCAAAAAGAGAAAGAGAAAAGAAAGAGTAAAAAATTTAACCTCCAATTTTTTTCCGTTTGGGTTGATTTTCACTTCTCCATCTTGTTGATACATTGGATATTATTCAATGTTGATTATTGTGTATGATGCTTATTATAAGGTATGTACGGTAAAGTTTGGGAATAAAATTTTCAAACTATTATGGTGAATTTAATTTTCGATTAAATTTCTTGAAATTATATGAAATTATTAATCAACTTTTGAGCTTCAATTGTATCTTTTCACGAATATTGCATCAAATCAAAGCATCAAAATTGATTTTCGAATGTATGTCGAAAATAAATTGTCATATTTTTCAGAGGTAGCTCTGGACAAATGTTCTAAACTTTAATCGAAGATTACTTATGGTCAAAATCGGTCAATTAATGGAATACTGAGTGTTATTTCCATATTCAGAATTAATTACAAAAAATTTCATGTATTTTGACCGGAAACTAAGGAAGAATTTTCAACGGATATTTCGTCATTTTCAACAAATGACGCAATATCTTGAGGAAACAAAATTTCTGGAAAAATTCTCAATATCTCAGCAAAATCTTATTCCTCATCGAATGAGATCGAAAAAATTTCGAAAATAACTCAAATCGCTAAAAAGTTAGTCCACACTATTCCCAAACTTTACCGTTCATACCTTATATTTTAAATTGATGCGGTTAATCAAGAGAGAGAGAGAGAGAGAGTTGGTGGAAAATTTTATCCACCAATTTGTTACCTAATGGTGTTGATATATTGAGAAAAATTTAGTTATATCTTGGAACTGAAACAAAAGAAAAGAAAAAGTTCAGTCAATATGTTCAATTTATGGATGAGCCAAATTATCATTTGCATAGAGAAAGAGAAATAAAAATTTATCTTTTCATGAGATGTATATGAATAACACTTACATTATGCTGGAGTTTCCTGTGAATAAGTATTAATAATATAAATAACGAGTGAATGAACGTCAGGAGATGATGATGATGATAAAAAGCAGCATCTTTTTCAGTGAATTTCAATTGATTGTTACATCAATTTCTTTCACTAGGTTTTTGCTTTTACTTTTCTTGAAAAAAAAATGATGATTCCAATGAATATTAATCACTGAATATGTTTAACATGCTTGGATAAAGATGATGATAGTAGTGATAAAGAGAAGGCTTGATGAGTCATTAATATATCATCATCATTATCATCCAATTGCCATCTAATCTTCATCTTTCGTCGCCATTCAATGGACTCATATTGTTCAAAATAAATGGTTATTCCTGTTGTTCAAATTCATGGTGATAATATAACTTGGTAATAATTGTCATCACCAACATGATCATCATGAATATTATCATGTTGATCATTAGAATGATAAAAAGCAATACAAAAGAATTGAAAATCAACGCTCTCAACGATAAACAAGAATACATATAACTAAAGGTGAAAAGAGATAAATTTTAATTAGAAATAATTGTAGCAAAGATAATCAGCTATGGATGAGATTCAATTGTTAATTTGACTGAGAGAAAATAAGAAAGAGCTAAATTGTTACCAGAATGATTATGATCATTTAAATCTTAACCATAATCAATCAACAAGGTACAGTGTTTATATAATTACAGGGTGATAGGGTTGACTGACAAATCACGTTTCCTGTTTCTTTATAAAGATCAACCAGTAAACAGTTTGAATTTAATGAAGCAGAAGATTTTTTCATCCTCATTATCATGTTCATCATCATCATCATCATCATGGTAATCATTCAACAGGATCAACGAGAGAGAGAGAGAGAGAGAGAGAGAGAGTTATTATTTGACAAGTTAATTTGAATAAATAAAAAGATCCAACAACAACATATGAGGTGAATGAGGATAATATAAAAAAGAGAGACAATTAAATTAGCTGATAATTAAGCTTAATTGAAAGCAAAGGCTTAATTGGTGTTCCATTAATGAGATTGACCACCACTTGATATATAATAACAAATGATAATAAAGCGTAACATTTATCTTTCTCTTACCGAAAGTAGTAATGGTCATTCATTCAATTTATCTTCTTCTTTTCTGTTTTCACCTTGTTTTTTTTTCTTTGGACTTGATTGTTGTTTGATTGTTACTGGAAATAGAGCAATTTAAGATGATTAAAAAAAGAGTAAATTAAAGGTTAAATCATCAAAGTTAAGTGAACACAAAAAAAAATCAAATTGAAATTAATAGCTGCTAATAAATAGTTAACTGTTTGGTTAATAAGGGTAAGTGAAAATTAAGTTAATTGTTCAATGGTTGTTTATGAATAAGGAAGATGATTAAATAATCATTATGCAGATTATTAAATGCATGTTACCTTTGTTACCCTCTTTTGGGGTGATTGTGGTCACAGAAACATTAAATGATTCTAATTGTTGATGATGGTCAAAAGTGGAAAACCACAATTACGCTTACAATTAACATCAATCTACAGGTAGGTGGGTATGCAAAGGGAAACAGGTTGTTACACTATTATAACGGTTGATATAATATAATTAGCTACTTTTTTATCATCATCATCATCATTATCTGAATCGCCATCGTCCTGGGAAAAGAAACAATTCAAAAATATCGTTGGCTCATTATTTATGTTGATGAAACGTTTGTATCGGTTTACTGACGAATGACCATTTTAATCTTAATCGTCCAATTACAATTGTTAATTGTCGATGAATAATGATTACGATAATTATCATGTTGATTTTGATCCAATTATCAAATTGTTGTAGTTATTTTGATTATCAATTTGGAAATGGTTTTTTATTTCATTTCTGTTTTCAGGTAAGTGACCATTTAACAAGCTGATTGTGATCCAGGCGATTGACCAGTTGATTCTCTGTGAATATAATTATTAATACAATTAATTTACAATTAAAGTGTAAATTAGGTTACGGGAAAATATTTCAATTGAATTCTAATCATTGACAATCAACAATTTTCGTGACTCTTTCTCCAGGTAAACATATGAAATGGTTTATTAACAAAATGGAAAAAGAGAAATAAATTTTCAATCGATTTCTTCTGAGAAAACTGATTTTGCCTTTTCTTTTCTTATTACTTTTTTGTTATTCAATAAACAATCAATGAAAGGTATTCACACATATACTCAAACATTTTGCAATAATACAAATGTAGTTTGACCAAATTCACTCGTTACGATATTGAACAGTTATGGACTACAATTTAGGACGAAAGTACAAAGCTAACTGTTAAAATGAAAATGAAAGAGAGCGAAATCTTAATTCATTCAAGCAAATTGTTACTTTTACAGTTATAAAAAGACTCGATGGAAGAAAAAAAAAAGTAATCAAAGTGATATTGTTTGGTTACTTTCATTTTCTATTAGATGTTTTCAATGGACGAGGACAGATTAACGATCAAAGGATTTGTGAGATATTAGTCTGGGTCATGGGGATTAATACATTTTTGGAAACATTTTAAAACCAATTGATACGCTGGTCAGTGTATTTTATTAAGTATCTAAAGAGAAACATTGTCCATGTTTTCATGAAGAGAGAGAGAGAGAGAGAGAGAGAGAGAGAGAGAGAGATTAAAAATGGATTAGTGATTGAAGTGGTTGTTGAGAAAAACATATTAAATCAACTCTTCATGGTTCTTCAATTGAATTTTTCAATTTGTATATTAATATGATCAACTGAACTCTTAATATTGATTAATTGAAATAAAGAAAATTGATTCACAATGTAAATACTGTTTTTGGTTTTCTCTCTCTCTCTCTCTCTCTCTCTCATCTTCCATGTTGTAATTATAGTACTTGTTGGATTGAAAATATAAGAAGAGAGAGAAGAAACTTGTTACCGGAATAGCAATAGGAAGAGAATTGAGAATAAAGGATAAAAGGAGAGAACCGGAAAATTAAAAAAAAAAGTTCTGTTTACCTGGTTAATATTGACTTTACCTAATGTAAAAAATCGTGTCCAGACAATCCAATTTAACAATAAAATAATATAATTGTTTACACCATAACACCAATTTCTTTCTTGAAAAAGGATAAATTTGCTCTTCTTTCAATCTCTACTGGTTTTGTCCACCAATAGCACCAACCATGAACCACCAAGCACCACCACCAATATAGCGAATCAGTTCACCAATTGAGATCGCAGGTTAAATTAGCTGTGTCCTCCTTTTCCATAGCACTTATATAGCAACTTTCCATTATTAACATGTACAAATATATAAACTGAGATACCTGTAGATTAATATTAATAAATATAAGATATTAGCACAAAAATCACAATCTAATTTGAGTAATTATCTAATTGACAATAAAGGCCAAGAATCTTATTGTTAATGTTTACCTTAAGATTTATCTACTTACCTTAAAAAAGTTTAGGTAATTGATTAACTTGGTTTTCAATGTAATGATCAGTTTATTTAAATTTTCAAGTAATTCGCATCTCTAATAATCAACACTTGACATGATCACACTTACATCAACAATTAATAGTTAATTTGATTATCTTTTTCAAAGATAATTGATATTTACTTATCCCAATACCTTACATAAAGATGACCAATTGTTTACCTGACAAAAATAAAACAAACATCAACAATTAACTGAATAGAAATGAAAGAAACTATTGAACAATTAAGAACAATTAAATGAATCATACCATAGAATTGACAATGAAAGAAAAAAAAGAAAATACAAACCTTGTTAATTAATTAATTCTATTAATCAACATTTAGAAGAAAATAAAACAAAACAAATAATCAATTAATTCCTCTGGAAAAGTATCGATAACATCAATTATTTTTCCCTTCTTTTAATTGTTATAGTTGAGTTAATTTCTATCAACTGATCGATTATTTTTATTCAAATTTGTGTCAAATTTCATAATTAAAATAGAACAACAATCAACAAGAAGAAAGGTAAAGTTACCTTTTAATTGATTTTCTCTTGCAATTCTGTTGAGCGGAAAAAAAGAGTTGAAACCTAACGAAACAAAGATCAATGGAAATATGAAATTCTTATTTCATATCAAGAAGGATAAAAGGATAACATGAGAATTTCTCTTTTATTTTTGACTCTTTTTCTGAATTTCGTTGTTCAGTCTTTTCTTTCTCTCTCTATTTTTTGACGGATTGATCATCATTTCGAAAGTAATATTTTCTCTTTCTACTCTTGAAATCATCTCAGCATGGAAACATAATGGAACAACAATCAGTCAACCATGAGTCTTTTTCCCAGAAACCAGTTATATTTATATGAGAACTTATCGTACTCATCATCATTATCAACAGGAACATCATGATGGAAACCAATCAAACCTTAAAAGTGGAGAGAGAGAGAGAGAGAGGAGTGAGAGGTGGTGGTTGAAAGTGGAAGTGGTATATTGGTGATCAAGGTGGAGAAACAGTTTATCATTAGTATTATTTTCTCTGTTTAATGATAATAACACTAATGTTGAAAATTGACTTTTCTCTCTCTCTATTTCATTCATCGTACGAAAATTACATCATAAGGAATATAATTTTCTTCTCAATGAATTGAATCGATTTTTCTCCATCATGAAACACCAGGCAAATAAATGAGACACCCCAACAATTATTTGGTAATTGGTTAACAAATTGTTAAACCAAATCCATGGTAATTATCATGTTCACTGTATGGACATTTCCTCAGTAGTTGGAATCGTTTCTCGTTTCTATTACAATGTGTAGATATTTTTAGTTACTATTGTTAGATTACAGAATTGAGAATCCCTTTTACCTTTCGTGCATGACAGATATTAACATCCATGTACAAGTAGAAAGTTAATTAATTGTCAGTTGAGTTTATAAACAGATAATATTAATTTAGAGTTTAATTATTTTATCATGACTTTCGTTGACGCGATTCTGTGCTCAGCTGAAAACAACAAAAATATTCATCACAACGACAACAACAGTTAACTTGATTGTTCAACAAAAAACAAACAATCAACCTGTTGATTTCTACTGACCAACAAATCTAATTGTTTACAATTTAATTACTACATATCATTTTCTCTCTCTCTCTCTCTCTTCACCCCAACGTTAACAACATACCAGTTACATTGTCACCATTTAATTGTCCAGTTGATGATGATGATATTCAACTTTTACTTTATCATTGTGAACATGAATGTAGTCAACTGCTATTCTTGTCTTGATTGTTATATTACTGTCATGAAAATAAACAATCAAAACTAACAACAGTTAATAACAATACAATCAAATGATATAAAACACTAACTGTGATTAACTGTTCCCATTGAAAATGAGAGTAACAATGAAATTAACCATGTTAACGATAATCATAATAATCTGTTAATTTAAATTTTCGTATTCAAAAATTGAATCTCTCAATTAAATTGTATTTTTTTTCCACAATTTAACAGTTAATTAAATTGAAATATTATCAATTAGCATTAAATTATTTGACAAATTAGAAAACATAATTACATATTTTCTTTCATCTTTTTTATGTTTACCTGTAAGTAGATTAACTTTGAGATTTATGATTTGGATACTTGGATTGATTAATAACGAAATTAAAAGTTTAAATTTATCGATAAATGATGAGGCCAATCCAGCGAGGATAAAAGTACCATGGATCCCAAAGGTTCAGGTGGAATCATTGTAACTGAATTAATCAGTTTCAAGATTAAATGAATTCAAGTGAATATCCTGAAGACGGGATAAAGTGATCGAGCTAAATTATAACCAATAAGAGGAACAAAAAAAGCAATTAAATTGATAATAAAGCAATGATAATGTCAACGGGGTTTTCTCTTGATTTCTCTTAATTGTATCTAGACACTCACTCACAATTATAAATTATCAAAAAAAAAAGGTAATTAAATGTGGTTTCAAAGTGTGTGGATATATTTTCAACACGAATCAGAGTAAAAAAGTGGCAAGTTGTGACATTTTGCCCATAATATCTTGACAATCAATCAATGATAATAACGATAAATTTGATTACAATCTGAGAGAAGATGAAATGAGAAAGAAAAGAAGAAGAAAAAAATGAACTTACCCTGAAAAACGAAACGATAACATTAACCATGAGAGAAGTAAATTAATCCAGAAGAAGAGGTTCCGTTCAATTTTCATCAAATTTATTACAATTTGATGACAACAAGCAAATGATTCAGTCGAAAATGATTATCACTGTTGATGAATTACTTTTAATTGTGATAAAAAACGGATTGATCCATTTTCTCAATTATATTTATCATTATTCTCAATCAGTATTTAGTGTTTTTTTTTAAAAAACACTCAACTGGTTTTCCAATTCAATATATTATTCATATTAATAGTTACCTGTGGATCTGTTATCTCATTTCTTACCTGATTCTTCAACCTTCAGGGCATCATCATGTACAACATGAAAGTTTACACATACGAAAGAATAAAACAAATTAACTGAAACCACAATTAAAGAGAGCAAATTAATTTAGGAAATTTTTCAAAGAAAAAAATTCTATTCTCCGAAATTTTATTAATCCAAATAGTGGATGGATTCAAATTCAAATCCAAATCAATAAGATTAAAAGAAAAATAAAAATACAAAGAAACTTACAAAACATCAGATGACCTCCATGAAGATTACACTCAACATTTCAGTAATTATTGATCGGTACGGTCACTTTACGGAATTGATTTCTTGTCATTCTGATAAATCAGAAATTTTGTATTCTTAACAGTAATAATAACAACAATAATATCAATATTAGTTTTCACATTGAAATACATTTGCATGTATGAATTTAGGTTTGGTCACATTGAGCAAAAGGTAACGTTGTCAATGCTTTTCAATGGTTTTCATCTTGAATTTTATTTAATTTCACTTTTCTCTTACCTTTTAGATAATTTTCTGTTATTTTTGTGATCCATGGAACTTCAATAATAATAATAAGGTATGAGTGGTAAAGTTTGGCAGTAATCGAGATTCTATAATTTGAATGAGATCATTTATAATAAAATTTTCAAATCTGGCCAATAGACCTCGACTAGTAAGTGACATAAATATTAAATTTAGTGGCCAATTCCCGTTACGAACCAGTCCAATCATGGGCTAATCGTGTAAATTGGTTTAAATTTGGCGCCATCGTTTTCGTCGGTTTTTGGTCGCAATCTGGGTAATAAATAAAATTTTTTCATTCCTGACCTTTGGCACAACAATACTGAATGACCTCAGAGGTGTCTCAGAACTTTCCAGTCTATCGGCCCATTGATATAAACTAAATTCTGGATGGCGACTAAGAAAAATCGTTATGAGAGTTCGGACTTGACCTCCATTAAGAACCATTTTGAAAAACAACTAATTTTCAATTAACTTTAATTTAGTACCAAAATGATGCCCGTTAAATTTCCGTTAGAATGAACCTAATTTCGGTGCCACAGGTCAAGTCTTCTTGTCGCAATTTTGATTTGAAAAATTTACTGCCAAACATTACCACTCATACCTTATTAAGGAGTCCAATGTTAATTAATTCATTTTCACATTCAAAATATTAAAAAACTGAGAATTAGCGTTTTTCACGTTCAAAGTGTTTTAAATGCGAAAAAAAGTAAACAAAAGATTCTCGGGGATCGTTGATACAGAAAAGAAGGAAAATTATTGTGTTTTTTTCTTTTCTCCAATTTGTTAATCTAATTACTGTTAATCCATTTGGTCTTTAGTTTGATGATGATAATTAAAAGTGATGATGACTAAGTGATTAAAGAAACAAAGAGAATTTATATTTAACCGGGAAAAGTGAAGATTATGATGTAAACTGTCATTTAGATTTTCTGTTTACTCTTGTTGACCGTTTTTCTTTTGTTCATTACTCTTGGTGATTATCTACAATTTAATTTACATTCTGTGTCCTTCTAATTTATTGGTTTTCTTTAATTTTTAGAAGATAAATTGTTCCATTAATTGTTCAACACCAAAAGAGTTCATCTAATTAATTAACCCTGATAAAAGCTGAAATTCTCTGTGGATTATGATCAATGACCTTTACCATGTTGTCTCTTTATCTTTGTCTTCACTATGGATTACATACTGGTGAGAATAGAATTTTTTCTTTTTTCTTTTCCACCATCATTCTCAGGTTCAGTCCTGTTTCACCAATTCTTTAAGTAAACATTGAAGTTAATCCCTTTGTCTTTGTTAATTTTGAAAGGACTAAAGTTGAAACCTTCAAAGAATCATAGGTATTTTAACTGAATAGGTTGATAGTCCGAGGCCCTCCGGGCCACTAGTTAATTTTGTTGATTAGGTTGGTTGTCCGAGGCCCTCCGGGCCATTAATTGTTATAATTAATTAGGTTTACATCTCACACCTAACCAAACCTAACCTAACCTAATCAAACCAAACCAAAAACGACCTAACTTCGTTCAGAACAGCACCAAACTAAAAAAACCCTTTCTATTTTAATGGATTCTTTGACAATTTTAACCTAAAACTTGTGAAAATTAACAAAGACAAAGGGATTAACTTCAATGTTTACTTAAAGAATTGGTGAAACAGGAATATACCTCATTCTCATCATCCTTTCCACCTCCACCAACACCAGAAGAGAGAGAGAGAGAAAGAGATGGTGATTAGCTGATAATGAGAATGAAGAATTGGAAACAATATGTATAAGAAAGTGGACACAGGAGGAGATTGAACAAAGGACTTAAGACTAATCATATTTACAGGCGAGTTTAAAGAAAGACCATAACAAATCAGTATTTTCATTGCAATTAACCAATTTCTCTCTCTCTCTCTCTCTCTTTGTGTAAACATCGTGATAATTGTTGCGTGCTGTTAAACGTTGGTCAATTGTTGGCTTAAAGACAGTTGGAAGAGATGGAGAGAGAAATGTTGATGGCAAGATGCAGGTTCATCATCATCATCATCAATATGTGAATACAGTACATATACAGTACATTAAGTTATCGGTAAAAGAAAAGGACAATAATGTTGCCTAAAAGCGAGAGAAACAAAAAGAGAATGAAAAAAGAGCTGGTCAGTCGAGAGAGAGATGGTCAAAAACACGCAATATAATTTTTCCATTTCCCACTCGAACCATTTTATTGACGTGTTTGTGTGAAGGGATCCACGGAAGTGCGTGGCTCATAAATTACCTTGACAATTAATTGAGCCAAACTTTGATTATCTTCACTCCTTAATCGAGACAGAATAGAAGACCTAACCTACTCTTCTTCCTTTTGTTTTGGATAATATTCCATAATAATATTTCTCTCCAGAAATGTTCACCATGAGAATTTGCATTCTAAATGTGATAATATCGAAAGATTCAAGTTGCTAAGAGAAACAATCATCAAACCATTGGAATAATTTTCGCCAACAATCAGCAACATACTTTACCTGTTTTCAAGGGAATTGAAGAGTAACAAGAATGAAGAAAAACAAAAATGAATCAATCAACATCTCCATCATACTCAATGATTAAGACAAAGTAAAGATAAAATCATCAATGAGAGAGATATGGATAAGTTGTAGCGATGAAGATTAACTAATAAGGTAATTGGCCTTTTCAGTGATTCCGCTCCAACGATTAACTTTACAAGGTTGATCAGTTAAACAACAATAACAAGCAAAAGTTGAAGTGTCATCAGCCCAAGGAAAAGTATATACACAAGCTAATTAATATATCATTGGAAAAGGAAACATTTAGCTCGCTAATCATCAATATATACACCATAGTTTAATAGTTGTATATTGTTGTCTAAATTGTTAACAAAATTGATCTTCCATGTAACAATTACCCTCTTAAATACTCACACCATTGAATTGGAAATGATCATCATCTATATACATTTTGCCCCTTTGATTGGAAATCCAATGAAAACAATTGAAATGAAATCACAATTGCCGATAAAAAGACTATTCAATATTAACAGTAATTCAGAGAATCATCATGATAATCATCATGGAACTGGAATCAATTGATATCCAATCAGATGGTCCATTGACTTTGTTGACGATGTAAATTGTTTCTCATAAAAGGAAAACAACTCCAACCATATACTATTAGGTATGTGCACATGAAATGGCACTTTTGAAGAAAATTTTTTTCTTTTGATGATAATTCGAGAACCAGTCAGTATATTGAGATATTATTTTATTCACTAAATAGATAAGACTCTAATGAATGAAATGATATCAAATTTAACTAGGAAAAAAATTATTAATTTAATTAGAATTCAAAATATGATTATACTTTTATTTTTACTGATGATAACTGAGGATTTTCATCATTTTTGATACCTTTATTAATTAACATGGGTGTCTATGGGAATTTTTATCAAAAAAGGTGTTAATTAGTAAAAAGTGATGAAAAAAAGGTAATTTTCAATTAATTATTATTTTGTTGTTCTAAGGGATAGGATTATGATTTTAGCATCAATCGAAAGAAAAAAGTAACAAAAATATAAAAATCGAAAAAAATAATTGATTTTTTTGGACTAAGGCCATTTTCCGACCAATGAAAAGTGTCAAAATTTCATGAATTTTCCATATTTTTAAAAATTAATTCTAATTAAATTAATAATTTTTTTCCTAGTTAAATTTGATATCATTTCATTCATTAGAGTCTTATCTATTTAGTGAATAAAATAATATCTCAATATACTGACTGGTTCTCGAATTATCATCAAAAGAAAAAAATTTTCTTCAAAAGTGCCATTTCATGTGCACATACCTAATAGTATATGTTCATGTATTTATTATCTGATGATAAAATCATTTAAGAATCAACATTTGGAATCAACAACCTGGAATAAATAATATCTTAATACGGGAACAACAATCAACGATAAAACACCGAGCAATTAATGGCTGAGATTTGAAGAGAAAAGTTAATCATTAAAGAAGAAGATTAAATAAGATGTAAACTACTGGAAACCAAATGAAGAAAAGATGGAAAAATAAGATAATAATATTTACCTGAGAATAAGATTTACCTGTTTAAAAATTGGAAAAGGAAAACTTTAAATTGTCCATTAGATTAAATCATAAGCTACCAATCAAAATTGATTCTTAATTACAAGAACATTGGTCACTTGGAAAACAATATATTCCCCAGCACTGTCAACGTAAAAGTCCACTAAATACTAATTAACGATCTTTGGCCAACATTGATAAGTTAATCACTTAATCTAGAATCTTATTTATCTTCCACCCCCCATAGATCATCTTAACAAGTTGATTATAAACTAATTACAATTACGACTAAATTACCTGAAGGATAATGATGATCACCTTGCATGTTGCAAGTTACAATTTATTGATACAATTTAGTTTTCTTTGAAAAAAAAAATGCTACGATGATTTAAAATTATTATCATTTAATATTATGATTAACTGACAATAATGTTACATCTTAATCACGATTTGAAATTGCAACAATTTACTTATTTCTAGTATTGAACGACGACAACAAGAGCAACAATTTACTTATTATTATTATATTTTGGTGGTTCCAATCATCAATAGACATGATAATCAACTAATAATATCACGCATACAAATTCAATTTAAATGACTACTATTAGTTAATCACCACACACACAAGACCACCAACAAGATGATTACAATCAATTACAATCAATTGCTGGGAGCCAATTTGATTCATCATCAATCCTGATGATGATATAATAATAATCATAATACAAACAATTGATTTAGAAAAATTTTTCCAAACAACTTATGAATTTTTCTTGGATTTCATGATGGTGATTAATTCCTGACGATAATACAATTAAGGTTTATTACTTTTTATCATGTAATTATTTTCATTTTTCTTAAATTGTTCTCATTAATTTTCTGCTTCATTTCAGGTTGACAGTCAATAGGAAGATATGGAATCGAGGAATTGATTGACCAGTCGATATTATCTCGGACTCTCAACAATAATAAC